TACCTGCCTATCCCACATGCCTCTCATTCCTCCAGGCTGGGGAGCCAGTTGGTGACTCTTTCAAAAAGTTACAATTCCTACGTCATTCCTCAGCTTACTTGGGACACGTAACTTCCAATCAAGCTGCTTCCTGCATCTTCAGTCAGACACATCTTTCATAAAACGCGTTTTAGATGTAACAGCACAGAACCCATGGGAATCAGCAGTCCATTAGCTGCATTAGGAGGACTAATATGAAGGTGGTACTTCTGTTGTGTTTATAAAATGTTTTAGAATTGTCAGCATGGTAAGCCTGAGTAGGAGAAACTGTTTACAAGTAAGGAGGGAGGGTAACTATGAATACATCTTACACACACACCATTGTGCTTCTTTCTCCTTTACCTTCCCACGCTCTAATGGAGGTGTGAAGATTTCACCACCTCCAAACTCCTCATCCCCTCTTCAGCCCCATCATCCATGTCTAAATATTGTTCCTAAAACATAATGCAAAATAATGTAATCTCTTCAGGGAAATCCCAGCTAATGGAGCTGGAGTAGACACTGGGAATGGGGGCAATCAGATGGTTACGCAGAATCACAACAACTAAAACAACAGGGTTTGTTCCCATCTTTAACATGAGCATTAAAATAGTGTGAACATTGGCTCACACTTAACAACTTGTTATTAGTGAATAACTGTTCTCTGATGCTGTTACCTGGAGGCTACATTTAGTGTACAGAAAATATGAATCTCTCTTAATACCCTGGTAGCAGCTTTCATGACTTTTACTTAGTGTTTTAGCTCTTAAATGTCAGTAATGTCAGTGCCTAGATCCTTTTAGGATATTCAAAAGATTTGGTCTCACAGATTTTAGCCCTGTGTTTGAGAAACTGGGAGCAAATTCAGGAGTTCCTAAATTTAGCTTAAAGTTTCTTCATTAACAGGTGTACCCTTTAATTATTCTGCCCTGCAAATACATATAAGGTATTGCTCTAGTGAGGGTAGTTGTATTAATTCCTGTGCAGAAAGTAGTTAAGCTGTGTACAGTGCCTGTATTAATAGGAGCCATGCTAATTGGCCTGATAGGTCAATACGTAAGCTGTCCCTGTGCAGCAGGCTAAGGAAGCCTCTTTCTAAAGCTTTCTCCTCCATCATTCTCCTGTTCCTCGGTGTTTCACCTGCTCAGTCCCTGATGTGTTTGGGTGGCTGGTGCCAGCATGTATGTGCAGACCTGGAGCTACAAATTGGGTGGTGGGTCAGCAGTGCTAACATGCTGCCTCATTGCTGGCTGCCATGCAGGTATGGCTGCCATGCAGGTAGGGGTTGAACCACAGCCCTCTCTTTCAGTGAAGACATAATATGCATCTTTCCTCCCTGTTTAGATGCTGATTGTCACACGGTTTCCAAGAACTCGTGTTTTTTGAAACTGCTATCCTGCTGTCAGGTTGCACAGAAACAGGCAGCAGGCTCAAGACTCATTTGAAAGATGGATGCATAGACTGACTGTGGAAAGACTTAATGCTTATTTTGTTATAAAGCAGGAGAAGAAAAAAAAAAAAAGTCCTTTAATTATCATAGTTATTGCGGTATAAAAACTGTCTCAGGAGTGTGTCTCCTGACTTTGGTTTCAAGTAAAGTCTAGTTTGGGAGTCAAAAATACTTACCAACATGGAATTTAACATACTTATTAACCAGTTCTGAATTCTAATGCCTGGGACTCAACATTCAATCCTGATTAACTGGCACAACAATGAACATTAATTACCCTGATCTACATTAGTTACAGAGCTATGGTCAACTTCATATCAGCAAACTTGAGGCTTCCTAAACACGTCTAACAGGTAACATTCAACTCATCTTCCATGTAGTAGAGATAAGCCCTGAAAGCTTGCAGTAAGGTGTGGTGGGAAGAATACAGGAGGAAAGTGAACTGGTGTGCCTCGGAGTATGTCAAGGCTTGTTTTCCTTACCTCTCGAAGCTATTAAAAAAAAAAAAAAAAAAAAAAAGTAGGTAACCTGTAGCAGCACAGCTTTTTAGAAAAAGACATATTTTTATTTAAATTCTAAATTTAGAAAGAAAGATTACGTTGTAAATGTGTACATCCTTCCCAGAAATAAATTGAACCAATCAGAATAGGATCAGCACAGGATTTAAGAAAATACTCTTTACCTTGGTGGGTGTTAGTGTGTGTGTATGGAGATATCTACATGTATACACACGTATATATGCCAACATGTATACATAAATGTATGTATCACCATGAACATACTTGTCAGATCTGCCACAGTCCTAATCATTTGTCAATGACATTCCTGAAGAGAGGAATTTCCAGGGCTGGGCAGAGCCGTGGTTGCTGCCGCTGGAAGCAGTTTCTTGTGGCAATGAATTCCACGTGCTCATAATGCACAGCATTAAAAAAGCTTCCTTTTATCAGCCTCGAGGGTGGGGCTGGGCTGCTGTTGGAAGTATGCCTATCACAGATGATGCCTCAGCTCTGTTGGTGGTAGAAGATTGTTCCTCTGGACTTTTCTTAAAAAAATAAATAAATGTCAAGCCAGAAAAGGAAGCCTGCTATTTTTCAAATCCAGAAGCTGTAATCATGCTAATCCATATGATCGTGCTAAAGCCAAGTTACATGCCTTTTGCATATGATGTAATCATGCAGAACAGCCTATTTATAATCACTGCTAGCTGGAGGTGCCTTCTGAGAAAAGTTTTTTGGTCACATTTCCCCTCTTCCTATATTTTCCAGTCAGTTATGCTTTCTCCTACTTAAATACAGCAATGTGCATTGCTTTTTTATTTTTCTTGTTAATGCTTTCCAACACGCCTTCTGCTCTCAGTGTGATAGAGCCATACCAACTGAAATCCCAGTACTCTGAAATCAATACCAAAACTTCCATTGATTTCATATAATATATTCTTTTAAATTCAGTACAAATTCTCCACATGAGATGCTTATTTTAAATATGGATCTACTGTACAGGGCTGTCTGTCTCAGCTTGATACATAAAACAGCATGTTTAATAAATTCGCTGGTGTGGGCTGGCAGCATTATGTGTAATAAATGAAAATCTGTTGGTTATACTGAGCATATCAAGTGTAAAAGGAGAAAATTCATCAATGTAAATACCTATCTGTGGATCAATTGCTATCAATCTTGTTTAACAGTCTATTTCCTCAGGACACACTTTGGAAACAAAGAGCATTTCAAACTGCTGGTTAAACAAACAAATATATAGAAGCTCTTTGGGAAACATGAGGGTGGAGTAATCATCAGATAAAAATGGTCAGAGTGATTTTAAATACCTGTTAATCTCTTCTATTTTATATTAGTAAACGCAAAGTTTCTGATGGAACATGTCCATTCAGAGTACCCCATCAAGAGTAGAGGTTTCTGAGACAATGATCTGCTTGCAGAGGAAACAGCAAGAAAAGCAGCCTGAAAAACAAAATTTGTTCCCTGACCTCCATGTTCAGTAATTGTCCAAGGAGGGCAATACCTTCTGCTCTGCAAGAATTTTTCTAAGATTTGTATTATCCTTAGCTAAATAGAACCCCTTAAGACACACTATAAAAACAAAACAAAACCCCAAGAGGATATATAACTAATGAGATCATGATGCACTGTTTACCTTGCTCTACAACGCTAATATCTTTTCATGGCTGTCATGTACAAACTACAGCTCCCCCCTCCTGAAGCATCACCAAAAAAAGTCAAACCTGAACTATACCACAGGCACTTGGCATGTTTGTGTTCACAGGCACAAACTTTATGATATAATAAATGTACAAAATGCAGGTTTTTTAAAGTTACAAATGCTGATGAATTAACCAGTAAAATGAGACTGTAGTATTGTGCAATCGTGTCTGTGGCAATTGCATGGCCTTGTTATGTACTATTGTTTCCTCCCAACCTTTGTGCTGTCTACCCAAATTCAGGTTTTCCACCCTAAATCACCCTCCTGACACACACAAAAAATAATCTATAGGTCCATTCGTGGATGTTTGCCCTCATAACAGCTCTACAGCTGCAGAAATGCCATCCTCATTTTACAAGAGGGAAACTGAGGCACAGATCCTAGCAAAATGTAAGCGCACCGGCAAGTGCAGGTCGAGTCCGACTTTGAATCTAAATCTGAATTCACCACAAAATCACCTCTCAGCCAAACCAATCTCACCAAAAAATCCCTGTAGAGGATTCAATAGGAAAACAAAAGAAATCAAGTCTTCCCCCCTCCCGGTTTTGCAATCCCCATCTCCAAATGCTTAAGGAGCCTCACACTTTTGCTTGTGCAATGTCCAGCTGGCTTCAGTGGGAATCGGAGGGGTGGAGGTGACTGCTCTGTAACTCTCTGGGGCTTTGCAGCAAAGTAAATCTGAGGCTCAGCAAAGCGGGGTGCAGCAAGCCGAGGGAACCACAGGGACTGTGCCCCCAGCATGCCACCAAACGCCAGGGGCCACCCAGATGGCTCTCGTGGGGAGCATTTAATCGGGCGTTTTTACGTGGAATCAGACAAGTTGGAAATGACCCACCGTGTGCTGACCCAACCAATCTGGCTCCCGTCGTCACTTTCAAAACACAATTTTTTCACTTGCATCAAGTTTTTTTCGCGTGAACCTTTTCCATGACTAACGTTTTTTATTTGCTTTTCAAAATACTATCGGCTCACTTTTGTCGGCTTCCCAGAAAGTGAGACTTAAGGGCAGATTTTGCACAAACGCCGGCTGCAGCCGCCTGTAAAGCCCCTAACTTGCCACGTCGGGAGCCCGGCTTAGCCCCCCCCCCGGACAATCGGGGCTCTTTTCCTTTCCCACCTTATCTCCCGCTTTGGGATTAGCATTGTCCCGGGTTTCTGCCCGCTTTAGGGAGAAACCCCAAATCTCCCAAAGCACACTATAAAAAGTGCAGGTGAGATAACAAAGGTATTGTCCCTCGGCAGCCCGCCGGCTCGCTTGTTTACTCGGGGGGGCCGGATCCTGCCCCTTCCCCGCAGCTCGGGGGGGGCTGCCCCGGCCCCCGGCAGGGCGCACGCCTTTGTCAGCCGGGCCGGGCCGAGCCGAGCCGAGCCGTGCCGGGACTACATCGCCCAGCGTGCCCCGCTGCGCCCTGATCAATGGACCTTATTTGAATAATCTGTGAGCCCTTGGACTCAGGCCAATCAGCTGTCAGGGACCCATGATAAATCGCAATGCATTATTGATAATCATAATTACTCTGACATGCGCATTCCGCCCAATGGGGGTAATTTCCCAACTCTAGGAATTTGTTGTGAAGAGGAAAAATAATTGCTACTATTTTGCTCCCGATGCTGGTGCACCATGTCGCGACGGAAGCAGGCGAAGCCCCAGCACATCAACTCCGAGGAGCAGCCCCCAGATGCTGCAAGTGGTAAGGCGCGCAGCCCCGGCGCCCCCCAGCCCTGCTGATGCGCGGAGGAGGCAGAGGGGCTCTTGCTGGGGGGGGGGGGAATTTTTCAACCCTCGTGTTTCACCCCCACCCTGGGTCCCACAGGCTCCTCGCTGTTTTTTTGGGGCGCTTACATCCCTGGAGTTGTTCCGCGGGCTGGGGGGGCTCGGTGTTTCCCTGGGGGGGGGGCTCGGCTTGGGACTGCCCTGCAGCGCTGCCCGAGGGGGTCCCCCAATGTCCCCCCCCTCCCCAACCCCCCTCACGGGGGCACCCTGGTCCCGCGGAACTCGCGCGGGTCCCCGCGTGGGGTGCGCGCTCGGGGCGCAGCCCCACGGGAGGCGAACCCCAAATTGCCTGGGGCGGAAAGGATTTTTTTTTTTTTTTGGGGGGGGGAGAGTAAGGGGGGAAAGAGGAAGGAATTGCGAACCGTCTTCTCAGGGGTAGGAAATGACTCGAGGTAGGTTTCCCCGATTTCTCTATTTAAGACTTTCTCGGTAGTTCTATGAAGATTTTTTTTGTGGGGTTTTTCGAGAAAAAAAAAAAAAAAAAAAGCGTTCGGACTATTTTTGTTGGAGATCACAATCGCCCTGGACCTTTTGTAGCTTGACCTCCAGCCATCTTTGATTTCCGACTTCCTAAAATAACTCCGGTGAGCTAATGTGGGGTGTGCGTGAGCGCTTTGTATTTGGGTGGCGGGGGGGATTTGTGCTCCCGCAAATCACGGTGCCTCCTTTTCGGGGAGCTCGCAGCACTCTCCCTTGCGAAGGGAAGAGGAAAAGTCTCGATTTGAACTCAAAATTATTCCGGAGCGCTGGGTGGGCGTGCAGGGGAAGGGGTGGAGGGGGGGCAGTTGTTTGCCCCTGTTCCCCATGGGAGCGGGGAAGGGTCGGGGCGGTCGTGCCCCGCAGCATCGTCCCGGCACCCTGGGCTCGGGCAGGGGCTCTCACCCTTCTGTTAACACCCTTGTGGCCGGGGCTGGGGGGCAAGTTTCAGGGGCACTTCCCCGCGGGGGGAGGTTTCGCGGTCCCCGGAGGCGCTGCGACCCCCGGGGAGCGCGTGGGGGCGCGTCGCGGGTGGGGAAGGGGAGGCTGAGGCTGGGTCTTAGCAGCCCGAGTACTTCTGTAGGTGCCCCCCCGAACTTTCTGGGGGGGGTTCTGCCTTTTTAAAGGGCTGGTTTCGTGTGGGGTTTTTCCGTGCCTGGAGTTGATCGATACCAGCGCACGTTACAGGAGCTGCTGATTCCCAAACCGCAGGAGGTTCGGGCTCTTAATTTTTTTTTTTTTTTCCTCCTCCCCCCTCTCTTCTTTGATTCGAAATGTGCGATTGTTGGGTCCGGTTAATGGTGACTTAAGAATCGGCAAGCTGGCCAGAAGGCAATAAATCCCATGTTTAATGCATGACTGTTTTCCTTTGTGCATATGGTTAGGTTGGGGGATGGAGGTGATGTTTCCACATGTAAATCTCTGCCCACTGCTGGAAAGGCACCTCCGGGGCTGCGCTGAAACAAAAGGGTTAATAACTCCTGATGCGGCCCGCTTGGGGCGGGGGGGCGTGCGGGGAGGGGAGGGAGGGTCGCTCGGCACCGCTCCTCTGGGCAGCGGGCAGCTGCTGTGCGCTTGGTGGGGGGGCTTTTTTATTTATTTTTTCTCTTTTTAACAACAAAACCCTGGATGAAAATTACCCCCCCGTTCTCCAGGAGCCGGAGCAGCGATTGCATGGGCCGGGGGGTGGAGGTAGGGGCTCCTTTTTGGGGTCGAGGCGCTCGCCGCAAGGGGAGCGGCGCTACCGGGGGCCCCCCGGTGCCACCCCCGGTGTCGGTGGCCGCTCTCGGAGAGCCACCTCGCGGCTGCGACACCCGCGGCTCTTATCGCCCGCAAATCTCCCTGCCCGGCCCCGTCCTCCCCGCTCCAGGTGTGTCCGTAAATACCAAGTGATGAAGCTGCATAACAAAGTCGAAATAGCCCAGGGATTTGTCTGGGACATTATCGGGTATATACACAATCGTAATAATAAAATCAAGCCCTTATCTCCTTCGCAAGTGCTCTTTTTTTTTTTTTTTTTTTTTTTTGTGCAAAGCGATTTGGGACCCACCTCTGCGAACAATGCGGCACGTTGAGAAACGGTTCTGCTAACCTGAGGATCAATTAACAGGTCAAAAAAATCAGCAGGTGGTCACCGGAGAATAATACTACACAGCGAAAATTAGCATTTTCACAAAGGGCTTGAAAATGCCCATTGTGTTGGATTGCTGCCATTAAAAAAAAAATAATCGGGTTCGTTCTTAAAAATACAGTATGAACCGGCAACTTTTTTTCCGGACAAAAAAAAATTTGGAGATTCTCCCTTAATTCCAATCTCAGGTCGAGCCGTGTTGATGCCGCGAGGGAGGTGTTGAGCGAGGAGGAGAGCGAAGTTGCTCGGTAGTGCTGCTCTGATTTTTATTAATTATTATTATTATTATTTCTCGGAACTCGCCCGTTGGCCGGGCTGGGAGCGGGATAAGCATGAGTCGGGCCGGGACAGGGGGGACCCGGGAGCGGTGTGAAGGGTGAGGGTGCCCGGGGGTGGGCGATGCCCGCTTGTTTTTCCTTTTACGTAAGTGAAACATTAGAGTGGTTGTAGTGCCGGAGCCCGGCTGGGCTCGGCGGCATGTGACGTTTTGACAGAGCTGCTGCTCTAACCTTTGCCTCCTCCCGCTTGCCGTGGGTGGTAAGTTGATGTCAGGCTCACAATTAGGACTCTCATGCAATTGACCTTGGCAGCGGGGTTTGCGCCGTTTAGCCGGGTCTTAAACACTGTACTAGTGTTAAGTGTGCTCCGGGGCCGCCCTGCTTCCAGCTGCGGCCGCGCTGCTGGGAGGACCGAGAGCCGCGGAGGCTCCGCCGCCGAGCAGGTAGGGCCGAGGGCGGCCTCTACCGCTGCCTCCGGGGGGGAGGCTGCTGGGCTACCCGCAGCTTCTGGAGGAGCCCCCCCACCTTTTCCTTCAAAGCCCCAAGAAGGGGGGTGATGCTCGGGGATGCGGAGCGCAGGTGGGTGCGCGGCGGCGGAGGCTGAGCCCCGGGGAGGCTGAGCCGGGGGTCCCGGGGGGAGGCTGCGGGACGGGACGGGACGGGAGTGCCCCCCGCCGGCCGGCCCCGCCGCTGGGGCCGGGGTTGTGCCCCGGCAGGTAACCCGTGGACATTTTCCAAGGGGGTTGTCCAGGAATTTGGGGGTTTAAAGCTCTTAGAAACGGCCTCGGAAGGTGGAGCGGGGCTGGGGGCTTGCACTGGAGGCTGTGCCCGGGGCTGGGGGCAGTGCTGCTCGCCTGGAGCTTTCCTCGGGGTTTTAGGGCCGCTCGCTCACGTGGGGCTGTGCACCATTACTCTGTCCTCTGCCGGGTGTTCCTCTTGGGTAGGTGGGTGAGCAGAGCTCAGATGGGTGACTCGGGAGGTAGGTGATGAAATGCCTGGCCAAAACCTGAAAACATGGGAAGCCCTAATGGTTAGGGGCAGCACTGCTTGTTCTTGGGTGCAAAAGTGCTGCTGATAAATTCAGGATAGAAAGCATCGAGGCCTTTGAAATAATTCTGTAAGTCATCAGCCACGTATTTGCTAACTCAAACAAGTGTTTATTGCTTAAAACTTGAAGTGGAGTAGGGGAAGAAGGGAAATTTTGGACAGTTTAATGTTTTTGAAATGCCCCAGCTTTTCAGCTGGGAACAGGGCAGGGAGGAAATGTGGGAAGCACCATGCCTGAGGGGAGCTGATTTTAGAGCTGGGGCTGCAGTGGATGCTTACTGATCCTGCGTGAAATACTCATCGGGAAGTACGTGGTTACTGTAAAGCATTAGAAATTGATCAACCCTAGCCTGTGGGGGGAAAAAAGTAAACTCACCAGAGGTATTAAGCTATTAAAAAAGGGGGAAAAGAAAGCGGGGGAAAAAAAAAAAAGGGGTTTTCCACCTCATTCAGGTGAAATAATCTTCTCACAGTAGAAAAAAAATAGGCCACTAATTGCTCAGATGAGTGGTAGACCAGCAGCACCCTTTTGAAATCAAATCAAACCAGATAAGGCTTACTTCACTCTTTTACTCATTCCCTCAAAAAAAATAAATTAATTTGAGCTGTGTGGATTTTATCAGCCCTCCTTGTCGATGACCGCCTTGTCCTACACAATAGTGGATTTTTTCCATCCATTTGCCAGTGATTCAATCTAACCCCCCTGCTGGGTTTACTGCATTCTTCTAACTTATTGGATAACTAGATGCTGAGAGATAACATTCCTGAAATTCGGGGGTGGGGAGATAAAAAAAAAAAAAAAAAAATAGAAGTCCTATCCCTGGGAAGCCTTTGGAGAGGGTTAACTTGAGTGCACGAGCAATTGTTCTGGCAGGGCTCTCGCTCCTCCACCAGTGCTCTTACAGTATTTGGGCTGAGCTGGCAGCAGATGCACGGGGAGGCTTCTGGGCAGGGAGGGAGCCTGAGATTAAGCCCACTACACCCGTGTGTGATAGCTGGGGTGAGTGGGGTGCGCTGCTGGCTGCCTAGCACTCCTGCAGGGCTGGGTGGACTGGAACAGGCTCCCCAGGGCAGTGGTCACAGCACCGAGCCTGCTGGAGTTCAGGAAGCACTGGGACAACGCTCTCAGACACATAGCCTCATTTTTTTTGTTGGGGGGGGGGGGGGGGGGGGAAGGTGGTCCCCAAAGGACTTGATGATCCTTGTGGGTCCCTTCCAACTTGGATATTCTATGATAAATTGAGATGAAGAGTTTATAGAGATGGGTTTTGTAAAGAAACAGTCGATTGCTGCTTTGTTATTACAGCTACGGCACAATAAGCAAGCACCTTGTTTCTACTACATCTTTTAAAAACAAAATGTTTAAGATAGGGGAAGCATTATGCTCAATTTTGCTGAGGTGGAAGGGAAAATAAGGCATAATGCTTCCCTGCTTGTCATGCAGCAAGTCACTACAAGCTGGGAATTGAATTTGTTTGGAGTCCTCCCTTAGTGCCTCACTGTCAAACAGGGGAACTGGAAACTAAAATGTGGCAGTGACGGCGCTGGTGGCTGCAGGCGGGCTGCTTTCCCAACATGCGTACCTGCAGCTTACTGCAGATGCCCTCTGAGGTGGCAGCTTGTTTATAAAACCAAAAAAGTCACTTTTGGAGCTCCTCAGTGTAAGAAAAATGGGGAAGGTGGACTGTTGTGTGGAGGGGGAGGAAAGGGCTTTGAATTTAGTATGGTCTTATCAGTGGAAAAATAAGGTACTCCCAATGGAAAGGGGATAAATAACGATCATGTGTTTTGAAGCAGTTAAAGTTTGAGGACTTGTCTAGACATAGTTATCCTGGAATATCTCCTTGGGGTGGGCTACAGTCTTTCATGCAGCCGTTTCTGTTCCACTTGAAGCATTTTGCATTGCTACCACGGAGGTGCAAACTGCAGTGTGAAATGCGTGTGTTTGCAGATGAGAGAGACTGGAAGAAAGCTTTGTGTTTTCTAAAGTAAAGCCTAACATTACTGTGCAACCCAGGGAAAGTTAAAACCTTAAATGCTAAAGGATTTGGAAAAGACATTTTGGTGTTTTAGGCTGTGGTCTGTAAAGTACCTATTGTATGGGAATAGTTATGAAAATAGTCAAGTGAAGACCTGGAGTCGGTGTGCAGCATACTTACGAAAACTTCTTGTATTTTTTTCACTGTTTAGTACTTTCTTTCCCATTTTATCTGCTCACACTTATGCGAAGATTAGAGTTTAAAAATGTTCAGTCTTGACCTCAGTCGACCCTATTTATTGACTAAGTTCTGCATCATGTACTTCTTGTACTTAAATAATCGGCAGAGTAGATTTTGTCCATAGTTAAATTAACTTCTGAGGCATCAATTTAATATTTGGAGTGGGAAATGTATGCAAAAAACACGCTTTTCTTCTCAATACCTTCATTTATGAGGGTTGTTTGGGCTGAAGGAGGGAGGGGGAAAAAAGTGTTTCAGTCTCCCTGTAGGACTGTTTGGATGTGAGTGATCCGAATGGTTATGATCATAGATGTACCAAGAACATTTCTTCTCATCATTCGAAGGCAGTTTTGACTTGCAACCTTGAAATTTGTGGTTAACAGAGTTACATACGTACGGATTTGGATGTACTGCTCTGCAGACTGTAGCATAAGGGGGCCTCTATTTGTGTTTTGTAGTTGATCTATTTTTTAAAAGAAAACTTTAACGTGTACTTTCCACCAGTCAACACATCAAGCAGTTGAAGTTTTGATTAGTTGGCTGTATCTATCCATCTTTATAAAATATGTAATATTCTCGTTACCCTTACAAATGTCAAAGTTTACAATATCCTCCCCCACAGAGCTTTTACACTTCCCTGAAACAGTAAGTGAACGTGCTCAGGTTGTTGCTTGGACATGCTCGCCCTCCACCCTGCCATGTACAGGATATACACATGTATCAGATGTGCGGTTCAGTTACACCTTTAAAATGAAAGCCGCAAATAGCTCCTCTGCTTGCAGTCTTTGGTTCCATTTTTGAGACAGTGTGGGGTAGCAGTGTGGAATCAGAGCTAAGCCCTGGGGTGAACTACTGGAGGTGCAGGCCCCAAATACGAGGCCCTGTGGTACGAATTTTCTGTTGACTGAGGCCTGCAGAGTGCCCCTGACTGTGTGTGCGTGTGGGAGGCAAGCAGGGGCAGTGAGGCACTTGGTTACTGCACCCTTGACACCCATTAAAATGGGACCAATTACTGTGAGTTACAGGACGTTTCACCTGGTGTGGGCTGTGAATTATCCAAGGTCTTCGGTGCTTCCCCCCTCAGCTCTACAAGCCTCAGGCTTTACCTCCTGCATGCTCCCAAACACCCACCCGCCTCGAGCTCAGTGTGAGTTTGTTTGAAAGATGGCTAGATTGAGCAAAAACATCCTGTTTTGGTTTAGAATTTCTCTTAACCTCTCTTCCCATTCTGGTATTTTCCTGAATCATGTTTTCTGCATGTCCGTGTGCAAGTTGTGCTCAGTCGGTGGGGCACTGGCAGAGGGAGGGCAGGAGTGGACTTGCAGGCTGGCTTTGCTCTCCTTCCCCCTCCCTAAAAGGGGGGGGGGGGGGGTAAGTTAAAAACACAACTAAATCCAGCATCCGTACCATGTCCGGAACTGCTTCGTGAGTGTTGCAAGCAGGCCTACTAGTTTGCTTGCTAGTAATTGTCAGTATCAACATAAGCTTATTCTTGGATGTGGGGTTCTTGTAAGTTAATCATCTTTTCTTTACTTCTGTGACTTTATAGAGGATTTTTTTTTTCCACGTGAGTTGGCTTTTGAAGTGTTTCAAAGCTTAATATTGGGCTCAAATTTTGTTTCTGTCAGCCCTCTTTGGTAGCAATTACCTCTGTAACGGAGGAGTGAATGTCATTCAATGTATCAGTGTATCATCAAGAACTACTCTGAAGTTCTTTTTTTTAACAACCATGAGTTTCTGAGACCGTTAACTATGAATTCTGAGGTTATGTTCAAAAAAAAAAAAAGAAAACCAAACACATGAACTAAGCTTATGAGAATCAGTTTTTTCCTGTGTAATGATACCTTCTGTCTTGCTTAGGTCATATTCCATTTAGCTGTATTGCAGGGACTAGCTGACTTGTTCCACTGTTCCATTTCTACCTGTAAAGGTAGAAAAAGGGATTTAAGGGATATAAAAAGGATTTGCAACAAACTTATTTCCATCAAGCCTTGTGAGACTTCTTTATTGTTTTTATGGGAAACAGAACTGCGGTGTAGATTTCCTTGGGGGCTGCCAATGAACTAGTAGCAAAACAGCATAGGACTTCAGGTCAATCTGCAAAATTGATTTTTGACACTAGAAAAGTGTCGTGTATCTTAACTTGAAATTCTGGTGAAGTCAGTGTAAACTGAGCTATTAACGATGTGACTTTCTTTTATTTTAAGGGAGTCCACAAGACGTCCCAGGTGACGGAGATGGTGAAATGAGTTCCAAAAGGTGCCGAACAGAGGAAACTAAAATCTGTGAGAAATGCTGTGCAGAATTCTTTGATCTCTCTGAATTCCTTGAGCATAAGAAAAATTGCACTAAAAATCCACCTGTCCTAATCATGAATGATAGTGAGGGAGCAGTACCTCCTGAAAGCTTCTCTGAAGCTTCTGTAGGGAGCTTCCCAAGTGACCGAATGGATAGCAGGACACGCAAGGACACTCAGGCAAAGGGCTGCACTGGCTCTACGGAAAAGAGAGAAGGAAAAATGGATGCTGAATCGGTAGGAGGAATGTACCTTAAAATAGAACCCCCTGCTGCGCCTGCGACTCCTGGGCTAAGCTATCTACCAAAATCCAAAGTACCAAACACTAATGTGACTTTGCAGACGATACGTGGCACTAAAGTGGCTGTGAACCAGCGTACCTCCGATGCCATCTCTTCTTCAGCAGCCAGTTTTAATGCTATTCCGATGATCCTGGAGCAGCTTGTGTGTTTGCAGCAGCAGCAGCTCCAGCAAATCCAGCTGACGGAGCAAATTCGCATTCAGATTGCCATGATGGCTCCCCATGCCCTGCATCCTTCTATAGCTGCTGCTGCTGATCCGCTGAAAGCTCTGGGTGCTCACATGTCTCAGCAGCTGTCGGCTGCTGTTGCTTTAATCGGACAAAAAGCTGGAAGCCAGAGCCTATCACTGGAATCCTTGAAGCAAGGAAAACTACCTCATTCTAACACTGGCGTTGCGGCTGCTGGTTCGCTAGCTGCCGGGCTTTCCTCCTCCTTCCCCTTGAAGCCGGAGGCAAGCAGAAGCTTCCCTGGCTCTATTTCTCGGTTCCCGAATCCTTTGCTACCTCAGTCCTCCCACTCCGTCATCTTCCAAAATCCGCTTTCGGCTGTTTCTTCTGTAATAGATTCCTCAAAGAGGGTGAAGGGGAAACCTCCCAATATTTGCGTGTCCGAAAGCAAATCGAATGCAGAAGAGCCGTTCTTCAAACACAAGTGTAAATTCTGCGGCAAGGTCTTTGGCAATGACAGTGCCCTGCAGATTCACCTCCGTTCCCACACCGGTGAGAGACCCTACAAGTGTAACATTTGTGGCAACCGCTTTACAACCAAAGGAAACCTTAAAGTGCATTTTCAGCGTCACAAAGACAAATATCCCCACATAAAGATGAATCCGTACCCAGTTCCTGAGCACCTGGACAATGTTCCCACTAGCAGCGGAATCCCTTATGGGATGTCTGTGCCACTGGATGAGTCCAACCTAATTGTGGATAGCAAACCTCTCCTAACAACCCTGCCTACCTCTGCGGCCACCAGCACACCTCAGAATGTGTCCAACCTAGCAGGCATCAAGGAGTCCCTGCCCAGTACGTTCTCTGGTGACCTGCAGTCAAGGCCTTCTCCAGAAAGTGAAGGTGGCTCTTCCTCATCAGGGGCAGTCGGTCACGAATCAGGAACAGAGCAGAGCTTGAGTTCACCACAAGCTGCCTGCAGCACGAGCATCTTCAATGCTGGTGGGTCCAACGAGCAAGGCTCTGAAACATCAAAGCTTCAGCAGCTGGTTGAAAACATTGACAAATCCACTGCTGACCCCAATGAGTGTCTGATCTGTCACAGAGTGCTAAGCTGTCAGAGCTCCCTCAAAATGCATTATCGTACTCACACTGGAGAGAGGCCGTTCAAGTGTAAGATCTGTGGTCGTGCCTTCTCCACTAAAGGGAACCTTAAAACTCACTATGGTGTCCACCGAGCCAATACTCCTCTGAAGATGCAACATTCATGTCCTATTTGCCAGAAGAAGTTTACAAACGCAGTTGTGCTGCAGCAGCACATCCGCATGCATATGGGGGGACAGATACCTAATACACCCATACCCGAAAACACCTCTGACAACACTGATGTGGATCCTGCTGCAGCTGAGAAGAACGGAGACATCAGCCGCCCAGATGAGAACGTGGAGAACATAGAGATGGAAGAGGACCTGGAGTCTCAGGATGGCCCTAGGAGTTCCTCAAAACCTCCTACTCCATATGATGCACAATCAGAATCTCCAGCCACGGCATCTGGCTTCTCTGGTATTGCAGCACTGGAGAATCAAATGAAGATTGTCAGCTCTGCTTTGAACTTGCAACGGCAAAGCAGCGTGAAGTCCAGCGACAATGGTTCCGCAGAAAGTGATGGCATGACAAATGATTCATCTTCTGTGGCAGGAGATCCAGATTACCAGAACGGCAGGAGTCCTGCTGCCTCTGAGTCTGCATCCATCCAGGCTTTGTCCCCAGCCAACAGCCAAGCCGAGAGTGTGAGGTCGAAGTCACCTAGCTTCAACAGTCAGGAAGACGCAGGCACAGGAAATAAATCAGAGGGTCCTGAGAATGCTTCAGGAGAAATGGAAGGAGTTGTTGCTTTGGATTTAACTTACGGCAATATTGGTCGGAAGGTCATTAAAGAAGAACCTGGCTTACACTTTGCAAATGGAGAATATGGTGAGTAATTTGAGATGCTGGCAATAACTTGGGGTGGGGGAACAGTACTGGAGGAAATCCTTCTCTAAAAGGATCAACAGGAGTCAAAACCACCTTGGTTTTCCTCTTCCTTCTTTGTTAGCAAAGGAGTGCATGCCCTGGGGAATTTTTGTGACTCAGACTCAAAATTAAAAGACTTAAGTGCTGTCCTCTCCTGCAAGGGGGAGTACAGAGGCCCTAAAAGTAGACAGGGGCTATGCACTTAATGCCTTTCATGGATTTGCCTGATAGCTCCCTGTAGCTCTCGAAAGATACACGTTGGTGTTTCCTGTAAAAGCTTTTAACAAAAGAGTGGCATGTTGCTGGAATGTTTTGAGGGGGTTTTGAGCTCTTTAGCACTGAAGCTGTTGTTGACCTAAATTTGATCAGAAAGTGAGGCTTCCTAACTCTTAAGCTCACTAACAAAACCAGGGATAAGTCAACTTCTTCCTGAGCCTAGTAGCAGCCCTACTGCATGGCTTTACAGGGCTCAGCAAGTGTGCTGCTCAGGTATGTGCAGCTCCAAAGGCAAGGATTTAGGTATCTCAGCCAGATTTAAGCTTGGCCACAGGAGATGGGAGAAGTGTTATCTATCTGTTCTTTCTCTCCAGGCCGAACTAGTATTCCAGCTGCTTTTGTTAGGGCCCCACCAGCCCTCATAAAAATGGAAATGCCGAGCGAGCGTCCCATTAGCACTAGCCATTTCATTGGCCCACCAGCTCTCTCCCCTGGTGTTGCCCCTCTCCTTGTGCCACGACCGAAATTCTGCCGTCCAGCCAAACAGCACATCTGCACTACGTGTGGGAAGAACTTCTCCTCTGCCAGTGCCCTGCAGATTCACGAACGGACCCATACCGGTGAGAAGCCATTTGCCTGCACCATCTGTGGGAGAGCCTTCACAACGAAAGGAAACCTGAAAGTAAGCCATCTCTTGGGTTGGGATTCCCTTTTGTTGGGGAAAGTCTTACAGGAGTGGAAAAGACTATTGATAACATTTGTCCTGCCTTTGGGGACATCTTAGATTTTTCTTTTAGTTCCTCAAATGGTCATCTTTAACTTCTGTCCCCTTCCTGAGTTTGTTCACACAGCTGGCTTGCTAAACTGTCCAGAAGTCTGCTGCTGTCTTTGATTTCTTTTTATGATGGAAGGGGAGGTTTAGCCTGTACTAAGCCAATTACTTGATTTCTGTTTGGATTTGGAGTTGTCAAGACAGTCTTTTTGTAGTTTAAATGCTACAAAATGATGTTTACAGAATACATGTGTTTCACTGCATGGTTTGGAACATCATGCAGGACAAGTTAGAGAAGTACTGCAAGTCCATTTACTCCAAGTTGCAACTCCCTCTCATACAGCGGCTTTTCTGTTCCTGTGAGAAACCTTTTAAAGCAGTTTTCTTGCATAAAAGCTGATGGGGAGGGAGGACTTCCAGCTTTACAGTTTGCGAGCAATTGCTTGCAGGAAGCAGCAGCGGTTTGTGTTGTGGCACTGAAGCTTTTAGTCTAGGTGTAATGCTTCTTCCATATTCCTTGGTGATTTTTTCATCAACTAGTATTTTTTCAGTGCAGTCTGTTCACAGCAAGTGTGGCTCTTCTTGGGTGGTTAGAATGCCAATGTCATTTAAAGTAAGCGTAAGAAACCAGTCCTCCAAATATTTCAGTAGCAAACTCTGAAGAGCCATGGTGATATAAGGCTGATGAATGGCTCTCTTACACATGGAAGGCTGAGGACAAATACAAGAACTAACCAGCCTAAATACTTACCTTTGTGCACACTGAGTATATGTATCTTCTGAGCAGCTTAACTGCAAGCAAAGTAGAACTCGGGTTTTTCATAAAAGAACTGCTATGTTAATGATTCTCTTTACTTATTTCCTCCCTCTGAAAGGTCCATGTAGGAACTCACATGTGGAATAACTCTGCCAGGCGGGGAAGAAGGCTTTCAATTGATAACCCCATGGCTCTGCTGGGGAATGATCCCAAGAAGGTATCTGAAATGTTTCCAAAGGATATAATGCCTCCTTCAGTGAGCATTGACCCCACAGTATGGAATCAGTATGCAGCGGTACTCAGCAATGGCATAGCAATGAAGACTAACGAGATCTCGGTGATCCAGAGCGGTGGCTTACCTACCCTTCCAGTCACCATTGGGGGTGGTTCGGCAATAAATACTGCTACGGTTTCCAAAATAGATGGGACCCAGTCTGGGACTGGTTCTGATACGGAGAAGGCCAGTGGTGCTGCTGCAGACAACGTGCCAAAACATCAGTTCCCTCATTTCATGGAGGAGAACAAAATTGCTGTTAGCTAGAAACTCTAGTGAAGTTGACGTACAAAAAGAACAAAGATATATATACACAAACATATATTTTTAAGAGATTCCACTTCAGCCTCCTATTTTCCTATTGATGTGCAAATGATTTTATGGTTGTCTTTGTAAGAGTTGCCCAGAGTACAATCATGATATTGCTTTGCAAATAGTAAATAATAAAGAATAGGATTTCCTTCTATTTGGAAAGATGCGGGTCTTGCAAAGTAGTTCTTATGTGTGACTTTAATGTGTACAGCCTTACAGAAGTTTCTACAACTTGAAATTCCAAAGGTTAGAATATTTACCTCTTTGTTTAGAGTGGAATACTTGGGGGTTTTGAATAGAGTGGAAACAACCTACTGTTGATGGAAAAGCTTATATTTACTGATGAGAAATGAAAACTATTAATGCGGGTAAATATCCTAGAATGTCTGCCACCCTCTTAGAAGTAGTTTTTCTGTTTGGATTTTTGGCTCTGTGTGGTTTCTGAATGTACTTTTTACTATAATGGCTATAAGAACTACAAAGTCTTTTTTTTTTTTAAATTCCTTTTTTGCCTCAGAAGTTCTATGAAAGGAAGTTGCTGTTTTTCTTTAATCACTGCTTCTAAGGAATTGATTCTCTGTATTGTTGACTGCTGCTTATTTAATACTACTACTAGGACAGTTCTCCAAGTGTAGTGCCAAAACTCCTACTTCCAAAGATGTGCAGTTTTTCCTAGATGTTTTATTTCAATACCAAGAGCCCCAAACAAACATGGGTGGGTATGTATATACTTTTTTTTTCCTCTCTTGAAAGGGAAGACTTGCCTTGGGAAGTCAGGTCTAAAAGCTCTGCAAGGAATCTCAGGTGACTGTTGCAATTAGGCATGGGAACTGGTTTCCTTCGCAAGAGATTTCTTTTTTTTATTTTTATTTTTTAATTTGGGTAATTTAGAAGATCAGTCTGTGTAAACCTGTATTTAAATATGAAGTATTCATGCTTAGGTTAAATGTTTTGTGGGTTTTTTGGATGGCATTCCTACTCTGGTCATTAAGTTTCTTGGTGGTCTGTGAACTTGCATTCTGCCAAAATGGTAATTAATGATCCATGTGTATTGTATGAAGGTTGCTGGGATGGTCATCTGGATTCTAAGTTATCTACCTCATTTTTTTTCCTTTTGTAGATGTAGTGTCTATTTTTCTATTAATGACCACTGTAATGAACTGAGATTCAAGCAGATGCTTCCATGCACTATCTGAAACCAAAACCTGATGTATTAGTGGAAGCACCTGAAGACTTTACTGGACTGACCTTTCACTATTCCTCTAACGTCTGCTGGAACTATGTGTAATGGGATCTAAACCAGACTGGAAACTGAGCATTTGGTATGGAAGGACTGAACAATGGAAAGAAGTCTTTTGACTGCAGGAAATCAAGTCCAGTCTCTGTTGTGGAAGGCCCCAAAAATGCAGATTACCAAAAGTTTGTGTAATGTTGTTGCACCTGATTCTTGCTTATGATCTCTGTATGCCGAGTTGTGCCTTTCCTGCTGGACTTGTAAGTAAGAACATACCAGTACCTGTTTACACTGTAAGATGGATATTGTTACATAGAACATGCAAAAGGCATCCCAATTGTCAAGTTTTCTGCATTGTGAATGTATGACTTTTAAGAACTCTGTAGTTTTGAGTATCTACTGATGCGTTTCTGTTGACATTTTGAGAATAAATTTTGGGATGGCTTTTTCACACTCCTTCTGGTAACGCATTTGTCTCCTGAAGAGCAACGTTAGTATGCAGTACCCTGTTGCAGTCCTGGGTTGTGATTTTTTTTTTTTGTTGTTGTTTTGTTAAAGCCCTAGATCAATTATTTGGGAATACTGGGGTTCAATTTAAAGGTGATTATAAAGGGTAGGTGTGCTGGAAGGTAGAAAACATAAAACATACGAATGATCTACAGCTCCAGAAGACAAAATAGGTGGGGGCAAGAGAAGACAATCTTTCTGCTCAAGGGAAACTAGGTGATTACAGCCTGAACTGCTGCTGTTGAGGAGTGTATAGCAAGAGATCTTTCAGTGGTGATAAGTAAAACCAAACTGTAGTCCACATGCATTCATGCTAGCACGGGTACTGTTGCCAAGCACAGAGCAGTGGTGCTCAGGCTGCCTTTATGAGCTTGTGGCCGGAGCTCATGCTCCAGTTGTGCCTGATTCCTCAAGCACCTTGGGCTGGGCACCACATCCGGGGCTGATTTCCGCCACACTGGGAGCAATGTGGTGTGAAAGAGGAGGCAGTGGGTTTTTGGGACTGGTAGGGCAGGTCTTTGACTGTAACCTAACAAGGAAATCTGATTTCTAGCAGGGGCCAACCAGGGGTAGGGTGAAGAGGAGGGCATCATTTCAGGAGAGGCTGTATTAACAAGGCTGGCCTCTAATAAAGACTTGATACTAAATGCTGTCATGATGTGATGGAAATGTGACAGTAGCAGGAGAAAACAAACAGTTGTGCTAGCAGGAAGACCTGCCATCTGGGGATTTGCACTGTTAGCAGCTTCTGCTGTGTCCTCATTCTTGCAGAACCTGATGTGTGGGGTTTCTTCTTCAACGTAGTTTCTGAGCCCATCCCATGCCAGCAAGCTGTCATTGCAGCTTTACCTCAAGGGGGGCTCTGACTGCCTTTTTGTTACCCTCTATAAGCGTGTATTTGGGTGTGTGCTGTCTACAATTATGTTGGTGAACAGGTGGGAAGTGGAGGTGAGACGTGAATGAAGTAGGAGTTAAAGTATAAGCTCTGCTCTAGATGAACTAACAGGGTACTTTGAGAAACCAAGGTGAGAGTTTTGTCAAATAGTTCTTCCTAGCCCGTGGTTGCTCAGGGTTTAGGGTGGATGCGGCTGGGACCTGCTGCAGCCAGGCGGATGGCTGTGAGAATGAACAAGGAGGCCTGGCAAGTGCTGCTGTGGGGGCTTACCCTCCAGGCCACGGTGTCGAGCTCTTGCTGTGCCTGCGGCTGGATCTCACAGCTGGGTGATGAAGGTGCTCAGGGCTGGAGCACTTGCACTGGCTTTTAGCACGGGACCTGAAGAAAGGTTGGGACCCATCCAATGACTGTCACCATGCAGAAAGCAGTTCGTGCCACAGGGTACTTGGGGTATTTCTGCTGTATGTAGTGGCAGCAGAGGCTGCGTTTCTGGAGCACACAGGGCTGGGAGTTAACTGCTGTCCTGCCCACAAGAGCTGAACCAACGCTAACCACTCAGCATGCTGGAGCTTACCTACTGGCAGGTGGACATGCTTTACAGCAACACTTCATCTTCACAATTAAAATAGACAGCTGATTCTTTTCTTCACGATGTTGTTGTAAATGAGGGACAAGTTTACTGAAGCTAATAAAGCCACACTGGTGTGAGAGCAGACCGAGCATGGTATGTGTGCTGTCTCTGCTAATCAACCTCTCTTCTTGCCTGAAGGATTCTCCTGTTCTTGTTTGTTAGTGCTTACTTAGCTCATTGCATAGAGGACTTGGCAGAGCTGTTGAAAGCAGCATATTTATTCATTTGAGATAAGGTAAAATTGGCTTATTTAAAAGGTTAAATTTGAACTTGCAGGTTGCATTGATTTAAAAGAAGTAGAGTGCACTAGGTTTGTAATATATGGACTCTGTTCCTCAAGAGGAATGTTTTTCCCTTGACCTATCCCTTTTGTCCAAAAGTTTCCAAAAAGTCAGTGTATGCTTCAAGGTGCAAGACTGTCTTAAAACCACATAAATAAGTGACTCTTCAGGCTGAACTCAGCAACAGCTGATCCAACAGCTGGCAGTGGGGAGGCGGGAGCCTCCTCAGTGCTGATAAGTACAACCTGGAGCAAGACACAAATGGCCAAGGAGCTTTGATCCATCCACAGAGGGAGAGGACCTGGCTGAGGTGTTTGAGCCGCTGGGAGGGTAGAGAAGCTGAAATGAAGGAAAGGGGATGAGTATTGCATTCATTTGTAATGTTTTCCTGTTGAAAGCTGTTGTGCTTATTGCAGAGTTGGTAGTACATTTGGAGTTAGGAAAAACAATGTCCTGTGTTAGCAAAATAACAGTTTAGGTAGGAGGCTTTATTACTGTTTGTGATCCAATTCCTGCCCTAATGCTGAGGCTTTCTTAGTCTCTTGTGTTGGGCTCTGAGGACTCCTGTGCATGCTGCCTGCAGCCTCCCTGCTCGCTGCGAGTGCTCTGCTTTGGTGCTGCGTGGGCGAGCGCTGGACACACGTTTGGTTCCATCTCACATTCATCACTGACCTAGAAAAATGTCTCTCACTGCACACCCAGCAGGACAGGAAACATAACTCGAAGCAGAAAATGGAACCGTCAGTTCCACACTCCTGCATGTTATAATATAATCCATTTTGTTATCATGTTTTCTATTTTCCGAACTTTTAGTTAATTACTATTAAGGGTAGTATTTTTTGGTAGCATTCTGACTTTGTTAATGCCACTGCTACTTGAGAAGGTGTCTGACAGATGCTGATTTATTGGAAACCATACTTTTTAAAGCCTATTGTAACTGGACTATGTGCTGGCTATCGCAGCCAATCCAATGCAGCATCCCTCTGCTTTCACAATTCTTTATTAGCCTCTCTGGCTGTCACATCTTGCAGCCCAAAGCTTAACTTCTTTGATTAAATTACTTTGTGCAGAAAATGTCTCAATTCAGGATGAGAACAGGTGGATTTCACTGCGTGCCTTATTTTCCAATACTTTGTTGAGGCAAAATCCAGACATTATTAAAAGCTTGTATAAAAGCGTCTCTTTAAAGAAAACTGAAAAACAAACCAAGTAAAACTCAGAGCATCTAGCAGTAGTTTATATAATTAAAAGTACCCATTTGAAACCACTGTGTGAGGAGCACTACCATGAGTATTACATATATTGCCTATTACATGTATTGAGCTATTTGTGTTAAGCAAGGATCCTTATACGTAATGAAAATTCCTGCCACCTCATGCATTTTTTTGTCTTTAAGGGGTAGTTGCAGTCCATCCTCATTCAAATAGCCAGAGGAACTTGAAAAGTCACTCTGCTTAGAAAACACCTGTTTTTTTTTCTTCCCCTAATGTAGAATATAAACTTGTGAGGGAAAATCAGGGGTACTGTCTGTGATGTCAATGCAATACCTAGAACTACAAAAGCAAAAGGGACAAATGGGGTGAAATCTGAACACCACAGCCTCAAGCAGGGCGAGGAATACAAATGCACCCTGGCAGTGTTTGTGTCTGAGCAGGGAGTACAGTTGCTGCTTCTGTGCACTTGGAAGCGTGAAAACCATCTTTGCTGAAATTTTGCTGTCAAACTGATGCTTGCTCAGGGACTGCTGGAGGAGGGAAAGTGAGCAAGCTGAAGCCTGCCTGCCTGCCTTCAGGGAGATGTTCCTCGGCTGCTCGCAGATGCCAGGGGCTGGCTTCGGTAGGTAGATACCACAGGGAGCACTGGCGGTGGGTCGGGATGCTTCTGTATTCCCTCCCAGTCTGGCTGAGCTAGACACACTGAACAGCACAAAAAAAAGCCTTTTTGGAAAACTGGTAACTGTTATGTAAAGGCAATTCTATGGTTTTGCTTAGATAGATTTAAGGGCAAATATTATGCAGAGCATAAATAAGATACTGTTTTTATTACAACTGGTCTCAGACATTTGTCTGTACCTCAGTAAGCTCATTTGAGCTTTCAAAATGAAATTAATGTTGTGAGCTGACCAAAAGTCAAAGTACCTGGTTTATGAAACTATGGGAAGCTGAGGGCCAGCTGCACAAAACGTGGTGCGTGGTGAACAGAAAGGAGGTGCAGGAGAAATGCGTGGGGCTGATAACTGCCTGATAAATAACTCGCATTCTTAGTGCAGTAAGGCAGAATCTATCTATCTGGAATCCTTTCATGGATATTATCTTCCCAGATCCTCAATGGCTTTGCAATCCCATGGACTTGATGACAGAGGATGCTTTTTAATCAAGTTAACTGAATTGGGTTAACAGCCCCTTACACTCCTGGAGATCCACTTTGCAAATTTGTTTCAGAAAAAAATGTCCCTACGTGGTCTGTATGTTCAGAATACCAAATGCATATTTTTTTTTTTTTTTGGCCACACTAGTTGTTTCAGGGAAGCCTGTTTGATTTCTTAGGTTCTTAAAGTTAAGCAGACATTCAAATAATTTGCAGGGTTGGGACACCTAAATCTTGGTACATATTCTGAGCTCACAATGTCCAGATTTGGAAAAAAATCCAATTTCCTCATGACCAATTCTTCTGTTCCTCCTATCAATTCTTTCAAACTGACATAATAACCACTTTTGGTAGATATTTTTGTAAAATTTCCAAACATAAAATGTAAAACAAATACTGATTTATTCTCAGTTTAAAGCTTTACTTTTTTTTTTTTTTTTTTTAAAATCACACCCACAGGACGTGTAACAAATAAAAATCAGTGTGATGACAGCTTATACAACAGATAAAGTTAATATTAAGATCTTTTCAAGAGCTAACAAAATGAAATGTGTGTTTATTTTTCTAAAAATCAGCACCTTTTTCTCTCTTTGTTTCTTATATTCAGCAGCCATCCTGCGTGAATGGCAGTTTGACAATATTCTCGTTTTGGAAATTAGGTACTGAGGGGTTTTCCTCTTGATCTGCAACATATAATTGTGCAGGGAAGAAAAAGATCCTATACAAATACTGCACTTCCTCAGCTCAACATGAAAAGTATCTGCTCTGCAGCTTCATTATGAGAATGCCAAATGTTCCCTCGATAACAGAGCCTATGGCAGTATGAGCTTTATTGTAGTTTCCCTTAGCAAGTGTTGATGGATTTATGGAGGCCTTCATTAAATATAGGCTTAAAGGATATCCGCTATCGCCCACTTGTCAAAAGAAAAAATAATATCAAAGCCATCCGTGCAGATCAGAGATGCAGGTGTTAACAGTGCATTATAATCTGGTAGTGTTTAACTTGCCAATTAATTGCAGTAGTCTTGTCTGAGTTCAGACGCTTGACAGATAAATTTAAAAGATGAATGCATCTCTTGTAGGCTTAGGGCACATGTACACGGATACCATATTGCTAATGATTCTTGCTTTGGCATCCCTGTTCATGTTTGCATTTCTCTTACAGAAACGCTTCTTCCTGGCAATGACGGTGTGCGTGTGCAGCCGGTGCCCCCCAGGAGCAGGCAGTTTCTGCATGTTTGCTCTTATTTTGAGTGAAGGCAATAGCCCGCATCTGTCCCAGTGCTGCCTCGCAAGGGTGACGTTTCACCTCACCAGAGCTGCCTGTTTCCTTCTCATCTGTGAGTCAGTAGCATGGGGAAAGCACGCAGCGTCCGCCTGCCTGCTGCACAGCTTCTGCACGCCGGCGAGTTTGCAAGTCCCTGGCAACCCAGTCCCTGCTCCTGCACACCTGCCTGCCTTGCAAATGCTGCCACTGCATGCACAGCTCCGTAACGAAGCTGAAAATACCATCTGCACTCGGTTATGTTTTCAGACTCGGAAGGTGCATCCTGGTATTTGTAAAACACGCAGTTGTGAAATCAGGTAATAATAGGTACAAAGCTTAGTGTCACAATTTGAGTTGCCTGTGGAATCATTGGCATTTTGTGCAACCAGTTACGCGTGAGCCATCTCTTTAGATGTCAGAATTACCTTTAATTGGATACTTGGGTGGGGGTGTGGGCAGGGAAGCAATAAACAAAACAAGCAAAAGCTACTGTAGTCCCAAATCTCTAATGCTCTTCCAGCGTATAAAAGGTCAAGTAGAATATTATTATTGTGACCTTCTACAGGGTTCATCAGGTGAAAACACAGGAGTCCTATGCATAAAAGACTCCATCATTTATTTAGTAATGCAACCAAAATTGAATAAACCTATGGCATCTTGTGCTAAAGAGGTAGTGAGTACAATTTGCAAATGTACCCTCAAAGCTAACATCCACGGTTTGAGTAGGGAACTGGCACAAGGGCTTGCTCTTTGGAGGAATTTAGGCACCACCCTGTAATAGCTTATTATTCACATGTTCTTTAGTCAGTGGAGGGTAGAGACCTGGTTCCATATGAGGACTGATGAAATACTCAGGGAAGGCATCACTTGCAGGTGAGCAGCTGGAGGCAGAGCTGTGAGGAAGAGGAGGTGGCAGTGCTGCATAATGGGGTGGGGGAGAAGGGCCAAGGGATGGGGTGTGAAGGCTCTCTTCCAAGAACGGAGAACCACTATAGTAAGTATGGTTCTTGATTTTTCTTGATGTACAGGTGGTTCAAAGCATTTGGCATCTAAATTATTTGTATAAAATAATTTTTAATACAAATTATGTTGATTTTTCAGTGCTGGTTTGCATTTGCGGTTAGGAAAGGGGACTGAAATTATCAGATTATTTTAACTTTATTCCTTTTATGGTCTAGGCATCCCTGGGCAGTCAGTCATGTACGCAGGCTGTTCTTTGCAAGACTGAACTTTCACTTGTCTTCACAAACTTGAATGGCAGACCACAAGAGACTCATGACTATTCAGGGCATAAAATATAATCCCACTTGCAAAACAAGTGTGCTTGCACTGCCTGCTCTGGGAAAAGATGCTAAATCATTCTAATCAACCACCTGGCAGATTTGTACAGCCCTTTGCATTACAAATGGGGGCTCAACCTTGGACTTTCTGATTTCTGCTTTTGAAACAGGGTATGTAATGTGCAGTGACAAAAACGCTGGATAAATTCTGCCTACAGGACAGACCCAGAGGAGATCAAGTGCTCCAGATTTTCTCTATGAAAAGAATACAGGGGAAAAAAATAAAACACTGTTTGCTGTGGTCTTCATTTAATTATCTGGGTAAAAAGGAAAACAAATAATAGATAATGATTTAAAATATGAAAAACAAGTTAGCTTATTTTAGTTAGCAGTTGTCAAATTCTCTGCTTGCAAAAATAGAGCATCAACAGAACAAGCCAGTGGCGTCAGAGAAACCAAAACAGGCTTTATTTCACTTGATTTAACAAGCCTTGAGAAGTTAGACTGGAGGCTTTCCTTTGGGCATTCCTTCTCAACAGGCAAATGAAAGGTTTGGGAATCAGGGGAGCACATACCTGCCATGAATGGTGAGATCTGATGCAAAAGCTTTACAGCAAGGCTAATGCTACAGAAGAAATATATCAAGAAGTGGGTTTAGTCCGCTGTGCTACAGGCTAGTCTAGATTGTTCACTGTGATTTTCTAACTAAAATCAAACACATTACAACACAGGGCAGAAAATGAGAGTCCCCTCAAGGAAGGCTCTGAAAGCTTGTTTGAATCCTGAGATGCTGTGGGAGCAAGTCTGTAGACTGCACAATCACAATTGCTCGATTTCTGGCACTGTTTGCCGCATTCATACTAGCTGATTATGCAGGTATGCGTAAACCTGGCTATGCTTCCCTTTATCTACTCCATGTAAAGGAGTGATGGCATTCATTTCTGTCCTGAATCACACAGATGTCAAGGGCCAAAATGTGGTGCTAAAAAGAATGCTGGCAACATTAAAATTCAGTGCCACTTCCACCTCAAAACAAGTAACATTGATATTTGAGAAGTTCTATTTATTATACAGACTGAGACTAAAGGCTTGAGGCTATGGTTATCATTTCAGCCAGTCACAGCATAGGGCCAGTGGTTTTGTGGCAATGGTGATAACACTCGTGACAGTTTTGGTTACATAAAACATCCTGTTTAGGTGCTGCAGTTGCTCCTTTTATTACATTATCATTTGAAGTGAATTCTATTATTGTATATTTTCTCTCATTAAATATATATAATGTATATTGTTTTTGCTTTTTATTCTTGAAGTTGAATACGAGAAAAATGGAACAAATGGGTTTTATGAGCTGAAATGTTTGTAGGAGGAGAAGGGATTTCTACTTCTATTTCTATTGCCCCCATGAGTGGATAAAAACGATAGATCGAGAAGAAATTAAAACATGATATTACTATATTGAAATACAGTACAGTCTTCTTGGCATAAGACTGCAGTAGCTCAAATAGCACTGAAAATATCTACCTAAACAGTCTCAGTGGTGGTGCCTGAAACTGGTGTAACTATTAATTACGTTGCTGAAATGTCCTCATTACAAAATGTCCGGATGACTGCTGCAACTGTACAGAAAAAAATTAAATGACAACTGCAGTTTTTGTGCTGTTGTAATCCGTAGTATGACCTGAGCTAGAGCTCAGCAAGGACAGGAAATCAAACAGAGCTACCCAGAAACTCTAATGGGGCTCACTATTCTTTGTTTTTCTTTTCCTTTTTTTTTTTTTTAATATTTTTTCTTCTCTTTTTATTTTCCTTTTTCTTTTTCTCTTGCATGAGAACTTCTCATTGTAAAAAAAAATAAAAAAATAAAAAAATAAATCCATCTATTTGGTATATGCTATGCTAACGAATTTTTTTTGGTAGATGAAATTACACCATTAGTGAGATGCTAATCAGAGTTTTCATTTAAGTGTTATTAGTCTACATCATTCTGATGTTAGGCACTTTCCACCAAAAAAAAAAAAAAAGCACGAGATCTAAGAGTTAGCACTTGTGATACCACTACGCATGTCTTCTACTCATGTTTTTCTCTGCATTCTTGCAAAGCAATTCTGTTCCTTCTATAGGAGAAGAATCGCTCATATTTTTTTCAAATAAGTATTCATTAAAGACTAGTAAATTATTAAAAAAAAATAAATATTAGTATTATAAAGAAGTCATTAAATAATTTTGAACAACAAAACTGGCAGATCACATGATTTTCTCAAATATTTCACATTGAAAACAGGACTTACCACACTGTAGGAAGTGAACGTGGCACTGAAGGATTAGGATGCATGTTGTTAGCTTTGGGGACAGGCGCTGCATCCTTCAGAATACATACATTTTGTCTCTAACAGGTATTTTAAAGACTGTCATTTAAATGCCATAATTTTTTATATTACTGTACACAACATGCTTGCATAGTGCTGCTTAATTACGAGACTCATCATTTTTTATCATGTACATGTATTTTTGTCGCCCAGGATCCCGAGATGAAACATGGCAGCAAAGTACACTCTGTAACTAACGTACAGTTTGAACTGACACGTGGGTTACTCACACTCTGCTCTTGGTCACTGTCCTTGTGGCATTTTAGCTGGGCAGCACAGTGAGCAGCTTGGAGTGGCCGTGCAGGCAGATGCATGCTGGCAGCCTGGGCAGCAGAGAGTGGCACCGCACGCGTTCATGGCACAGCTGCATGCGTAGGCACTGAGTTTTTGCCCCGTGAGCATTTCCAGGAAGGTTACTCGTTAAGGGAAAGATTTTGCCACCAGCCTGCCAATGGAAGAGGAAAAGCTGGCCTTGCTCTAGAAAGAGGTTCACATTTTGTGGTGACCAGGACTGCAGTGTGAGAGGCTGTAATGGATACGTAGCTCTGTTTTATACGATCCTTATCTGCGCTGGGCATTTCCTCCATCTGTAGAGGTGCACCGGTGTAAATCTTTGTGGTTTCAAACAGGAAGGAGCTACACTGACACAAACAACAGCCTCCAGCACATTTGCTGCGCAGGCGGCAGGAGCAAACTTCGGGCAATGGCCAGGGCAGCTGGAGCGCTATTACCCGGCAATAACCTTGTCGTCAGCTGGCTGCAGTCAGCACCTAGGGCACAGCCAGTGCTCAGTGCAGGAAGGTTTTGGTTACAGCCAGCATCCAACACCCAGGCTGTGATTCCCTGGGAGGTGAGGTCCTGGTGCAGCAGCACGCTCCCTGAGCTGCCCGGCTGCCCACAGGCTGTGCTCCCATCCAACTTCCCATGGGATTTGAAATAAAGACATAACGGCCCTCTCCCAGACAGATGTTTTTTGTAAAAGCAGTCACTTTGCCAAGCTGATTTAGAGCGCAGCCACACAGCGAGGTACGTGGTGCAGGGGCACGACGAAGCAGGAGGAAGTGATGTGTAAGGGCTACGGGCTGGATCCGCACTGACCAGATGTCACACCAGGACACAGAGCCATCGCCTTGCTGGTTACAGAATTTGAAGGTTTTTTTTCCCTTTGTTTTGATTACTGAGATTTTTCTCAATCACTTGGTTTTCTCTGCTGACTTTCACCAAGCTTCCACCAGGCTATCATCACTATTTCTGGTGGCTGACCAGATACCATTAGCCCTGTTAGACTTCCCTATTTGTGGCTTTCTAGATATTTTTAACATTTAAAAAGGATGTTGTATAGGAGCATTTGTCTTGCCCATTTTTTTTTTCGCAACAACATCACTAGCAATGCATACATCATGTAACTGGGACCACGATGGTACCACTTCACAGTCTTTGTTATGAAGTACATCTTTGCCACTGGGAATTTTGTTTTTCATGTTTGAATGAAGAACAAGGTCAGCAGCAAGAAAGGTGTGCAGGTCCTGAGGGGTTCCTTTGCTTCCTTGTTTATGGCAAAGAAGAATGTGAAGATGTGGAGATGGCAGGTGGAAAATGCAATGGAGATGGGAGAGGTGGAGTGAAGTGAGATAGATGGAGAGGACGGAGCAGCTGGCAGATGACCCATTGGGCTGGGGCAGGGACATGAAGCAGCTATGGGAAGGCCCGCGGCTGTGTCCCTGCCTGACAAAACCCGCACAGGCCAAGCACACACAAATCTCTTCAGTCTCAGCTGCTGCTGTCCAGCACGTTATTGGAATCTGGTTTGTACACCCAGTTGACAGACAGTTTATTTAGGTGATTTTACAGAAAAAAAATGTAAGTCACAAACAGCGTGGACACGTTGGAACAATTTCTGCCTGGATTTGCGGAGGAAATCCGTGTCAGGACCCAGAAGCGAGCGCTGCCACGCGTGGGTGACAGTCCCCGGGCCCTGCACGAGTGGGGTGCGAGGTGGGCGCAGGCTCGGGGCGCCCCCCACACCCCTGCCCGCTGGGGGGGCTTCGGCCGCGGGCACGGCGGTGCCGGGGGTCGGGACCCCGAGGGGGCGGCGTAAAGCAGCGGGCATAGACCGGGCCCGGAGCGGGCCGAACCGGGCCTGAGGGAGGCCGGGGGCGAGGCGGGGCGAACCGGGGCGGGCGGAGCGGGCGCGGCACCTGCGTGCTGCTGAGCCCGGCCCCTCGGCGAGCCGAGCCGAGCCCGGCCGAGCCGTGCCGAGCCGAGCGAGGCGCTGCTGGGAAGCGCATCCCGCCCCGCTCCGCCCCGCCGGCCGCGGCCATGACCGACAACATCCCGCTGCAGCCCGTCCGGCAGAAGAAGCGGATGGACAGCAAGCACCGCGGCGGGTGAGCGCACCCCGGGGGCGGCTGCTGGGCTGCCTTCATCCCCCCCGCCTTCTCCTTCATCCCTTCCTGCCCGCTGCCTTCATCCCCCCCGCCCTCATCCTCCTCCTGCCCGCTGCCTTCATCCTCCCCCCTCGCCCGCAGCCTGTGCTCGGGGTGTGGGTTGGGGGGCGCCGCGCCCCGGTCTGAGCCCGGAGGAGGAGGTGAGGATGAGGAAGATGAGGAGGATGAGGAGGAGGCGCTGACAGGTTGCTCCTGACGCCATTGCCGCGGCACGCCCGGCGGAGGGAAGGCTCCTGCTGGGGCTGTGGGAGCGCGGCCGGTCCCTGCGTGGGGAGGCAGCTGCCTGGCCTGCCCCTACCCCCATCCCATCCCCATCCCATCCCTATCCCCATCCCCGAGCTGCTGCAGCAATCAGAGCCCGGACACAAAGCGGTGCTGGGCGGCAGCGAGAGCCCCCGGGGGTCCCCGTGTCCCCCCGCTGCATCCCCGCCGGGTGGGGAATTGAGGCTGGGGAGGGAATGGTGCTGCTGCCCCAGCCCGCGGCCTCTGCCTGGGGATAATGTTGGCCCAGCAACAGTGTTTGTGGATCTGTGACAAAGGTCTGGGGCTAAACAGGCTTTAACTGTATCCGTGACAGCAATACAATGTGCCTGCTCGGTGGTGTTGCAGCGTTCTGCATGTGGGATGTGTTCCTGGAGATGCCTCTGGGTGTTGGTACTGATATTTCCTTCCCAGCACCTTCCTAGGGTGTTGGTACTGATATTTCCAGCCAGGAAGCTAAATAGGAGGAATGAGCCTCGAACGCTGTTTGCGTAGGAAATGGCCCCTCTGCCAGACAGGTTGGTTTGTACGCAGCAGAGCGTGCGGGGTGCCGAGTTACCTGGCTGTCAGGAATTGCTGTGCAGGCCTTGGACGTGTGTGCTTCTAAATGTGAGTGATGGGAAAATAAAGCAAAATCTCCAGGGAAATCACGCCTGTCAGAACAAGAGGAAATTGTTACTTTTTCCGTTGTTTATTTTTTGTTGGTTGATGGTTTTTATTGGGGTTCCTTTGATTGAAGTTGTTCTCTGTAGATTATTTGAATTATTCCTTGTTATCAACGTTGTTTCTATTAGCTGGCACGGATGTTGCCACATCAGCCTAGGCTGAGCTGGGAGGTATGTGTGATGCAGCAAATAATTCCCCAGCTGCTGTGTAGCATGCACGGCTGGACAGGTTCCACAAGGTGCAGCCACCGTGGCATTCAATTTGGCAATGTGATTGAAAGGGATCAGCGAGAGCAGGCAGCCGCCAGAGAAATTTCTCAAAGGTTCTTGAATCATTGGTTTCAGAAAGTGCTCCAAGCTCCAGCAAGCCCCTGTTAGCAGTGTCTGACCGAAATAACCCTCATCTGACCTAAGCTGCAGCTCACTGGTTATGGACCTTACCTGGTGAGCAGTCACAGAGGTGATGCTTCCTGTGCTAGTGAGAAATCTTGGCAGCATGAAGTTGTGAAGGAAGATGAACGTGGGATTTTTCTTACTAGCAGTCTGAGTAACTGGGATTTGGTTTTCTGTTCGGTGCTGTAACTGTTTGGGGATGTGATTGCATCCTGGGAACTGCTGTCTTGTTTTACTGATCAGGAGGCTGTGATAGGTCAGTAATTCTGGATGATAGAGTGGATTGCATTGAGGTGAGGCAAATCCAAAATACTGTTAGCAACTGAAGGAGGAATCAGCCAGCAAGCTGGAAAAGGTCGTGTGGTCAGATCCAGGATGGAGTCCTGGGAGCCGTAAGCCATAATCGAGACCTTCTTACTTCCGTTTCCTCTGAGGAAAACACAAACAAAGACACTTGAAAGTCACCTTCGTTTATACGTATGAAAACCCAGTGGTAACCAAGCCTAGAAAGGCTTCACCTTTATATAGCCCCAACTGCAGTTTATAGAGTGTCTATTTTTCCCCCAATGGGGACAAGTTCTTGGGCAGATTTTGTCAGCTTGGTCTTCTGGAGTGGGAAACAGATTTCTCTTCCTGTACTGAATGGCTTCATAGAAATCCTTGTGTATGTTAGCAAAACAGAAATAAATGCCTAATTCTCCCGTAGGCAGCCAGGGGCAGGTGTCATCCAAGCACAGCTTTGATTACAGCCTCAGTCTCTAGCGTACTTTGAAGAGAAGCCAGAGAGGAACTCCCACAGTAGCCTTGCAGAGATGAATAATGGTCCAGACAGCTGAGATCTGTGTCAAAGAGAGAAAGCATGTGCTTTATAAACCAGTGGGAGTAGTGGTTATCTGTTCCTGAGCATAACTTTAATGTGGGTCTTCCTGGCCACAATCAAAGCCTGTGTGCTCTGTGTTCTCCTTGAATTCAGCTGTATTCATCCAAATGCTTTGCAGCACTCTGAAAACCACTCTGAAGTGTGTGCCAATTAGGAAGGAAGGATAGCATTAACTAATGGGACTGCTGGTGCTGTGGCATGGGAGCCTGAGCTTCTCAGGGGCTGCACTCTGACGGGAAGTGAGCTGCAAGTTCCTGAAGCACCCCAGATGCTCTGTTCAGTGCATGACACAAGTTTTTCCCTAAATAGCTTATGGTCTCAGTCCACAATCCTGCGAGGCTTTTTTTTGAAACCAGCAAACTGCTGTGCTCACGCTGCCTCTGCAATGGAAAAAGGCCTCGATCCAGAAACACGGGGGGAAGGACAGGGAAGGAGGAGCTTTCCAGTACGTGCCTGTGGGCTCTCCTGGTCTGTTTAAAATGGCAAATTCCATTTCAAAGTCAACAGAGAGAGACGGGAGCTCCTGGCAGCCACCTGCCTGCGTGTGGGTGTGCCAGGGCAGGGCCAGGCTGGCTGCAAGCAGTCGGGGGGAGCTGCAGAGATGCCCCGAGACAGGGTACCCGCCCGTTGGGTAATGTGGAGGTGTGTAAAGAGGCAAGGTGGTCATGCACTGCTCTGATTTTTTTTTGTCTTTTAAATTAATGGATAATTCTTCATATGCTTTTACAATAATGAAATGTAGGAGATGGGTTTGTGGATTAAAGGTGCCAGGGGATTAACAGCACTGCCTGTGGGAAACGTAGAAGCATCATCTGAGAAATGTGAATGCTGTTGTAGGAATGACTGAATGCATGGAAGAACTTCAGCAGTAATTTGACCAAAACCCATCACTGTATTAAGAAAATGTGGCACTTTTTTCATTATTTTTTTCTTTCATAAGCATTTTTCATGTTTTCCCTAATATATTTCTTTATCAGACGTGCTACATTTATAAATACAAACTGCCTCTTGGTAGTTGCTTTTAGTTGGGCAGCTGACAGTCAATCTGTCATATTACTGTTTCTTACATCATTGCTAAGAATGCATTCTTGTAACCAAATATACTCCCATGTAAAATACACAGTAAACCTTTCTGATCTTTACCAGCTCACGTTCATTCAGATCCCTGTGCAGATTAAAAGCCGTATCACCTATAGGACTCAAAGTTCAGGATGCAGCTCGCATCAAAAAAGAGATGCTTTTGAACGATTTTGGTGACTTTAGAGTGTTTTGCTGTTTCTCAAGTTGTGATTTAGAATGTGAATGGCACGATGCTGTATAAACTTCCCCATATAAGCTGCCTTCATACGCTTTTTCATGTTATTTCCGTAAGATACTCATTTATAAAGTTCATGGTATGCAGTGGTTTGTTAATTTGCCACACTTCGGGAGCTCTTACAATAGTGTTCTCCCATACCTCAGTTGCAATCCAGAGTAGGAGAAATGTTTAGAAATGTTTAGAAATGCGTATTCCTAAACTTTTATAGAAAATTGCTCACATTTCTGTAACTTTGTGATTCCTATTCCTGGAAAGTGCATGCTAATTTTATCAGCATCTCTGAGCAGCAGTGAGGGAATGATGTAAGCTGTTCTTTAATAAAATCTTTCTCTCTTTTCAAGGATATAGTCCCTTGACTTCCTGCTGGAAAAATATTTTATTATTCCTAATAATGCAGATAATTGTCTCCTACGAGAAACAGCCAGCTTCCTGCAGTGACACTGACATTGCCCTGAACACAAACTGGGGAGTAACGTGATGGCCTGAGCAGCCCCTTCCCTCATAGGATAGGGCCTTAAGCTTGATACCCCAAAATAGGGATGGTGTCCAGAGAAATGGCAGATCACAGAGCTATGCATGGACAATAAAATTATTAAAAGGAAGAACACGTAAGCCAGGTAGAAAAGCTGACAGCCCCAATTTAAAGGGCTTCTTATTTAATGAGTACCAAGATAATCTTAAAGTACCTTTGTGTATTTGTTTGTGTGTGCCCAGAGGCCCAGAGTACTTGATTAACAAATCCATTCAGTTGGACACCAGAAACAATGTGGTTTTTTGTTTGTTTGTTTGTTTTTTGAGGTTAAGTTTACTCTTCCCCTTCTTCTCCTTAGGGGTAGTACTGAGTAGACTGCCTGAAATGTTTGTTAGGAAGTTCACCATCAGTCTTCTGCATCTTTTTTCCATTTTTCACTTGGTATGAGTTGTTTCATGGATAGGAACCCTGTTCTGTCATCTAAGCACGTGGGTATCCCAAGTTTCGTGTTGAGGACTGTGCACCCGTAGTGTGGCCATCTTTTCCCTGGTGCAAGCCCTCAGCAGCTTTGGAGTTTTTGCTTGGGTGGCTGTGCACGCGCAGCAGTGGTGCAGCAGGGGTGAGCACTGTGCTGTCACCCCATGTGCTCTGCCAACACAGCCCAGTGCAGTAATAAAAGTGCCCATGAAAAACTGGAGTTTATTCACTTTGTAACATCAGCACGTGTAAGACAAAAAGGGTTTGGGGGGTGAAATTGTCCTGCCTGCACGTGACATTATTGATGAAGGTTGATGAAACCTGCCATTAGTCTGTTAAAACACAAACTGCCAGTGCAGCCACTCCTGTTTGCATAATGCAGTTTGTAAGGAACACAGATGGTGTATGGAGGATTTTCAGTCAGAAATAATGAGCTTAAATATGTATTCTTCGTTAATGAAGTTTAAGACATCATCGAAGAGTTAAAAATAAATAAAATGATGACCCTTGAATATCTTTTAGGCTAGGGAGATAAGCATCAGTCTGTAAGAATGAGCACCTTGTTCTGTTCTTGAGACGTATCCTTGCCAAGAGCTCCATTTCTAACATTGCAACAGGCTGTGGGCTGGCACTTGCACAATTAATGTGCAGATAGCTGGCACCACCAGCGGTCCTGCCAGCCCCAGCTTCGGGCTGTGGCTTTCTGCTCTGCCCGCTCAGCAAAACACGGGCAGAATGCAGGCGGTTGGTGGGACAAAAGGGGAAAACAAAGGGAATAGGCAAAAGTTAAATGCCAGCACTGGGGTTGACAAGATGCTTTCATTTTAAAAAAATGAAAACATATTTATCTTTGGGGATCTTCTTTAATATATGAGATAAAGATCAGCATTTGTACTGCCAGGGTTTTCAGCTGCGGGTGTACAAGTTCCCAGCTCAGCACTGTGAGGCAGTGACGTAGCGGGATTCCTGGGCTTGCTGATAAACCTCCCTGCAGTTGTTGCAAAATGCGACTTTGTTATTGCTGGGTGTAGTATTGTGTTCCATTGGCTGGATTTTTTTTTTTTTTGACAAATTTATGTTGCAAAGAAACCATGTGTTAAAAGGCTACAAAGAAGATTTTGTGGTAGAAATGCTGGATATTCTTTGCTGGAGCATTGATACTACTGATAATCGCCTTCAGAAACTTGTTAGGCAGGAAGTTTTTCTTTTGTTTGTCTAATTATGTTTTTGGTTTGCTTTCCCTGTAATTCAGGAGGTTGTGAAAACTGTGACTCTAGCCAGGGAGTAATTTCACAAAACTGTTACTTTACACAGCAGATTCTCCCATGCCCTTTCTTGTTTACACTTAGAACTGCGTTATTTTTAGACTGATTCTCAAACCTTATAGTAACACATCATTTGGAAATTAAAATTCCTCCAGCAACAGGTTTTTCTGTGGTGGGAATGCTGTGAGAGGTCATGGCTTTGATTGCAGAACATGTGCTAAATTTTGGGTTATTTCACTTCTGTGAAATTGCTTTGTACTTCCATACCTTCACAGGTGCTGTCAGTCTTGGCTGCGATCTCATTTGGGAAAGCACAATTGGAAGCAGTTTTGCAGTGCTAGGTGTTAGTTTTCAAAGTATTGAATCCATAGTTACTTGGAAAAGATGAGGAGCATTGGAATTGTATGTAAACAGCTGGGTGGAGCACATTCTTTTAAAGGTAAAACGTTCTGTTTAGTTTGTGGGTTCATTTGCCATTTTATTTTACATTCATGATGAAATAGGCTGATAAGTCATAGAACTTTTTAAAATGTCTGGAAGTCTGCTTTGGAGTCTTAAATATTGGCTTGAAAATCTGTCCTAATATTTAGATTTTTTTTTTTTTTGAGCTTACAGATGAATGTTACATTGTAAAAATTAACAGCACAAGTAAATTATCTGTTAAACTATAGAAGTATCCTGCCAAAGCCTTATCCTATAGTGAATATTACAATATAGGTGCCTAGCTCTTTCTGCTGTTCAGTAGGATCCTGACAAGAGGCCCAACCTAAAAAATAAACAAAGGTAACTGGTTTCAGATGTCTGACTGGAAGGGCTGAGCAACTCCCTCTGTAGCTGGGAAGCACGTCTGATGAAACCGGGTGTGTGAACACCAGGTTTGCTCCCTTGGGCAAAGCCCCTTGTTTGGAGCTTTATCATAGGGGTCATTCTAAATTCACAGTAGTTAAAACATGAAATCAAGGCTAATCTTCTGTGGTTTTCTCCATCATGAAAAAAGGCAAAATACTTTCTTTCTATAGAGCATATCAATTTTCTATTGCAATCCAAACACAACCATTTTCACTATTTTCATTTAAAATTGGAATACAAGTTACTCTTAAAGCGACTGTTCATTTTAGCTCTTTATTTGCAAACACAAAAGGGAACTGCAATTAAAAGTTACCAAGCTACTAAAATATATTGCTGGTGTAGAGTTTGTGAATTGGAGTGTTTAACATCAGCTTTACTGTTTGTCCTATGTTGGCGACAGCTTTTCTGGTGTGGGTATTATACACAGTCATGTGGGGAAGGATTTTCTCTTTAGTTTTCTTAACAAGAAAAAAGTTTGTGGATTTGACAAAAATCAATAGCTTCAGGAGCAAGTGTAACTTTCAGAAGTGGGCTATATTTGGGCTACTGGTGTTTCCTACTTTTTTATGGTACTACCTGTTATGGTACTACAGATTGTCAGGGGTGGAAGTCCACAGAGAAATATTACAAATTCTAGGCAATGTCCCTGCTAAAGGTAAGCAGAGATAGCAGCAGTGGTGCTGCAAGTCCATAGGAAGTCAGATACATCTTCTAGATACTCAAACATCAAAGCATCTCCAATTGTTTTATTCCAGTAATTTGATCTAGGTGATCGTTACTATTAGTTTTTTTGAGCTGTTTGCATTACCCACTGTGTTTATTTTTGTCAGATTTTCCTGCATTTTCTCTTCAGCAAATGAACAGTTTGTGAAGTCCTCAGGTATTGAGGGTTTTGCTTACCTGGAGCTGGTAAGCAACTATTCAGCACCATCCAAAATTTGTGATTTCTCAGCACCAATATGCGTGCTCTGTAGTGCTCTGCAGTCCTATCTGCATGTGTCTGAGAGCTGCTTGAGTGAGAAAAGTGTCCTTCCTATGTCTGCTGGCAGCTCTATGCAAATGGCCTAGGTTGGCCAGGCTAAAGAGCCCACCTCTTCAGGGCTCATCTGCTACTCTTCCTGAAACGGAAAAATGTTAATGGACTTTGATTATGGAAAAAAATATATCTTTTGTATGGTTTTAAAAGCTTGCGAGGAAATTCTCCTGCAAGTCAGCCTTGTGAGGTTAATACCCGTGTATGAAACACATGAGGGAACCTGTTCTTTATGTCTGGAAGCAAAGTTGACTTTCATTACCCTATAGACTGAAGGAAATTATTTAACTGATAACATTTCTTTCTCTATTTGTATCCAGCAGTTACGGACAAACAAACAAAAAGCTATTCTCGTAGAAAACCACGTTCTGTGTGGTAAATTGTAAACTGTTCCTCATGCTGCGTGCATCTTTCTGGCAAGACAGTAACTTCAAGAGCTGAATACTTTGTGTTCTTGCTTAAATAGTTCTTTACTTTTTCATTTAGTTAGGTGTGTATTTAGCTAAAATTCTGTATTAGAGTGCCGTGAACCAAGACAGATCTTAGCAGTGTTTTCTGGAAAGACTTTTTGCAAGAGCTCTGAAGCAATTAGTTCACAGTTTGGCGGGTGGTAGCCTTCCCAAATGTCTATGAAATCCAACAGGACTACTTTTAAATAGAGGGGAAAAAAAACAACAAGAGGGATCAGGAAGAGATTGGCTTTCAGTGTGAAACAGTGACAACAGAACAATGATTCTTTCGGGGTTTGGGAGGTTGTAGTGCTGCCATTTTGAACAGTGAGCGTGGCACTGGGGCCTGCGTGGCTCTGTGGCCGTGTTTTGTTTCAGTACCAGCACCAGCCCTGCCTGAGGTGTTGGCTTGTGGCCCAGTGAGCTGTGAGGCAGGTCTGCAAGGCCTCTGGCTGGCAAGGAGTCAAGCTCTTGGTTTGAAGATGCTCGTAACATGGTGGATACCTGGCAGATGAGAGGTGGCTGGTGGTGGATCAAGGAGCAATCCTCAGATGTTCTTCCCAGCTGGTGGAGGGGGTCTGGGGTGTGTGTGTGCAAGTCAGGATTAAAGATTTACTTCTTGATTTAAAGTTAGATGTTCCTCCCATAGGTGTTGCGAATGCCTAAGATGCTGCGGGAGAAGAGACCCAAGGCCTCGTACGGTTTGGCTTGGCCATCCAGAGAAGAGAGACCAGCGATACCCTCGCAATGTTATCAACAATCAGAAATACAACTTTTTTACGTTTCTCCCTGGGGTAAGTGTGAAGAAAGTTGCTTCTCATCCCACCCCAATGCAGTGCCTGATTTCAGCACTTCTGCAGAAGGGAAGTGCAGAACCTGGAGCTGGAGGAAATGAATAATGTTCACGTTGCATTTGGTGGGCCTCCTGCAAAGGCTGCAGGCAGCTGCAGCAGGACAGACCCACGCCTGGTGGGATGAAGTGGTGAGGAGGACTTCACTTCTCCCCCTGCAACAAGGCCCTGCTGCTGATGAGAAAGGGGCCTGGGTTCGCAGGATGGGCAGCAGCTCCTTGGTGTCCACTCTTCCTGGGAGGAGCGGCTGAATTATCCATCCTATGCATTCTTCTGGGGGCAGCAGGAGAAACAAGTCAGGTTCCCACTGATTTTATAATCAGAAGTCAGTTACTGACTGGTTGGGTAAGAAAATGAACCACTGTCAAGTTTTCTGAGTTAGCTGGGTTCCTCTAATGTCTACAGTGTGATTTTGCAAACAAAATCCTGTAGCTGGTTATGTTCCTGTTTATTGTGAGCATCCCTTTGCAGAGTGGGGATTGTTAAAAGTTTAAATTCAAAGCAAAATGATTTATTTGTGTTAAAGGTTTAGGCCCAGCTACGTGGCAGTGTTATCCAACAGGCAGAGTAAGTTGATCTTTAGCAATGAATTTCCAGACTACTGTAAGTGAGCATTTAGACACCAGAGGAGCAAGCAAAAATGTTTCAGATTGTTGGTTCAATTTGGGTAACTTCTGAACTCCATTAATGTCTTATTTCCTCCTTTTTTTTTTTTTTTTAAGGTGTTATTTAACCAGTTCAAATACTTCTTCAACCTTTACTTCTTGCTGTTGGCCTGCTCTCAATTTGTCGTTGAAATGAGGCTTGGTGCACTTTACACATACTGGGTTCCTCTGGTAGGTAATTTAAGGTTTATTTATTCCAGAAAGTTTTAGTGTTTGACTCAATTTCTTTTGCTGCATTTTTTCTAGGGTGTAAGTCTACACTTCAAATCATGTTGTGAGCTTACTCTTTCAAGCTTTTCTTGTACATATTGTAGGATAGATGCCTGTTTTGGCTTTAAACTTCATTTTGTAAAGGTAAGACCCGGATGAGAGAGGACTATGCCTTCACCTTGTTTGTTGTCTCTTTCATATAAAAGCCATATAAAAATATATATATAAGCATACTTGTACAGCCTCATACTTCCTCAAGGTGCAGATACTCTTTCCTTCCTGCAACCATTTACCCTTTTCTTTTGATAGCTATATGTTTCACTTGCGTTCAGAGGAAATCAGTAATAATCAGCTTTGAAGCACAAACTCCAGTGCTGTCAAAGGATGTAATGAGGAATAGTTCTGTGGGCTTGTTAGATTTCTAAAATGTACTGTACGAGCCAATGAAAACTGTGTAAATGCTTAAGTATAGGTAGCTGTATATTTTTTCTTCAGCTTTTATCCTAGTTAAACTACTGTTTATTTATTTATGTAAATATCTTTTTGCTGCACTTCAGCCTTATAGTGTTATAGAACAATTTTGATTCAGAGATGTCTAGTCCAACTGCCTGCTCAAAGCAGGGCTATCTTTAAACTTAGGTTGGTTTAACTCATCTAGCTGAGTTTTGAAAACCTCCAAGGATAGGCATCTTTTTTACTTTAAAGAAATGATATAAAATCAACTGGAAGTTGATTATAAAAGCAGAGTGTTTTAAGGCACTACTTGTTTGCTCTTTTGTGAAATGGTGGTGGTAAAAATCCATGGCTCAACTGAGTCAGGATGAGGAGGGGCAAAGAAAAATTTTCTTGCCTTTCAGACTTCCAATAGAGTGAAATCCCTGGCAAAAGTCAGAAAGAAGTAAAAGGGCAACTTCAGGACATTGCTTCTAGAACTGTTTGTATCAAAGCCTGGAGCTCACTGAATTCTCTCTCAAGCATGTGCTTAGAATTTCATTTGCAGTATGAATTCAACACGACTTTCCCAAGATCCTGTCCTATAAATAAAGTACACAGGAGCTCCCTTTCTGGGTTTTGTATAGGCAGCTGCGAATTGTCTGTGCCAGGTGAGCAATTAGAGTTTGGCATATGAGTTGCCAGAAAGCAGCATAAGAAAGGTCTTTGTTCATTACTGGCTGCTAGTATGAGTTCTGGGGATAGGATGACATATGTGATGGCATAGTGAGACTGAACATGTGGGAATATTTTGAGGTTATTATTTGAAGACTCTTTAGGTAGCTAAAACATAAGCTGAAAATAGCCAATACTTTTTTTTTAAAAAAAAAAAAAAACAAAAACAAATAGGAATTTCTAGGTAAGCACACAAATGCAGTTTGCACGTGGAAGAGAAATGCTCATTTTCTCAATTTGTTGCTTACCATAATGAGAGAACTACTATGGTGGTGCAAAACATGCTGGTGCTACTGAACTGTAGGGTGAAATGCTTCTCTGAAAAGACTGAATTCTTGGCTTCTTAGTTTCAGTGTTTGTGAAAGCAGCACTGAATACCTGCATTAAAAAAAAATAATTAAATGCCTTCCGTGTGACTCAAGAACACATGCAGTTCTTGTTAAGGAAACCAGGCAGGTTTGCAGAAAAATCTGACTTATTACACATGTGATCCTTATTGTTCTTTGTATGGCAGAAATGTTGTCTTATATTTGTTGTAGGAACTTTCCCTCCCAGTTGATAAATATTGTCTGTTCCCAAACTCATACATGCTCTTCAAAGGCTATAGATGAAGCTGAAAGGCTAGGGGAATAATATTTAAATTTCATTTTAAGGCCATAAGGGAAAGAGATATAGTTAAGACAAATATAAAGCCTTTTTGAAGGGTCATTTGCATGCTTAGATCTTCTTTATTTGTTTCTGCATTTTTAAAAAGTGCCAAAAAATACAGCTTCACGTTTCACAATTAACTGTATTTTTCTCTGATCTTGGTAAGAGAAAAAAAAAAGATTTTGACGCTATGAATATACTAGAACTAATGAAATTTAGTTTTATTATAGGACTGTACGAGCAGGTGAAGTGTATCTCAGCCCCTTTATTAATTACAGAAACTGCTCTCTTGAACTCTCAGTAGCTTTCAGGTCATCCTTCATTGTGTTCTTTTATTTAAAAATAAAAAAAAAGTGAGAATTTGAATTCATACTGTTTTGGGTAGTGTTGCTAGCAACGATATGCAGCAAGGCTTTCCTGAAATGGTTGTGGAGTTCAGGGTCACAAGTTCTTTGTGCCTGACTTAAAAACCTGTACACAACTTTTTTTGGAGGTGTGTGCACAGCTGTTCTTTCTAAAAATGAAGTTAAAGTTGGAAATTCCAGCCCATTGGCCAAATCTTCTGTTTGCATAGTTTGATGTTTACAAACATTTTCTCGAATATTATTAAAAGAGCAACACACATGCTATTGACAGATAATGAGTTCATGGTTGCAATTTTGTATAATACAGGCTGTAAAAAGTTTATATTTCTTCTGTACAGATATGTTTTCACTTTTTTTGAGTCCAAGCTGAACAGTATCTAATAAAAATAACTTCATGCTACTAGTCTCATAAAAAATTATTTTGCATTAAGTTGATTTTTTTATAGTGAAGGGAGCGATGTGGGCATTTTCCTTGTGACATGAGGAAATGACTTCCACAGAAAACTAGGACTAAATCCCTAATTAGCTAAATAGGTAATTATACAATGAGTATTTCATCTCGGTGTGTTTAAGGTGCTTATACATGCACACAGTTTACCAGTATGAATACATACACAGGAATGTACAGACACATTATATGTGTGCATGTGTGTATATATGTTTATATATGTAAAAATCTGGGATATGTTAAATATTTACGTAGATTATATAAGCATATGAAAAACTTGCCAAATTAGGTAAATTAACTGTAATTGTTCTATTTTGGAAAGATAACTGAGATTTGAGGGATTCAGTCTTATACTGGACTTGTGTAACCTCCTTCAGTTGTGGTTACTCTCACCTGTGAAGTGAAATGAAATATTTTCACATTTTAAAAGAAGCACAAAGGCTTGGGAAATGCTGGCAGGTCATCACGGTAAAGGTGAAAAGCACAGCTGCGTTTTTCTTAAGTGGCAGGTCTAGTGTGCATTTGCTGTTAGGAGTCCTGGACAGCACCACCTATCACTGTAATGATTTAGCAAGAGAAAATAGGATAAGGAAATGCAGATTGTTGACATTGGTGCTGATAAATATCATGCATCGCTCTTATTAGAGGCAGATGTGTTTTTTCCTGGCCTTTTCATCCATTCTCTTCCCCCCCGTGCTCTTTTCAGGGATTTGTGCTTGCTGTTACCGTCATCCGAGAGGCCGCGGAGGAGATCAGATGTTACATGCGCGACAAGGAAGTGAACTCGCAGATCTACAGCAAGCTCACAGCGAGAGGTCGGCTCTGTGGCTCCAGCACGGCCGGGGCTTGCTGCTTGGTCGCATGCTGCTGGGGATGGCCAGGGCTGGGTGGCAGCGGGTGCTGGGCTTTGGGGGCTTTGCTGGGGAGGCACAGGGCTGCTGCACTGCTTACTTGTTTCAGATAACTGCCCAGCATCATCTTGCAGTGTGGGGGGCTCACCGCAGCCAGCCCTGGGCAGGGAGGATTGCCAAGCAGCTGATGTTTTCCCTTCTGTAGAGCTGTGACATGAGGGAAGCGCTCCATAAGGGTGCCGGGGTGAAGGCAGGAGAGGCAAACAGCACAGTAGGAAGAAAACGAGTGGGGCTATAATAGATATGTTGTTTGAACTTTTTTTTTTTCTGTTTTCCTTTCCATTTTGGTATCAATGCATCTGTATTTCCTCTCATGTGTTTTTGCTTGGTCACCATGTGGGGAAGAGAAACAGATATACAGAGGATTCCTATAAAGTAGCACTTCATATTCCTTAATGGAAACAACAAATGTATGCCTAAAAAAGAGAGAAGGATCCACATCATCAGATTACTTGCAAAAGTACTTTACTAAAAAATTAAACTGTGAAATTGTCAGAAGATGCTTATGCAAAAGAAGATTCAGCAAATGAGGGGTGAAAGTGAGCTGTGTCCCAGTGTCTTATGTGGGAAGCCCTTTCAGCACAGGTACTGCAAACCATAGTTAAGTACAAGTACTCCATACTGATGGAGCTTGTAAGTGCATGTGTTATATTTGGGCGACTTGCTTGACATGCTGACACATTCTGTCCCTTACTGAACATGCAATACCAATTGAGATTCATAGTTCTTTCTGGGCTGTACCTGACAGGGACTTGCATAATGCTAAAAGAGTTTGTGCATGTGTGCTGTTACTACATCTTCTGTGTGTTTCTGTTAGCAGCAACTGAGGTAGCTCCTTAGTATTGGTAATCTTCTCATGTATTTTTGTATGCATCTTCTTTAGCCACTTCCTCCAGCAGTGAGGAATTCAGAGTCCCCAGACTGCAGATCAGCTGTGTCTGCTCACTGGCTCTGGCCATTGTTTACAACTTGGTAGCACCTAACAAAGACATTTAAATTCTCATTTGAAAAATTGAATGCTGCCCCACTATGGAGTTGCTGCTAATACCATGACAATGTCAGTGAGGCCAGGGTTTTGTTTTTAAAAAGGGAATGAACTGAATTTAAGCAACTTTTTTTTTTTTTTTTTTTTTTTTGCATTTCTGGTTTCTTTGTTATAGAAGTTTATACCCCTGAATTAAGATGCAGTGAACTAGATGTATTAAAACTACGCTGCTTTCAACACTTGCGTGTTTAAGAATAAGCCTGCTTTTTAAGCATAATTGCTTAAGGCTGTATATATTTCACATGCCAGGAATTATGAGACAACTCCAAACTAGGGAATTTGAGTTTCTGAATATTAAATCCCCCTTTAATAACATGTTCTTACTACAACACTTAAAATGCTTGGCAACCAACAAAAGCCCCATCCAAGAGGGGTGTACTATGTCTATTTAAAAATATAAAAGAGTTGCCTTCTGGATTCTATTCAGTGATCTATAAGGGGCCTGACCTCTCCTTTAGTTCTTTTCATATTGCTATTACGTTTCCCATGAATGATTTCCCTCCCCCCAGTCCTTTAACTTCTCTAATTTTGTGAAAGAAACCAAGGAGGATTGGCAGCTGGGCACTGGCTGAAAATCTTAAGCCACTTTGTTTTTAACACACATTTGGTGTAGAAACAGTAATGAGACGCTAGCAGTATAGCCTAGAGTAGGAAAAATACAGAAAATTTTCTGATTGCCTAGTGGCTTGGGGAGCAAAGCCACTTTCTGTCTTTCACTGAATCCAGTGTCTGCCAGCAGTCAAGCTTTTCAGATCTGAGCCTCCACTTTTTCACTGATTAAAACCTTAGCACCTCTGAGAATCATCTATGAACAAGGGAGTAGCATGGTTGAGAGATGGATAGGTGGTTAATTTTTGTATGTTTGTGCCTATTAGAACAGAAGAAAACATGGGCAAGCTTTGGAGCAAGGGCTTCATTGGTTCAGAAGTAAAAGCAGTTAGTACCAAAGTTAGGGTAAGTTGAGAGCAGCTGAACATAACCATTAATTTTCAGTGCAGCTGACAAATCTCCAGGTAGGACTCATTCCCCCTGTTTTTTTTGTATGGCACAGTTCATGCTTCAGGAGTTTGGCACAGCCCTGTACTGCAAAGGGGCAGTGCAGAAGGGTGCACAAAAGCTCTCTGAAATGTTGCTGGCTGGGCTAAGCCTCACAATAGTTTCACCTCTAAAGCCAGTGCTTAGGAGGGGAGAGATTAGGTGAGGCTTGATGCTGAGCACTGCTGTTCTTGGAGATTGGCTATAATGGATCTAATGGATCGCTGTAGCTTTCTCCAAGCTATTTTTATTTCCCCTGAGTAATTGCACTAAACTGCCATTAAGGTGACTGGAGAATAGTTTTCCAGTCCTCAACCTCAGCCTCCCACTGCAACCTCAGGGCTGTAAATACATTCTCTGCTCTAAATGAAGGCAGGGGGACTTAAGCACAAGCTTATAGGCTGTTTTGAATAAGGCCGGAGGTAAACACAGATATGAGTGCCTTCCTGGATCGGGATCCTCAGTTTCCCCTGGATGTGCTTGCCTGTGCTGAGCCCTGGGGCAGGGCCCTTCAGCCAGCCTGCACCTCACTGCTTGGAGCTGCCTCCAGTGCACAGCATCGCTCCTGTGCGTGGGGCTTTGTGATGCACAATTCCTGCTCAGCTTTGTAAGCTTCACTCAGCTGCTTTCTTTGTAGAGAAGGAAGAATCCTCTTTGGATAACATTCTATTTTGAATATAGTTGCTAAATCCCAGTGACTCTAGTTGGAGTCCAGCGTGATGCAGAGCCAGCAGGTATTTTCTGTGTTCATTTATTTTACATAACATCATAAGGAGGGAAAAAAAAAAAAGGCACCCTGAACCTTTCTTCTCTTTCTACCATTATGATCCATTTATGTTCCAAAATGTTGAAACCAGAAGTTTTTTTTTTTAATAGAAAGCTCTTTATTTAAAAGACAGCTGTTTGGATTGTAATAAAAAATAATCAAATTTCAATCCCCTATTCATAAACCTACAAGCCTCCTTGTGTTCAGAAGTCTGTGTGCTGACTTTCTGCTTGATAGAAAGCTAGAACTGTGCTTGCAAATTCTTGGTTTGTTTTTCTTCTCTCTCACTCCCCCTCCCTGGTAACACTGCATAATAGAGAGAAACTCTACAGAAAGCAATGGGAAGAGACCTCCTACTGAGGGGTGCTACTTAAGATACAGATCATTGGCATTTACCAGCCATATAAAAACAATATTTTCCCAAACCCTCTGAGTCCTGCTCCACAGTTTATACAGCATAAAGCTGCAAAAGCCAAAAGTTTGTTGCAGCACATCCAAAACACCCTTTTGTTTTTTCATATGTATTTGACTTGTTTTAATAAGCCGGTGGCTTAATCTTTAATTCCAAATTAAGTATTTTGAACCATGCCTTAGAAGCTGCGCATATTTATTGTGAGAGCTTGACTTTAGTACTCACACAGTAGAAGAAGGTGTCTCTCCTGGCTAATATATTTAATACTTTAAATAATCTGCTTTATTATATCCCTCACACTGCAAATTTTGTGGTAATTCCAAAGGCCATAGATGAAGTTGGAACAAAATACTTGCACTATATTGTCTCCCTTTCTGTCCATTACCCAAATAAAACAAAAGAAATCTTCAGAACATAGCAAAGAATGAAACAAGTGCCAAGCAAATTTTAAGAACTCTTATTTAACATAAGAGATAAAGACTTTTATTTAGGAAAAAAAATAATTGTTAACCACTGACTTTATTCTGATTAACTTCTGAAAATACAAACTGGAAACGAGGTAAATGCTAAATACACCTATGTGTGTGTGGAAGAAAGCACTTCTAGATGCATTTATAAAAGCAGTAATTTATTATTACAAAAATATTTTAATAGTAGAGCAATATTGGGAAATGAAGCAGTTGTGTTATTAGCTGGTTTCTTAAACATGTGTGAGAAAACATCTAATGTTTAGGAGCTAGTTTCCCCACAGAAAGAAAAAGGAATTACAGAATTCCCAAGATCAAAATAAAACTAATTCAAGTAAGTTGCTTTATGGGAGTCCTGAGTCAAAGGAAACATCTGGTCCTGCGCCTTCTTAGTGGGACATATGGTACATGCTGCAGAGATGTCATCCACGAGAGTCCAGGAGTAGGGCTGGAAAAGCAGAACTAGCTTTGCTGCCTGAAAAGGGCATCTCGTGTGTACAAGAGTTATAAAAATGCATGTTGGTTCAAATGGGCCTCTCTTTCCTCTACCTAAAACCAGCTGAGGTTGGGAGGATAATTGAGGGTTATCGATACAAGGCAGATCTCCTCCGGTTGCTTTTTTTTTTAATGGAAAAAAATTTGGAGCAGCTAACATTGTTTTCAGAATAGCCATCCACAAAGCCGTTTACGTGCATAACAATAGGAAATAATGATATTGTAACTTTGCCCGATTTTATTTTCTGGCATGAATTTATTTCATTAAGTGACACAAAATTTTCCATTCCTGAGCCCTGCAGGTAGTGCTGCCTATACTGGCAGTCACCAGCTCAATCCTTGTGATTTTTAAGAGAAATACATAAAATATGGTTGAACAAGTCCACCTGTACTGCCAAGAACTTTTTTTAGCGCAGTGGCGCAGGAGTTGCTGTGCCCTCTGTTGCCCAGAAGAATATTCAAAAGCACTTTTTGTTGTTTCATGAATAACCGTATTAAAAGGGGAGGAAGAGATGTTATCTGTCAGACCCTTTTAGTGTCAGAGTACCTAACTTTGTATAGCCCATACAGAGGACTGCCAGGGATGCTTTTTGGGATCCTCTCGGAGTGCGGCTTTTCTTTTCAAGCCCCTGCGTAATGGACTCTTAATCCCCCGTATGCTTCCTGCCCCAGCAGAGATGTCTTTAGCCCGGCATTCATTTTGTTTACTTTTTTTCAGCTAAAACTCTCAGAAGGCAAAACCCAGAATCTGCAAAAGACCTATGAGATATTTGTGAAATGGGCCATGACTGCTTATAATTTGTAGGAATAATTACAGCATGTAAGGAAGTCTGCATTTATTAGCAGCAGTGATGAAGCATGTTGTTAAGCCCGCAGTGTGTCACCAAAGCAGCAGGCTGCCGGGAGCCCAGAAAGGCTTTCATTGTTAATTTGGAGCAGAAACACTGAAGCATATCCTGAGAAGGATGCTAATGAAGGGACTGCCAGTAGTAAAATCCTAGTGACCTTTGTGCTTTGTGCTAATTTCTACTCCCCTCCCTTCCCCCTTCTCCTTTCCCCCTGAGCTGCTATCTGGCCAGTTAGCCCCTGAATTTGGAGGTACAGTAGGAGTGTTGTCCGTGCCGGGGGGAGCTCCCACGTGCCTCCCCCACTTCCACTCAAATCACAGCAGATTAAAGAGGCTTTTGTTGAAATATAACAGACAGACACTTAGAGGCAGGGTTCAAATTAACTGATTATAAATCACTAGTTAGTCTGAGAAGTCAAATCTAGAGCTGGCTAATGATTTGAAATTACTAGCCAATTGTGAAATTAATCCCTTGTTTTAAAGCAACTGGGAAATGCTTGAGAGCTGCAAGGAAATAAATACGTAGGTGTTTTCTGGGGGACTCGTGCTCTGCGGGTTTGTTCAGGCTGTGTGTGCACAGAGGCCAAGGAGAGGAGGTCGAGCTGAGCCAGACACGAGAGCAGTGGCTCAGGAGGAAATGAGCCTGGTTTTTAAGATGTGCCCCTTTTAATTGTGGCTTCCAGGTCTTGCTTCAGAGAGTTAAGCTTTAAATTTTCATCCACTTGGGGAAGAGGGGTCATGAGCTCATGGTTCCCTATTGTAGCTTTCCTGGGTTTGCACTATTGTCTGCCTGGCGCATGCTGGAAGTGTTTTCAAATTCCTGGGTTTGATGGCTTGTGTCAGAGTTGTCACTAGAGGGTGACAGGCAGCACCCCGAGCCCTGTCCTGCTGCTGCGAGGCGTGGCTGTGATGTACTGGTGTCTTTCCTCTGCAGGGACTGTGAAGGTGAAGAGCTCTAATATACAAGTAGGCGACCTCATCATTGTTGAAAAGGTTAGCCTCTACGTGTCTATCGTTTTTGTAAAGCATGTTTCTTGCAAGACCTTTGAAAATGAGATATTTTGAAGTCATATTTGTTTTATGGTAGGCTCAGAATATTGAGTGTTGAACATTCGTTATGATATTTAATCACTTTTCAAGGTCTCTCCCTTTTTCCCCCTGGCCCTGGAAACAGCATTGTTGTCCTTAAAAATGAGAGAAAATCTGTGGATAAGCTGTGTTTTCCAATTGCACCATAGCAAGATAAAGACTCTGGCCCTTACCTTTGACTGTTGGACAGGGGTTAAATGCCTGATACAAATGCAACATCAAGATGTTGTTTGGTGTAACCAACACAAGTATGGGGAGAGGGATCCATTTGCAGGCACTGGAGTGTACAAGTATATTCTCCCTTTTGTACAAGTTTGTGTTTTTCTCCTCAATTTATTTTCTTCACATGCACACTCCATGCAAATATCTGTGTTCTCTAAAACTGATGAAGGATGAACATACTCAGTCCAAAAAAAAAAAAAAAAAGAGCTGGTACCTGTAGATTTCAGATACTTGCTTTCTTCTAGCATAGGGCTTCTTGGAAGGAAGCCGGCATTAGTTTAAAATTTCTTCTTCTAGAATTACTCGCTAGCTCTTTTGTAAACCTAGACATTGGCCAGTCTGGTCAGTGGGAGCTGGCACCAGTTATTATTCTGCAGGGAAGCAAATTTAGGATTCAAAGCAAAATGAATACCAACCTTCAGTCTGACAAAGAAATACTTTCTCCTCCGTAGCCCCTTTGCTTGTCACTGGGGCTGTGGAAGGAGGCTGCACACGCGTGCAGGGTCTATGCACAATAATGGCCTTTCTTCTTGTAACAGAACCAGCGGGTCCCTGCTGACATGATCTTCCTGAGGACGTCGGAGAAGAATGGTAAACATCTGGAACCAATTGTCAAAATAGCCATTAACCTTTCACTGGTTGTTTAGAGAAAATTATCTTTTGGAAATGTGAAAGAAATAGATAATAGTAAAATTTTGGAGTGACTGGGAATTCAAAGGCTTTGATGGACCGCCAGTTTTCAGGATGTTACACTCTGGTCTTGTTTGCTAATCCAAGAATGTAGTTATTTGAACCCAGAGTAAATGAATGGGATTGCAAAATGCTGTGCATTATAGATGTAAATCATTTTACTTGCTGTTCAGGTTTGTTTTGTCAAGTGTGGGATAAGGAAATGCTTGATTGGAAGGTTTACAAAACATAATGACTAATAAGAATATTTAAAATGTCTTAAAGATACAGAGCAGAATCTCACTGCATTTTGGACTAGTGGAAGGAAATGGATGTGAGATGCAAGAATATAATTCCTTGATTCTTACCTTATTAATAAGTACTACTTTAAATCAGATACCAAAGAAATAAAAGTGTGCTAGAAACAAAACCATTTCATGAGCTATAGGTGTACATAAGATTGCTCTAGAAAGAGCACTGACTGTTGTTGAAATTCCCCAGGGTCTTGCTTCCTCCGTACTGACCAACTGGATGGTGAGACAGACTGGAAACTGCGGCTGCCAGTTACCTGTACTCAGAGATTGCCAACTGCTTCTGTAAGCTGCTTTATTAAAAATACTCTAGTTGTTAAATATGCATGTCTGATTTTCCTGAAAAGTGTTCAGGTGCTTCAGTTAATGGGCTGCTTTGAGAAGCGGGTTAATTTAGCATTGCTTTGCAGAGGGCTCGGTGCATGTTCCAGGTTAGCTCTGGCAGTAAAGAGTGTCTGGTACTGAAACTACGGGTAAACCAGCTCTTCCTGAGCTGCAGGCAAGATGTCAGGTGAGGTGAAGCTGGGTGTTTGGTTGCCACACAGCTGTCACTGCATAGCTGCGTAGACAGAAGGGTGCTGGGGCTGGCAGCTAGGGAGTGGCTTTGCAGCAGAAGGTGACTCATGGCAGGGTGCTCCTGTTTTCTTGTTCGTTTCCAGAGACCATTGCAGTAACTTACTACAGGGTAGGTCTTACTGCGGCATAAGTATCCTTGTTCTTCTTAAAGTCCCCCTTTCATTCACTGGAGTGCAGTATACTGAGACACAAGTCATCCGATTTAATGAAATGGATTCAGAAATTAAGCTTTCATTACTCTCCATCATAAAAGGAGGAATTGTCACCATGGATGCTCCACTGCATGATCTGAAATGAGTGTATAACCTCCATTAAACATTCTGTTCCCTAACTAAACTACTCTCTAGCTAAAGTGGTTTACTCTGACTACTCTGTAGTTAAAGAAGTTTGTGTCCAAAAAAAAAAGGGGGGTGGGGGGGAAATCTGTGTTCCTGTTTTATTGATGTTCTGTCTGTAAAAAGTACAAGAAGTTTATTTTATACTAAGGCTTTGAAGAGAAACATTCTCTCCATGGAGTGAATAGTTCATGAGTGTAGGAATCAGCAGTGAATGTTCTTTTCAGAACTGGCATATCTCCTTGTCACCATAGAACTGTTCCCAGTGACACTAGCATCTCAAACTAAATACCTAGTGGTAGGATGTTCCTTGGTTGCCTTGGAAAAGTAATCCAAATCTTTTTTTGATAAATAGTAGTAAGTGTTTTAGGCTAGCTTCATTATTCTGACTGAAATTGCTTGTATGGGGCACCAACAACTAAGTAGTTCCCAGGAGCCTTTGTTATCATTGCAATAAATACTCTCGGATAAGTACTTTTCAGTAAAGCTGGTATAACAGTTGTATTTTCTCTCAGTTGAACTCAAGTAAGGAGTATAATTTAATTATTATCTTAACTTGATTAAGTAACTCTTGCTCAAAGTATTTTGTTAGAAACATTGGTACATTATTAAAATGTGGTTATCTAACTGCCTGCTAAAACATGTCTGTTTTTAGGACCTACTGCAAATCCGATCATATGTATATGCAGAAGAGCCCAATATTGATATACATAATTTTGTGGGGACCTTCACAAGGGTAAGTCCTACTTAGATATGCTTGAAATAATGTATGTAGTGTTTTCTGTGCAAACCTGCTGAATCACAGGATGCCAGACTTTTTTAGGAGTGATGAAGTGGTGAAGTCTTGTCATTCATTGTACCCTTTCTGTGTTTTTGTTTTCGCACCCTCCATAAAATACATGTAATAAATCTGACATAAAAATATGCTTATTGAAGCTTTGACTTGGAAACAACATAATAGACTGTTTGAGATTAGGGTTCTTACTGTTAAAGTATTAGGTCTGAACATTTGGACTAAGATTGGTAGTTACACGTGCGTGGTGTTCAGAATGAAATCTGGACCACCACAATCACTGCAGGGTTAAAATTGTTTACTGGTGAAAAAGCAGAGGTTCTTAGATAGATCAGTCTTAATTGTGAGTCAATTGTTTTTTTTTTTTTTGCCTTCAGTTGTTGCATGCAACCTGTGTGAACTTAGTTATATCTGCCCTCAGAGGGCAGTGGCTCAAACCCTCTGTGAAATATCACAGAATATCTATCTTTTGACTTCTTGGGAAGATGTGCTGCCTATTTGGGGCAAAAGGTTGTGATGTTTTTGTTTTTTTCCCTCTCTCCTCCCCTCCCCTCTCCCTGGGATTATGAAAACATTAAGAAATACATCTAGTACCCTTGGGGAATTTTCAGAGGACAAATGATTTTGTAACAAATGGGAGACAGTTACAGCTTTTAGAAGTTGTTTGCTAGTATTTCAGTTCAAAATTGTAATTTTTTTAACTTTGAGGCATGGTTTAATCTGATTAATGGCGGTAATATGGATTAGAAGTTTGAGTGGCTTAGTGAGGTAGTTGTATAAACCCTGGGCATATATTAATTTACTTTCTTATGCAAAAGTACAGTCCCGTAGAATTAGTCTTTTGGTGCCTAAGAGGAATCAGATTTTCTTGAAACTGTTCTCTGGCATGCATCAGACAAGTTTCCAGGCATCACTGAGCAGTCCAAATTGGATCTCAGTGAGATCTCACAGCAGAAGGCAAAATGCTATTAATCTGCATGGACCAAGTGAGGAAAACATTTCCCTGTAGTCCCTGGTGAGCTCCTGACAAATCCCTTTCTCATTTCTGATTCCCAGGGTCCTTCAGCAGGAACATGTTTCTTCATAGATTTTTTTTTTTCCACCCCTTCCTTTCTCCACTAAAATCAAGTTGTTTTTTAACCTAGACGTAGGTTTAACTGTTTTTGAAAATCCTCCATCTTATCTAGGAGCTCTCTATCAATTCCCCCAGCATCCCTCTCCAAACACCCATGTGTAACTCTGTCATCCAATAGTCTTTTCAATTACTGACGTTTTTTTTATTTTTGTTGTAGGAGGACAGTGACCCTTCCGTGAATGAAAGTTTAAGCATAGAAAACACTCTATGGGCCAGCACAGTGATTGCATCAGGTAAGATGGAGGCATGTGTCTTTTTTTTTTTTTTTTAAGAGAATATGTTAACAATTTTTAAAGGTCTTTTTGTAATGGAATAATCTCTGTCAGTTGGAGAAATTAGCAGTCAGAGTGAGGTTTCCCACTTGTCCTAACACCTCTGGGGAGCAAGACTGACGTCTAATTGCCTCTTGGACATTCCTAGATGAGAAAGAATTGGAGTGGCCTTTGGGCACTTCTTTAGCATCTAGGACCAGAATAGCACTTAATTGCTCTCCGCATTGACATCCTAATCTGTAACAGAAATGGTGTCAAATAGATTCTGGTAACAGAAGCTAAGATGAAAGATTTCCAGGTAACTGCTTCCATTGAGTTTGTCTTATGTATTTTTAAAAAGAAAAAAATAAAATCTTTGACACATTTTGGTATATGTATAGTATAAGCTCACAAGGCCTGAGATTAATCAATGCTCTTTTGCAGAGGCCTGTCAAAGTAAAAGCCTTGCTCTTCTCCTGCCTAGCATGCCTGCAAGATTTACAGGACAGTAGCTGGAGGAGGGTGAAATTCTGTAATGCAGTGCTGGAATTGAAGCTGTTGAATGGAGGGACTTCAGAGTGCTGTACCAAGGTGTATATGGAATTAATAACAATGGGAAGGAACTTCAAAAGACGTCATGAAGCATTGAAAAGATTTTGATTTGCTCTTTTTTAAAAGTAGAATATAATAAATAGATTTTATACCTGTATGTTTCTGTCTACCCCTACTCAGACTCCTAGTTGAAACACATCTCAGTATTGTCACAGGATGTGACCAAAGGGTCATAAAAATCTAGTTGGCCAAGTGTTATTTAGTCAAGTAAATTATATTTAGGGATGAGTAATTGTTAATTGTTAGGTAACCTGCCTTCCTCCCTTCTGAGTGTAAAACCACTCAAGAGGCATTGGGACTGGCAGTTTCACATACCGAACAGGCTGCTTAACGCATGATCCTCAGTCCATCCTGCTTTGGAACAAATACATGGGAAAGGAAAGCCACTTTTCTTGTGATTCTGACTTCAATGGCAATTTTTCCCGCAGCCCCCTTTCCCACATGGACTTTCTTAACTCTTCCTTGGAAGCCTTTGTCCTGATGCCACAGCTGAGCATAGCACATGTGTGTGCTGCCACGAGCAGTGCGGCTGATGGGAGGGAGATGCTGTCCTGCCCTGAGCCAAGCTCCCAGTCAGCCTGCTGAGGGTGAAATCTAACCCTCCTTTCTGAGTATGAACAAAGTTATTTGTAGATAGATATCTTTCGGAGTTCAGCTAGTAAGAATAATGTTTGCAGATGTTCTTGTAATTTCAGCTGGTTTGTACAATGAAGTCTGTTTTGGATAGCCATAAAATGATTAGAAACACTATTTATACACATACCAGCATGTCTTCAAGCTGTTTTCTAGCCCTGGTAGGTTTCTCCCCTTATTTCAGCTGACTTGATCAATTTAAATTCAGTTGTGTTTTTCCTGTGGCAATAATAAATAGCGTGGTGGAGGTCATTTCTGTAAGGAAAACCTATTGGTTTGGAGAAAATGTGGATATCATTTTTCTTCTTCTGTAAGCAAAAGCTGTCAAGTCATAGTGATGCCATCTCACTGGGACAGCCTTTGCTTGTAAGATAAAGCAGAGCTATGTGACTTTCTCCATCTGCTGCTGTAGTAGGAGCGGGTCTGACTCTGACTGTTTGCAGTTGATTTGGAGTAGCTGTGCCATCTGCTGATTTGAATTGTGATGATCTTACCACCTCCTGCCATCTGGCTCCAGCGACTTCTTGTTGTGCTGTTTTTTTTTTTTTTTTCCAAAGGAATGTTTCCCAGCATTTTTAGAAACCACCTCTTTTGAATTATTCTTATTTGATAATAATTCACTTGCAGCTTGCTAAAACTTCTGTTGCTAATGGGAGCAGGGGAATAGTGGAGTATAAAATGGCAATGTATTAACAACAGAGCAACAGTGCTATTTTTTTTTTTTTTTGTTTCCCCACTGTTGTTTTTATCCATTTTTATAGACTCCTAAAATTTTCTGCTAGAAACTTTGACTTTGGCAATAGCACAATAGCAGCTTTTAAACTCTTGACTGTAGCTAGCTTTTTCTCGATGGCTTTTTGCAAAGGCTTTAAGAGAAACCTGTAGAAAAACAGTGGTTTATGGTACTAAACTGTATTATATTTCTGCAGGAAGAAAAGAGAGCTCTTTAGAAACTGTGGGACATAGCATTAAAATACATAGATGGGCTCCCAGCAGCTCCATCTGTTGCAGTAAGGTGGGAGTTGGTATGATTTGCCTTTCTGCTATTAAACAAATACTTAATTTAAACTAAAACGTAGATTTTTAAAAGCTTTTACAGATAGAATTACCTTAAAGATAAAATTACCAAAAGATTGTGGAAGACTGCACCAATAAAGAACAACTACAGTCCAGAGCACTAATTTAGATGCACTTACAATGGAGGACCACTATCTGAAGTAAGGCAAACTTAGCACACCTGAGTGAGGTTCAAAATAGCAGGAGAAAACACAAGAAATCCTCCTTCCTCAGCAGCTTTTATTGATATTGAGGAACAACAGCTTACATCAGAAGGGGTTACTGGGGAGCCAAGTGAACAAAACTCTTGATTTCTCTTTCCATGCTCTTTAGTTGCTGCAGTCTGTCCAACCCAGTTGGAATAAGCCCAACCATAAGGGCAGTGTGGTTGAAGACTTGCTGACTTCTAGTAGGATGTCTTCTGTTCAGCATCTGTTTTCATGGATTTTATATTTCAAGTACTGGCCTTTCTAGTCTGATTGTTATTGCGTTAGAAATTAACCTGCTAAAAGTCTGTTTCAACTGCCAAGCCTATGTATTTAACAAGCATTTTGCAGATAAAACAAGTGGAGATTGTTTTTCTTAGGCTAATGAATGTTTTGTTCAGGTACTGTTGTGGGAGTTGTCCTCTACACTGGAAGGGAATTGCGCAGTGTGATGAATACTTCAAACCCAAGAAGTAAGGTAGGGTAAGGATAATAACTAATTATTATCTTACAATAAAAAGGGGCAGAAATTTATAATTAAAAAAAATATATATATATAAATCCAAAGGCTATGAGTACAGACTGTAGGAACAACGTCCTACAAATGATTTATATCTTCCAACCTATGATTTAGATAGTTACCATTATCAGAGACATATTATATTTTTTTGATCCTAACTACAAGTATCTGCTCACTTTTTGACAATGGTAACACTTTTATTTTCTATGGTTATAATAAAATAGACCCAGACAGAATGGGAAGGCTGATTTTGCTGCATTTTTCCATTATAGCAAAGTTAAGACAAGGTGTGGGGATGTTTATATAGTGTGCAGCTTTTGACAGCATGAGTCTTTCACACCTCTTCATGCACTCCTCTGCGTCCAAAGGATGGAGCTCTTATTTAGTAAGCTGGAACAGTATCATTTATAAATTTAAATATGTTTGTAGTGTTTTATGTGGAAAAAAAAGTTAATGACTGTTGAGAGACAGCTTGTTGGATATAGCAGCTCATTCTCTTTGTGAATATTAAATTGAACTAACACCTTCGCTAGTGTGATTGAAATGTCTCAATTTCATTCTTTAGATCGGTCTCTTTGATTTGGAAGTGAACTGTCTTACGAAGATCCTGTTTGGGGCTCTTGTCGTGGTCTCGCTTGTCATGGTGGCGCTTCAGCATTTTGCTGGCCGTTGGTATCTTCAGATCATAAGATTTCTCCTCCTGTTCTCAAACATTATTCCTATTAGGTGAGTCGATTGCTAGTTCTTCCAGCAAGATACTGCTTCCTTTGCATCCTCCTCCACACTTCTGATGTGAACAGTCATTTAAAGTCATGTGTGTTCCTCATTTGACAACTAAATAAATTTAGAAATAGAAATCGAATTACTGTTAAAAGTTGTTTTGTTGTTTCTGCTGAATTTGTTTAGTGTTTTAGCCTGTTTGCTGTCTGTGCTCTCTAATTTAGGCTGCAGATTAGTCATTTAAGGCCCCTGTCTCTGTGTTCAGGCTGCCTGGTTACTCTGATAAGAGCAAAAATAGAGGAGAGAGATTTATATAGCATGTAGCATAATAGGATCCAACTGCCTTTAAAAAGGGGCTGAAATTTTAATATTTAATTGTGCTATATTAATAAGCAGATTGTTATTTCCAGCGTAGGTCAGGGATTTGTTTCAGTTCCATTTTTAACTCCTGTCTGCTTATCAATCACACTGTCCTTATGCGTCTGAGTCCATCATCCTCTCAAATTATCTGTCCTCAATGTAATTTTGTCATATATCCTTTTGAATCACAGTACCACTGCAGCAGTGCGCAGTTCTCCCCATCTGCCACCCAACCACTCATTTTGAATATACTTCTCCCTAAATTCCCTCTTTGGCTGCTCAAGTTCAGTATGGAAGGCCTGGCCTTCTATTGCTTTGTCGCAATTCACAGTGATTTTTTCCAAAGTTTTAATGCAGATACACTTCCTTTTTCTTTTTCCCATTCCTCCTGCATAGTTTGCGTGTGAATCTGGACATGGGGAAAATTGTCTATAGCTGGGTGATCCGCAGAGATTCCAAAATCCCTGGGACTGTGGTTCGATCCAGCACTATACCTGAGCAGCTGGGGAGGATATCCTATTTGCTCACAGACAAAACAGGTATCTATGTAGAAAATACAGTTTTGAGTTGTGGTTGAGTTGTTTTTTTGTTATGTTTTTGACTAGCCACCGATCATAATGTAGGATTTCTTTGGGCTGGGAGAAATACGCACTTTCTGCCACTTTGACAATATGATTTCATCAGTTTAAAATATTTTTTGAATTTTTGTTGTTGTTCTGAACATGTCATAAATAAGAGAGGACACAAGTACTATGCTACTTGAAAAAATGGTTCAAGTGTGATATTAAACCAAAAGTAGAGGTTAGACTTAAAATCAAAATCAACTTTTAGAGTTAATTTTTAAAGCTGGATGAAGATAAGTTACGCATTTGGGCAGAAACATATGATCAGTCTGCCTGCTGCTATCTTCACTTTTTACAGTTTAGTTGATTACAAAGGACAAATCTGTAAACAAAAGCTTTGTCTGACATAAACTCCTGGTTCTGTTGAAGGTGTTCCCAGAAAATTTCTTTGGTTCCAGCAGGACCAGAGCTACAGCTGCCACTCTTTCTGGCATCAAGTTTTGGTGAATGATCTCATTATTTCTTACTGGGACAGTGATGTGCACCACAACTTCCCAGGAGATTATGCCCTGAGATTTTTAATACCATCACCTTTGACTTCAGTCTGTGCTGAGAGCCTTGTGCAGTGACTGACTCAGCTTCTGGACCAGTTCTTCTTGGAGTAGGGAATACAGCAAGGACAAGAACATGCCCTGGGGATAGACACATTGGTTCATGTTCCATGTTGGTGCTGCTTCTGTTACAGGAACGCTTACGCAGAATGAGATGGTCTTCAAGAGACTTCATCTGGGCACAGTGGCTTATGGCCTGGACTCCATGGATGAAGTGCAGAGCCACATATTCAGTATATACACCCAGGTAAAATTAAATCGGATTTTTTAACTCTTTGTTAAAGTTTTCCAGATCGCTGGGCTAATGGTGAATTAACACGTCAGGGATCTGCCTATTAAATGTTATTTTTTTGGAGAAGTCTGAAGACCATTGGGTGCTTAATCCAAACATATTAGCCTGATTGCATGCTACATTTATAGGTTATTTCACATCCACCAGTTTTCTAAGTCTAATTGCCGCAGCACTTGCATGGGCCTGTAAGTGTAAGCACACATAGGTACCTGTGTCCTGTTACTGAGGTCTGATCATATGATAGCATACTTTTATTTAGACATTTACCACTTACAGCAGCCACACCATTTGCTTCACTGGAAAATTGACAGGGTGATATATAGTGGATTAAGTTGCTGTTTGAAAGGCTGTGTAAAGGAAGAGGAGCCATCAGTATTCAATAAGCAGTAACAGAGAACAGTGGGCCATTGCTGCTGCTCTAGGCCAGGTGGTTAAAAAAGAAAATGGTGAAAGTGGGATTCTTTCAACAGTGCACCAGTGGCTTCTGGAAGTCTCATATGGCACATAACTGATGTGTGCTTTGAGAAATATCTATAGCTAAAGAAGACAGGAAAGTCAAGATGTAAAGTATAGAACAGGAAAATCCTGGTTTGGAAATCTTTCCCTTGCATTCCTCTGTCAGTGTAACTGGATGAGTGAGCATCCAAGAAGTCTTCATCTTTGGATGAAATTCTAAGAATAAATTCTTAGAATTCATTTCAGAATAAAGAATTTATTCTGATATAATTAAATTTTTTATTAGAATTTATTTCAGAATTATTTTAAGAATAACTTATTAGAATTTATTTCAGTTTTACCTGATAACCAGGTAGTGCCATGAGATCTGTCTGGATCAGCAAGCTGTATTTCCTTAGCATGTTACAGTGGACACTTATCAGCTGAAATTTCATATAGATGCATGCTGTTCTTTCTTATGGATGAACTTTTACTTAAAAAGACTGTAATACTGTTGGCTGGGGAGGGATCAGCTGTCAACAGCTTGTGTTCCAGCCACCCCTCTGAGTGGTACTTATTTAAGATTTAAGAATTGTCGCTAATAACGTAATCATGGAAGCATTATTTTTCATTTTCTGCTAATAGCTGGTTTTGCAACTGCAGTTATTTCTAACTTTTTTGTGACTTAATGACAATTGAATTTTCTTTTGTAAAATGTGATTCAACAGATGCAATCTGCAGAGGTTAGTGATGGGTTGCTAGTCCTGCATTGTGTCTCAAGCATTTTCATTTCTCAATAGTTGTGGTATTGCTTCGTTCCTACAGAAACCACAGAAGTGGTTTTCAAGGTACCTGTGCTTTTCCTTGAGCATGAACACCCCATGTAGTGAACTGGATTTTTCATATCACATTGTTCTTGTTTTGATCTAGAGATTTTAGACTCAAGTGCATTTTCTGTAACCCAACAAACTGAAACATGAAGCCAATATTCTTGCCTGGAAAAGGGCACTACCATAAAAAGGATTTTTATTTTTTGATTTTGTTCAAGGTGGTAAAGATATACAGCATTTTTCCTTGACCTCAGTAATCTGTCTGGTGGCCTAGCTTTTTTTCTGGGCAGACTGTCAGGCTACTGTATCCTTTTAACCATGCATATTATGATTGCTAAATACTTGGTATTTTGAGCAACTATCTTTTTCACTGACATGTGTCTCAGGTAGCTTTTAACTCCTGTAGCCATCTCTCTCTTTCCCTCCTCTGCTTTCACAGCCCTTAATAGCATCTGCTTCTTCTCTTGCTGTTGAGACCCTTAAATGACTGAACTGTACATTTTTTGCTAAATACAAAACAAACAACAACAACAACAAAAATGTAATAAAAAAAAAAAAAAAACAACAAAAAAACACCACAAAAACAGACTTCAGATTTATTTGCCATCATTTTGTATTCAATATCCAGAGAAAACTTGACTACTGGTTAATTATTTGCCAAACTATTCAATATTTGTTAAGAATGTTGTGATGACTGTGAGTAGTCCAGTATGTGAATAGTTGTACATCAATCTAAATGTACTTGAGCTGAGGGTTTGCTATTGTTTGGTTTGTTTAAAGCCTGTTGCAACAGTGCTGATGAGCTGCAACAGTAAATTTGAAAATCTTGTGTGTCCTAATCACTAGAATGTGGAAAGTAGCATGTGGAATTACACTGGTAAAGGACGTGTCTCATAAAACGTTTATCATTACAAAGTCAGATTTCTTATAATGAGAAGCATTTGCAGGCAATGATTCATTTTGAACTGTAGTTCTTATTCTGTGCTCTTATTTTTACCACGTTGTGCCCTTTGACCTGGAAGCGAAACTTTTGTCCTCTTGACACTAAAGGTTAACAGACCAGGAAACTAGATCACTGTGTGTCCCCTCTTCAACCAGGATAATTTAGTAATTGTGCAATTATCTGAAGAGTCCCATTCTGATACTAAAAATAGTATTAAAAATTAAATGAATGTAATTAAGATTTTCTAGGTCCATACAAGTCATCTGTTTTCTGTTTTCAGCAATTATATGCTCTTGCGCATGAAACCCAGCTGAGGCGAAACTTTCAGAACCATTGGTCTTTTGTGGAGCAAAAAGTGGTTTCATCAAGTCTTCTGACTTTGGTCTTGCATCCATTGGTGTTTGGTACATCTGCAACTAAGGGCCGTTTACTCCATGTACCATTCTAAAAAATTAGGTGAATTTTTTGTGGGCACCTTCCTCCACCACTAACTGTGATACATAAATTGAATTAGTGTATTCCTGGTCAGAGTTAGAGTACAGTGAGCACATCTCATTCCAAGGGACAGAAGAGTCTGCGAAACTACTATAGTACATATATACTCTTCACTGAAGTAAAGTTTCAGTTTGAATCTTTTTCTCTCCAATTAGACTTTATTCTTTTTTTTTTTTTTTTAAAGCAATCTCAGGACCCACCTGCCGTGAAAGGCCTTACCTTAGCCACCAAGGTGCGTAAAACCATGAGCAGCCGAGTGCACGAGGCCGTGAAGGCAATTGCGCTGTGCCACAACGTGACGCCGGTGTATGAGTCCAACGGGGTGACAGACCAGGCTGAAGCCGAAAGACACTATGAGGACTCCTGCAGGGTGTACCAGGCCTCTAGTCCTGATGAGGTCAGTTTGTGGAGTTTGGTTCATGTTTCTGCACTTGTGATTTGTCCAGGATGTATTTTGTAGGTCAGTATTTTAAGTTCCTTTGGCAACGCTTAGCAAATTATAGGCAATGGTGTCTTGGGAACTTGTGGAAGGTGGTTGGAACACTCTCATCAGCCAGCTTGTCCCTCATTGGCAGTGTTCAAACTTCCAGACAGAGTTCAAAGTTAGAAGTCTTGCTGGGTCTCATGTCTTACCCGGGAGGCATCCCTTGCCGTGCAAATGGGACAGACCTGGAGCCTGAGTTAGCTCTGCAGGATAACCAAAGTGAACCAGAGTTGGTCTTGGAGCAAATCTGTGCTGTGCCATTTCTCCATCAGCACCTAGTCCAGCCTGGGCTATGTGTAGTGGTACAGCAGAGGGGAAATTTGCAGTTCTCCAGAGGATTGATGAAGACTCTTACTGGGCACTCTACAGAGCAGACTGAGTACATAATGCATGATACAGTGCTCTCTGCCATGCTCTGCAATATTTGAAAAAATAGTGCTAGCATATGATTATTGTGATGCATCTTCTTGAGTGCAACTATGCTAAAACAATTTATCTATTAACTTGTACATTTGGTTTCTGCCATTGAAAGACAGAAGTTTTAAACTTTCCATAAGAATCCTACTGAGGTCCTATCGGTCATTGGGCTACATTTGGAGGATTCTTCCATGTATTGACCCAAATAAAACAAAATTCCCTCTGGAAATAAACTTCTCACCCTTGACATCAGAAGAGAAAGTAGCTTTCCTTATAGTTAAAGATGAGAAATTGTTTGCATAAAAATCAATGTATAGGTAAAAATCCTCAAATGGACAGGTTTCTGAGATTGTAGTGCATGTATTACTGAAAGACTGGCATACAGAGTTAGGCTCCACATTTTGTGCCATTCAGAATATTCTTTGTGGTGTTCTTCTACCCAAGCATGCAATTCATTACTTTCATATAATGTGGTCTTCTCTGTATTACACAAAACCACTATCTTTGCTTTTTTTTTTTCCCCCCACTCCATTGGTATGCCTACAGTGACAACAAATGCTTACCCCTCCCTGCTTTGAGCTGGTGAGCAGATCCCACACCATGACCCAAGTCTTGTGTTTTGCTTACCTGCTTTTCTCCTCTAATGTGTTGCTTTCCCCCATGAAGGCAGCTTTACAGAAAGCAACTGCCTTTGGATTGAAATGAGATCTGAATGATTTCCAGATGGTAATTTTTGTGATCTGTATTTAAGTTTTTTCTTTCCTTTTTTCCCCTAAAGCATTTACTGGCTATTTTTGTGCAATCCTCTGTTTATTTACATGTGTGCTGTGGTATATAGTGAAGTCAGTGATTTTTCTTTTCCTTTTTTTGCTTTATATTATTCTGTCTTAAAAATATTTATGGAGCAATTTGTCTCAAATACCTAAGGGATTATTGTTTGTTTGTTTATTTTACTATAGCATGATAACTAATCCTACCAACATTATTGTTTAAGTTCTTTTTTCTTTCTTGTGGTGTCTTAAGTAGAGAATTACAGTGGGTTCAGAAATCAGATATGCTTTGCTGCATTGAGGAAATCTCGTCTGTAGGTCTTAAATATACAAATATTGTTTAGACGTGCTCTGTGTATGTTATACTAGGTGGTACAATATGCAGGATCAGCACAAGTCAAGTCCTTGAGAAGAGAGTGATGCTGTTAAATAACATTCCCTGTAGGGGAATGGCTTTGGACTCCTGTTAAAGCCAGCCTTTGAAATTCTATATCAATAAAATATTACCATGGCAGGGAAGGTCAGTTTATGAAATGAGTACAAAAACTTGTATTCTCTTTACTTTAACAGCAAGGGTAATTTCTACCAGTTGGCATAGGATTCATTTCCTGTAACAGAAAGCAGGATTTCCTAAATTTGTTTCCTGTGCACACTGCTATTTAGAAGACTTCAAGTATCTTTATTCAGGTATCAGTTACAGCCTTGGGGCTCTGCAAGCGTGTCAGTTGTAGCCATACAGTAACTAACAGGGGAAATGAAATAGATATAATCTGATCAGAGATAAGAGTGCCTGGGATTCCTGGGCAAACAGTCTTTAACCCTGACAGCCCACCGCAGCTGCCAGGACATGAAAGGGTGCTCCGATCAATGGGTTTCTGCCTGTTGTCTGTGTGCCTAGGCAACCCTAAATGGGACGTTTGTAGAGCAACTCATAGCACAGAAGGATCAATTTGTCCCTTTGGAATGAAATTTATTAGTCGATATCCACTTTGGTGGTGGCTTGGGTAATTTAATTGTCAGAAAGAACAAAGTTGAGGGGATGGTACGGCGGGCTCCCGTAGCTGCTCTGCTCTGTAATGCACGGATCTTTGTCTGACTTGGCCAGGACAGAGCTACGAACTCCCAGAGAGCTCTCAGGAACCTTTCTGACTTCTCATCAGTCAGCATGGGCTCATGAAAAGGTGTATGAGTGGTTTCCATCCTGGTTAAAGCTGTCAACGTATCTTTGCATCTTCCGTGTTTCGCATCTTTTTGCTGTGACCAGGAGCCTTCCAGTTACCGATTTATGGGGTGCAGAGTAAAGTTTTTCTGGCCCATGCCGCTCTGGAAGCACGTTGCCTGGCCAGATGCCCCGGCCCTGCAGGAGAACTGGTGGCCTGGTGTCCTTGGTGTCGTCCTGCAGTGTTCAGGGCTGAGCACGTTGTGCTTTGTGGTGAATGGGAATGGCAATTTCAGTGCTTGCAGTGGCTCTGATGGGAACACTTCAAAATGATATCACTTTTCCTCTCTGTTAATTCGCGAAGCACTGCAGAGGCTGGGAGGTGACAAGTTAAAAGGGGTCAGCCCCACTTCCCCGTGCTGAATGGGCTTCACCTGGAGGGCCATTGAGGGCTGAAAGAAGTAGTGCTCCTGGGCCCAGCAGCAAGGGAGAGGGGGGATTTCCTTCATTACTCTTCCCCTTCTGCCGACATGCCTTTTTGTAGTCTCAGGGCCATCCGAAATGAGTGGTGGCGCACAGGGAAATGCAGTTAGTTTGCAGTATGATGTGTGCAGCATAGCAGGTATCCTCTGCTGCTCTTCCAGTTGCTACTGTGTGCTGGGCTTTTCTTTTAGGAGGTTTGAATGCTTCCTGACATAGAATTGAAGTGAGATGCTGGCAGGGAATGAGGAATCTGTGAAAGAAAGTAGCAATGGAGATGCTTTAACAGCCTGAGGTGGGAGCAGAGCTTTATGTCTTCAGACATTTGTAGCTCACCAACATGGGCAGATGAGCATCTAGTGCTATGTACACCAAGCAAGTCCTTGTGTTAACATCACACTGTGAAAAATTCTCAATCATTATTAACCAGAGTATTAGAAACCTGAGCTCAATCTCTGCTCTGAGAGGTAGTTAGGAGGATTATCCAACTGCACCCTTTAATGCACTAAGGATGTCTTGAAGAAACTTTTGAAAAAGAATCTTGAAAGATCCTTTGATTTGTTGTAACCTTTGTGAATAAGCCTGCAAAAACTTGCTAGTATTAAAACAAATATTGATTTAAAGGCCTTTAAAGACAAAGGCAACTCAGCTAATTTTTTTTTTTCATCTGATGATTTAAGACTACCTTAAGAAAGAAAAGGATTTATTTTAGGTTGTTTTTTAAACCTAATTGTGGATGAAAGGGAGCCGAGATATAAAAGATTGTCTGATTAGACCAATTGTATCAACTTTCCTAGTAAAACCTTGAGTCGATGCAAGTATTTATAGATTTCATTTCTATCTGTATCCTAGTGTATGTGATTTCCCAAAATAAATCTCACTTTTATGTAAGGTATTTGTGGGAATAGGCAGTAAAAGCAGAACCTGAAATGCCCAAGGAGTAATTAACCTTCAAGTCAGCAGCAACCATGTGCCACACATTCTCACATTCTTGAGAACGTCACTGTAAAAAACTTCTAGTATTTTGTATTTGTTTGGGGAAACTATCCCTTGATCCTTCCTGTAGGCACGTGATATATGGGCTTATGTCAGCTGCTGCTCCCATCCGTTACTGCCAGGACAGCTTCTAGAGTGAAATGCCTGTATCTCAGCAGGATCATTCCTAGGTGGCTATGTCAGCTGAGGTGGGGAGATGGGGGCAGCGCTGGGGGAGCAAAATGAAGTCTTTGGTCTTCTGTTGTGACTTGGTTGTAATTTAGTGAATGCTTGTAAGGAAATCAATGTTGCAGGTCCTCAAATACGGAAAGCAGCAGTCAAAATGATAGTTGTATAAGCTCAACTGAGTATTACTGTGTGTTGAAAAACAGTTTTTTTTTTAATTATTGTTATTAATTTGTTTATTTTAATGTGTGGGGCAGAGGAGCTCTGCTAAAAAGTGCCTGCGAGCCAGCCTTCATCTGTTTTGCTGCTCAGTACAGAGATTGCAAATTGCTGATGAACTGTTACTACCAAACCGAGTACAACAGGGAGCTTGTTTTCCTTTGTTTTTCCATGTGAATTTTTAATGATCTCTGCATTAGCATTTCAGGCTTTGATACTGTAAATCCAGGGTGAAAGCATCACATTGAATTCTTGATTTCATAAACAGCAAGTTTTGAAACAGCACATTCAACAAGTTAGGTGTTTGTAAACAGATTTTACTAATGGGCCCCTACAGAGGTTTGGGCGCCCTGGAGCTGGGCAGAGGGTACCGGTGCCTCCGTTTGCTGGATGTTTTCCTTCTGGACACTGCAGCCAGAAGCAGGGAGCCGGCGGCCACCTCCTGCTAAGGGCCTAGGAAGGCTTTGCAGCTGATTCAGGAGCTGGCCCGCCCAAACCACAGAATTACTCTTAGTGAAGGCTCAGTGTCAGGAAAAGCCCGTTATATCCAGCTGTACCCGAGCACCTGTGTAAAAAATGTATCATTAACATTAGGTGGAGATTTCAGCAGCCTGATGATCCACAGCCCACCAGTTTTTCTGGAAAACTTGGGCTCTACCTACATGCCTGACCCAGAACCATGGTCAGGGTGCTAGGCCTGGACTGGCATTTCCCTTTCTGCCTCCGTGAACGGTTTTAATTCATGATACAGCATAAGTTTCAGAGCAGATTACAACCTGCTGTGCCTTTCCTCTCAGGTGGCCCTGGTGCAGTGGACCGAGAGTGTGGGCTTAACACTGGTGGGCAGAGACCAGTCCTCCATGCAGCTGAGGACACCAGGCGGCCACATCCTGAACTTCACCATCCTCCAGATCTTCCCCTTCACTTATGAGAGCAAGCGCATGGGGATAATCGTCCGGGTGAGTGGCTTCAGTTACACGCTTCTGTCTGTGATTCTCCTGTGAATATAATGTGGAAGGTACAAAACATTTGCTCTCAGGAGTGGTGTGCTTCCTCAGGCTATAAACTGGTTCTGTGTTTTGAGCTAATAGCATCTCGCTGCTGGGTTAGTTTGGTGATGTATCCTTTCCTTCATCTTCAATTTATTGAACTTTAGTCCCTCATTCAAACTGACAAGAAAAGGGAGGAGTGAGCTGAAGCTTCAGGCACTGTGTGCGTGTCCTCCATGGCTCTGTCTGCCTCTGGCTTCTCCTTCCTGCTCATGTTTTTAATTTCTATCCTGGATTTCAGCCGTGGGTCCAGCTTGTGCTCAGTCTCTGCAGCAGTTGTGGTGGTACAACAGGGGGAGATAGAGACAGCAACAACTGAGAAGGAGTGAGGGGTTGTGGACTGATGCCACAGCAAACAAGTTCAGCAGATTGGTAGTGGTAGTGCGGTGCTGCCCTGATCTCTGCCAGGTGCTGAAACTCTGTCAGACACTGTGGAAGTACAAGACTGCTGGAGAGGGCACTTGCTGTAGCTGCAGAGAATGGTGGAGGTCTTTCTGAGCTGTTTAACATCTCAAAGCCATGCTGAGAATGTTGTATCATGAGCAGAATTCGAAAATAGCTGAGTTAAGGTAAAAGGGTACATCTGTGCACGCAGATAATTTTATCAGCAGGGGCAGGCACTGCACAGGCTAAATATGTGCCCAGCTGAAATTGTGCATATTTGTTATTCTGTCTGCAAATGCAATAGAAGATCACACTTCCAGAAGTTAATTACCTTGAAAAAGAAAGAATAAGAAAGCATGGATCTTTTAAAAACAGTAGAAATGAGTTATCACCATTATCATCATTAGTTTTCCAGATACTGCTAGGAAATCAATGTTAGAAAAATAAATCAACCCAGCTGAAGCAAGGCACTTCCATTTTCCTGCAAAGCAAACAAGGTGAAGCGGTTTGAATATTTCTTTTGGAGATAATTAAAACATTGCTGTTACTTTTTTTTACTGAAAGTACAGACATATAATTGGTGCCAGGAATTTAAAACATGAATAGGAAACCTATAATCCAGGGCAAGATATGATTTGCTGTATCATTGCACAGGATCTGCAGCCTTGTTATTTAGGGTGGGGAGAATGGGTAAGGTTGATCCTTACCTCCTTTTGCTTTGTGCTAAAACTAGGTTGCTGCATATTTATTTGGGGGTATCTGGAAAGAGAGTGTAATATTATCTTCTGCCTCATATTTTAAATTATAAAACAGTAGTTGGAATAGTCTTTGTTGTCATTAGAAGCAGCTGGGACCAGGGTAGTGTACATGGGCCTCTTCCATAGCAGATTTATTTGGTCTGCTTCATTGGCTGATGTTTGGAGGCTTCACAAATCTGAACTTCTCTGGCTGTCTTGCAGAACACAGCCTCTGTCAGAAACAACGTCATGGAGGAATAATGTCACGGAGAACTTCAAATCTCTCAGTAACAGGAATATGGGTGATAAAGATGGAACTGTAACGTGCACACAATAGCTTTTGCAAACCCATGCTTGACAATCTGTGTTTCATACAGATTGAAATTCATTAAAGCTCTTGCAAATGGCTGTATTTGCATTATTCCACCTGTGTATTTTGGACCTGGATCTCCCGTTACTCAAGGAACTGCTTTTAAGTGCTGGATTGCAGGCCTCAGTACAGTGGCACAAATATGTATTTCAAGTTGTTCCAGGCTTTGGAATATTAAAACATGCCTGAGGGCAGGAATGCTGGTTGAAATGTGCTGATAGGCTGAGCTTGTACAAAGTAATCAGTGTGTTAAATCTGTGAGTGTAGAGACCTGACTGAATGTGTTTTAACACAGAGTCCCACAAATGTGTCCTGCTGCATGGGAGGATAGCTGCAGCAAGGATAGCACATGTACCTCTAAATACAGCAAGCATGATTTCTTGAGCTGGACTATTTTTTTTAATGGTAAAAGTGATTTGGAGCCTTCAGGCAACCTTTTTGAGTCCTAAAAGAAAAAGATGAGCAATAAAAGATGGAGGAATAAAAAAACCTTTCCCTACCATTGCTTATGATAAGTATTTTTTTTTTTTTTTTTTTGAGGAACTGTTTTATCAAAAGATTAAGAAGTGGGCTAACCATCAGAACAAGAAAACACTTCTTTTAAATTGTGATTGCGTGCTCAGCAGAGAAACGGATGCTCTGAAATTCTTTCTCATCTAACAAAAAGTAGAATCACAGAATCACAGAATTTCTAGGTTGGAAGAGACCTCAAGATCATCGAGTCCAACCTCTAACCTAACACGAACAGTCCCCACTAAACCATATCCCTAAGCTCTACATCTAAACGTCTTTTGAAGACTTCCAGGGATGGTGACTCCACCACCTCCCTGGGCAGCCTGTTCCAATGCCTCACAACCCTTTCAGTAAAGAAGCTCTTCCTAACATCTAACCTAAAACTCCCCTGGCGCAACTTTAGCCCGTTCCCCCTCGTCCTGTCACCAGGCACGTGGGAGAACAGGCCAACCCCCACCTCTCTACAGCCTCCTTTAAGGTATCTGTAGAGAGCAATAAGGTCGCCCCTGAGCCTCCTCTTCTCCAGGCTGAACAAGCCCAGCTCCCTCAGCCGCTCCTCGTAGGACTTGTTCTCCAGGCCCCTCACCAGCTTCATCGCCCTTCTTTGGACCCGCTCAAGCACCTCGATGTCCTTCTTGTAGCGAGGGGCCCAAAACTGAACACAGTACTCGAGGTGCGGCCTCACCAGAGCCGAGTACAGGGGGACGATCACCTCCCTAGCCCTGAAAAAATGATCCTTCCGCAGGTAGAAAAGTATCTAAGTAGAAAGGAGATCTTTTTTCCCCCCCTTTATGTATGATAAAATGACAAGATGCAAGTCAGTGATCTGAAGCTTGTGCCTTTTAAAACGACCATGAGCTACATTCCTCCCATTTAGGAAGAAAAAGTTTCCTATTGTGCATTTCTGTATTTAATGTAGTACTGCTGAAGAAAATGGCAAAACTCCCACTGGTGGTCAGTGGGAGCAATATCAGGCCCAGATCCTAAGCCTGTAAAACAGGTTTGTATTGCTCATAGAAGCACTGCCTCCTCCATCATGCTTGGTAGCGAAGTGTCTTTATTTTGCAGCTGTGAGCTGCTGCTAAGCCACTGTACAGCCTCCTATGCACCCTGTGCGGAGCCAGGTTTGAAGTAGCAGATGCTGGCTGCCTGAGTGTTACCTTAGCATGTTCCTGTATATTCCAAAATACTATCTTTGAGCAGGGTTTACATTTGCATTAAAAAACAGTTTAAAAATCAGTAACTGTCAAATAAAATGTTTTTATTGAACATGCATGTATGCAGGTGTAGGCATTGATGTTGGTTTTGATACGCAGCTTGCAAAGGTGGTTAGTTACCTCTTCAGCAGATCTTCTAAGACTGTGCTACTTGTCTATGGATCAGTAGAAAGTAGCATAGAGTCCACAAGACACCAGAAGCATTGTGCAGGAGGGGAGAAGAGAGCAGCTGTAGAATGAAACCACACTCAGGAATGCAGCGAGTAGAATTAAGACGGTAATATTTTCTGCTCAGCCATACAGATATTGCCCATTCTTAGAAAATGCCATTTTTCCAGCTAGCAGGAGCCACTGCGATTGTCTTGCCAGCATAATCTGGGTATAGAATTTCAGCAAGTGATTCATGCATCAAGCTCAGCAATGCTGTTACCAAACTCTTTGGCAGGGACGCCCGTCTCCCCTGCTGGTCCAGTCCTCTCTGGCTCTCATAAAAAGATCTCCTTCAACACACAACATTTAGTAAATAAAATAGTAGTTAATATTGAAAACAAGTAGCAGATGTTGCCTCATTTGGGATATTTTTGCAATATCTTCTATATGTGATCAAACTGTCATATCTGTAGCTGATTATTTCAGTTCTAAGAAGTCCTGTTTTAACAAAGCAGCCACTCTTTACAGTACTGTTTACTTACTTATCTTCTTGAAAAGAGGCCTGTTTGTTTGACCACAACATTTTCCATTCTTCTTTCTCTCTGCTTTTTTCCCCTTACCCATGTGGAATGGTCTTTGTTGCGAAGCGAAGATAGTGCTATTGTCATATCTGGAATTGAAAGAAGCCTTTGAACTGTGGCCAGAATCAGACCACGGTGGAAAAAGATGCCTCTCCAAAACAATATAACTGGCAAATCTTTGTGTAGATTTATAGTGTGATCTTACCATAATATGAGAACGCACTAACCTCCTACTGAACTCGGTGAGAGGAAATGACTAATGCAAGGAGATAGCTGATACAGTATTTATATTGGACAAAAACTCTAAACTATCTTAAGCCGGTTCTGCAGCACGGGAAGTAGAGTCCTCATGCAGTTTCCTACAGAGATGTTAGACACTTTTTAATCAAATAATTTAATAGATAAACCCTTACCTTTTGCCAGTGCCAAAAGTGTTATGTTTTATTTAAGCAGAGTTTGTTTGTTTTGGTAGTTGCACGCGTTCTGCTTTGGGGGAGGTGGGATGTGTGTGTATCGGTATGTGAAGGCTAAACCTTTCAGGGCTTTGAAAAACATTCTTAGGCTTAATCATAAGAATCTTACCTGCAAAGCTCTTTGAGCTTGGCAGAAGTCTTTGGTAGAGGATCTTAATTATCCTTGGCCACTTCTTAATTGCCCTAGCCAAGTCACTTATTTCTCTTCGTTGGGTTTTTAGTATCTGCATCAGGTGCTGCTTTGCCTTGCTGTGCAAGTGAACTGTTTTGCCACAAGACGTCAGCCTTTTAATCTATCGACTTGTACTCCTCGTGTGTGAGAACCATCACTACGAGCTTCTGTAATGGCAGAGCAGATTGACGCCTATATTAAACAGTGTAAAAACAAAGCAGTGTTCATTGTGCTTTTCTTTAATTTCTCCTTTTACCTAAAGTATTTCTTCCCCTTTGTTCATGGCTGTCTATTTCCAGACCTTTCTAGACTTTCTGCTCTTGCGTGTTAAGTTTATTTTCTTCCTATCCCTGGTGGCTATCTTCGTTTACAGAGCAGTTTGTTCCTTACTCATTGTTTTGTCTCCTTTGAGGAAATTGCCAGGGTTTCCATTAGCTTGTAATACTAATAGCTGTGACCTCCTTAGGTATCTGCCTGGTTAGAAGGGATTTTTTAATTTGTGGTAATGTAAATATGCTTTGCTTGCAGCCTACAAATTACTTCTATCAGATAAGGCAGGCAGCAATCTAACCTTTCCACGGCAAGCATAAACTTTAATTATGCTTATGTTGTATAATGTAACGGGGTAAATTAAAGTGACTTTTACTCTGTTAATTTTTCTGCATCTGTTTTATTGTTCCTGGTAAGTATGAAGCAGGTTTTCAGGGTGAGGGCTAGAGGTTACTCCAAAGGCACACGCTGTTGGGATTGAGAGGTGGCTGCACAGGGATCACATGTTGCTGATTAAGAAGCTGATCATACTTGTCTAAATTCCTGCTGCAAGTAACTGAACTGTAATTGAATAGGCATCTCCTTCTGGCCCTGAGACAAGATGCTGGGCCAGATGGACCTTCAGCCTGACCCTGCACAGACATTTTTGTGACTGTTGTGTAAAAAACCTCATCACTTAGCTTGCTGAGACCACTCCAAATGTGCTAATAATGGCCCAACTTTGACTCTTCTGCTTCTCAACTTCAGGATGAATCAACAGGAGAGATCACCTTCTATATGAAGGGCGCTGACGTGGTGATGGCTGGCATTGTGCAGTACAACGACTGGCTGGAAGAAGAGGTATGGGGAGGTCTCTCTTGGTCCTGAGGGTTCCACCCGAGAGTGCTTTTCCCCTTCCAGGGCAACACCTGACAAAGCTTCTGCTGTCAGTGTGCCAAAATGGGCACAAGTGCTAAAACACCTGCAGGCCAAAAGATCATGCATTATGGCAATCCACTGTTAGTCTTCAGCCTTGTTACTTCGGCAGTAACAAGGAAGTCAGGTGGCAAGTTCAGCATATTCAGTGCAGAATAATTTCTAAAAATAAAATGGATTTTGCTCCAGACGGGTTGCTATTCAAGATCACCTAATTTGTCATGGGCTTGATCCTGTGTCTGGATTTATTTTAGACTGAAAGGTCTGATTTCAAAACTCCATTTGGCAGATTTGTACTTGGATGTGTTTGTCAGGTTAGCAGTAATGTTGACACAGAGTTCATAGCAATAGCTTCATTTACTGGTATTCCTCAGCCCCACACCCCAGAGTTCATAGAAATAATGGATTGGTCTTATTTTAAAGAGTTTGTGGCCAAAGATTCCAAGTCTTTAAATAAAAGGTTTGTGTCCTTTTACTTAGGAATGGAGAAAATGAAATCAATGGGGCTGTTTTTGCCATGTTGATATGGCAGAGGGGACAGTTTTGTTTCTGATCACTGGGATAGATTACAAACCATTGCAGATCTCCTTTTTTCCTCTCGAGTTTATCATGCACTTTATCAGATGTTATAGACCTGCTGGGGTTGCTCAAATGGGACGGTTATTTTCTTAACCTGCTATCTTGCATTGCAATCTCTGAAATGCTGTGCATAAATCATCTTACTTGAGATGCAGTTTATGGTTTACAATGTGATACTTCTTTCCAGTGTGGTAACATGGCTAGGGAAGGCCTGAGGGTTCTCGTTGTAGCCAAGAAGTCTCTGACAGAAGAGCAATATCAAGACTTTGAAGTAAGTTCTTTGTTTGTTTTTTTTTTTTGCTTTGTTTTTAAACAAATAATCACTGAAGTGATTCTCACAGACCTCTAATGATAATGCCGCCTCTCATCTCCGTACTCCTTCTGTTAGAATTGCCATTTTTCAGTGTCTTGCTGTTCTTTTAATCAAAGTGCCTTTTAAAGTGATATGTAGGAAACTGGATCCCGTCCAGGACTCTCCAAAACAGTTCCTGAATCCTGCCTTCTAATCTTCTGCGGTTATAAATTCTGCAAATATCCATCATTCGTTAGACAAGTTGTGTTTGTTTGAGGCAATGTGTTGGCTTTTAATTTTCATTGTTGCATTCTGGCATTCAGGGAAACTACAAACATCCCACATAAAACACAGCCAGGCTTCATGGAAACACAAGCTTCACGCGTGGGGTTTGTTAGATGGGTCTCTGTACACGGTGCTAACTTCTGTACCCCAAGCAGGCAAAATGTGAAGTAAAACTGGTTAAATGCAGAAGTGAGATGGTGGGAAACTTTAGGATTCTCTGTTGTCCTCGTTTGGAGAAGTGTTAGTCACAAAAGCAGTGGTTGGACCTGTGGTGTGATGGCAGCGTTCCCAGGTTTGTGTGTGTGTGCCATGCTGTGTGCCATGTCGCTTGGCTGGCAGGGGACGGGGCAGAATGACACAAACTTCCTGAAACATTTTCTGGCCCATTCTGTAACAGCATCTTGTGCTCATGGGCCATTACAGGTGACACCTCTGAATGACAGTCAGCAGATAGTTTTGGGGCTTCATGCTGGCTAACCCTGTGTTGCACAAAAATGCAAGCTGACCGTTCATGTGGCTGTGTCTACCTCTGCTCTGTCCTCAGGCACGCTACGTGCAGGCGAAGCTGAGCGTGCACGACCGCTCCCTGAAGGTGGCCACGGTCATCGAGAGCCTGGAGATGGAGATGGAGCTGCTGTGTCTCACCGGTGTGGAGGATCAGCTGCAGGCAGACGTCAGGCCCACTCTGGAGACCCTGAGAAATGCTGGCATTAAGGTTTGCCTAATTTAATATTACCCCGGCAGAAATACCTAGGCTCTCAGGAGTTTACTGTCCTGCAGGCAGAAGCTGACGGTTTGGGGCCCTGTCGATTAAATGTTCTAGCAAGTGCCCTTTGGGAGCAGGAACAGGGAGGCTGGCTGATGCATTTGAGCACGACTTTGGGTACAGAACATGTGGGAAATGTTAAAAGTTAACACGTGAGAGTGTGTCATCTTCTGTGCTTTTCTTCCCTCAGCCTGTTCTGGCTCCATCCACCGAGAAACCGGGTGCACGTGCAGGAGGGGAGCTGGAGGAGACTTGGGGGTTGCATGAAACAACAGGGCTGTTGTGGGGTTTAGTGGGTGACATTGGTAGTAGGGAGATGGTTGGACCAGATGATCTTGAAGGTCTTTTCCAACCTTTATGATTCAATGACTCTGGCACACGGTGGAGCTGGGATGAAGCGCTCGGCTGTGGAGGTCAATGCTTTGCAGCAGCCACTAGAGGGTGCCTGAGCCAAGAGAATGAGAGGCTGGAAACCCATTTTTTTTGGGCTCCTGCATCTGAGACGCAGGCACTTATGGCCCCAGCTGTGCTTGGCAGAGAAGGATTCTTGCTCAGTTTTCCTCTCTGAGAACTTGTCATTCAGATTCTGGATTTGAAAAAGGGAAAAAATAAAAGACTAAACATTCAGATTCAGGCAGTAAAAGTAGATAAAATGTTCTGCTTGTGGCTTTTCTGCTTGAAATATAAAAGTGAGCAAAATATTGAGCTGTGCTGCAAATACAAAAGCAGGGAGGGCTGTGTGTTGGAATTTAGATAGGAATTGGAATTCCAGGCTTAGGACAGTCTTCCAGAAGTGTTTTCTGTTTGGAGCAATCCCTTTAAGCAACATGATCTTGAGCTACAAAGTGAGATGAGCAGAATAAAAGTTACTCAGCAGTGCTGTGGCTTTATCTGATATAGATCTGGCCAGTAACTCCGGAGCAGTTTAATATTGTCTTCTCACCTTGGCTGCAGTGGGCGTTGTGGTGCAGTGTGGGTTGTGCAGGGCTGTGCTTGTTATGGCGGTATGTTCATTAGGGTATAGCATGCAAAAAGCAAATCAGAACTGAAGGCAGTCTTGTAATTCATTACAGGGACCATCTTGTTAAGATCAAATCATTTTCCAACCTCAGATTATTAAATAAATGAGTCCCTGTGAATTTTTAAAAAAGTTTAGTTAAATAGTTAAATAATCTTGGGCGTTGTCTTGAAAGAATAAAAACACTGAAAAAACAGAGGGGGGGGGAAATAGAGAAAAAAAAAGAAAATAATAGAAAATATATATTTACAGTATTGAAGGAATTCCCTGCCAGACTATAATATATTATTGCTGCTGAATATTGCTGCTGACATTGCTTTCAAATGCCCCCCCACCAGCAGAAAATAAAAAGAGCAGTGTGTGTGTATATATATTTAAAAAAAAAAAAAAAGACTAACACAAAACCAACTCAGTCTGTTCCAGACGCACACATCAGCAGTGAGCTAACCCCAGTTGCATCATCCACATTTGAGGCAGGGCCATGAGGGATATTTCTGCAGCGAGGCCTGCTTATTTCAGCGTACAAGAAATAGCTGGGGTGGGACACATTAACACACGCATACACATTCTTTAGCTTGCATTTTGTGGGTTTTATCAGCAGAATCTTGAAATATTGCAGGTGGAAAAATGCTATTCAGCTTGTAACCTCTTTTGCAATTCAGCCTCTTTAAAAGCTTTGCTTTTTTTTTTTCATACATGAGAATTTTCTGTACATATTAAAATAGGGCTTTTTTAGGGAAATAACTTGTATGTGTATTTCCTAATAATTCTCTTCCATGCCTGAACTGATAGGTGGTAATTTTAGATGTCTTGCAGACGTGGCTGTTAAGTTTTGTGTTTAATATATTAAATACTTGGATTTTAGGTGTGGATGCTGACAGGGGATAAGCTAGAGACAGCCACGTGTACAGCGAAGAATGCTCATTTGGTGACACGGACACAGGACATCCATATATTCAGACTAGTGAGTAATACCCGTGTACTCCTCTCAAGACCTGTTCAGGTCACCAAATGCCAGGACAGGAGGGGTGCTGAGATCAGAGCTCTGTTCCAGCAGCAGACCCAGACTATTTATGTTTTTTTGACCCAGCTTTTTATCCCCTTGAGGTTTTGTTTATCAGTGTGCTGCCTGTCCATACTGCTTTTGCTCGCCTTGAGACTTGTTTGCTTTGTTGGGGTGAAAACAAACAAACTCTTCCTCCCTGCCATGTTTTTCTCCAGGTGACTAACCGTGGAGAAGCCCATCTCGAGCTGAATGCCTTCCGCCGGAAACATGACTGCGCGCTTGTTATTTCTGGCGACTCGCTGGAGGTAGGCTGAGAGCTCCCCAGACTGTTCAGGAGCAGCCCCAACACCCTGTCGCTGATTTCTGATTTGTAAAGAAACATAGCACAAATGTAGTGATTGATGCTTGTGATCTCTGTAAATTAGGTGTGTCTGAAATACTACGAGTATGAGTTCATGGAGCTGGCGTGCCAGTGCCCTGCCGTCGTCTGCTGTAGATGTGCTCCAACACAGAAAGCCCAGATCGTGCGTTTGCTGCAGGAAAGGACTGGCAAGCTCACCTGTGCCGTAGGTAATGGACTTGAGAGAAACTTGAAAAACAGTTTTGCCTCCTTTTTAGTCTGCTCAACCTCTTGTTCATACATTAGGCAGAGTCTAAGATTTTGTGTCTGTGGGGACATCTGTGGCTGGTATGAAAAGACTGAAAAGTGTTTTAAGCATGTGAACTGTTGCTTTTCTTTAAAAGCCTGACTTATGTCAGCTCCAGGCTGCAAGCAGCCAGAGGTTGAAGTCAGAAAAGTGTGTTTTGGCTATGCAGCTGTGCAATAAGAAATCTGTTATACCTGTTTCAGAAACAGCACCGCTCTAGTTAGAGTTGAGTGGCCGTGTAGAATGGAGTCTATTTATTTATTTATTTTTAATGTGAACAGTCCTGTGTCATCCCATAACACCTGGAAATGCTGAGCTAAGGAACAGGTTCTTTGTTTTTTTCTGGGGGAAGGATGATTGGTAAAATCAAGTTTCACATATGGAAACTCATAAATATTTGGGGTGATACCTTTGCGGAACAGAGTTTGAACTTTGTCAGATACAGTGCTATTGTTAACAGGAGCTTTATTTCATCATTGTATGTAAAATAGTACACCTACTAGTCAGTTTAACTGATCAGTGGCCTTGAATTCATACAGGTCTATTAAAAAAAACAAAAATCAGAACAAAAACACACACAAAAATCAAACCACTTCTTTAAGAATTCGAATTCCCAATTTCTGTTTAAATTCCTGCTTTTGTTAATAGGGTTCAGTGTTTCTTCTAATGTTACAGCCTGGCCCAGATGCCTTTGGTTAGGTTGGAAGTTGGATCTGTTGCTTAACTACCAATGTCATTCATCTGTGCTGTGACCTGCAGGTGATGGAGGGAATGATGTTAGCATGATTCAAGAGGCTGACTGTGGTGTCGGAGTTGAAGGAAAGGTGAGATTCTCATGCTTAATAAGACTTCCTATGGCAATTCAGAAACTAGTTAGCAAGTATCTCTTAAGTAAATCCTCAGAAATTTGTGCAGGAAAGTGAGAAGCTTCCACAAGAATAATTATCCAACCAAAAATGAAGTGACAAATAGTTTTAGTAGAGTTGAAGTTTCTAATTTGATTCTTGGGAGATTCCTTGAACTTGAACCACCATGGTTAGTTTGGGGTTTTTAATCGTGTGTTGGTGCTCCAAATGCTGGGGTTATGATTGCTCTTAGAATTAAAAATGGGTTATATTTTACCTGTAGAGTGTGTATTATTTTAGAAAGCAAACTCTAGGTTAGAGTTCTAGTTCATGCATGTGGAGTTGTTTTGAGTGAAAGGACTGAATTTAATGGGGGTGGAAAGACTGCTTGCAGTATGCCAAAACATTAAAATTGAGTGAACTGTTGAGACTGAAAATTTGTGTTCAAAACTGACCTGGTATAAAATGAGTGTCACGTTAACATACATGTTGTGAATCATAGTCCAGAGGGTTGATTAGAATCAGAAGCCAGGGTTCAAATGGGAATTCTTTTCATATTTTTGCTCTTTAAGTAAAGGCTGTGGTGGAAGGCAGAAATGCTGAGGTAATACTCTTCTCCACCTAATGTATTGCAATTTTTCCTGGAAATTCTGTTGTGATAACTAGTAAATAACATATATATATATATATATAGTTTTCCCTAATAATAAAATGATCTCCCTATAATTTTGCTTGCTATTGTACACAGGAAGGCAAACAAGCATCACTTGCAGCAGATTTCTCTATCACTCAGTTTAAACATCTGGGTCGTTTGCTGATGGTGCACGGACGGAACAGCTACAAGCGGTCAGCAGCTCTCAGTCAGTTTGTAATCCACAGGAGCTTGTGCATCAGTACAATGCAGGTCAGTGGGCTGTTGTGTGGGCTTTTTCATTGAAGAGGTAGAAAAAAATCAAAAAGCAAAGGTTCTGCTTTTCAGTTTGCATGCAGTTATTTTTTCTTCTGAAAATTTTCTTGGGTTGGGAACTTCAGACTGTTACTTTGTTATGAAAACACACAAGCTCTTGCTATTGGATGAAGATAGCAAGTTTTCCAAAACTGGACAAACAATATTCTGCCTTAGGAAATGTTGCTGTGATACAGTATGGCATTGCTGATTTTAGTAATGCCAAAAAGTGCTGAAAATCTGAAGGAGAACAATATTCTGCTAAGTGCACTTAATTTCAGGTGTGTTTTAGGTAAGGACTTCAAACAGTGGGACTGTAGTTAAGCATCTGGCTGAGGACCTGGCTCAGAACCTGATGAGGTTCCCGAAAGCTTGGTCTGATGTGGTGCAGAGTGTTCCCAGGAGGCTGTTGAAGCACATTTTAACCTCCCCAAGTGCTCAGCAGCTTGCTAACAGCAATGTGGAGGCAGTCTGTTCCTCTTCGTTCCAAAGAGAACCTTAGAAACAGATTTAGTAGTCTCGAAATTTATGTTGCTCGTGTGTGCAGAGCCCCAGTATAACAAAAACGCAATTGCCAGTTGACAGGGAGAGCTGGAAGAGATTTTAAGAGTTTGTAATCCATATTCTGTTCTTAGCTGTGGTGACTGGAGTGAAAGTTGCAGTTAAGGATGGAGGTTGCTCTTTGGGACTTGTATTTCCACACTGTAGAGTATAATTGCGTGCATTAAAAATACTAAAGCTTTTTAGTAAAGCACTTGATATTTTTCAGAAGGCTCATTCTTCCTTTCTACCTTTTTAGAGTAAATGTGTTAAAGAGGGATAACTAGAGAAAAAAGGCTCAAACTCGAGAGGATGGTCTAGCTTCCCCTTCAGCAGAGGCAACCTAAGAGACGTCCCAAGCTAAAAACAAGATCAGAAAACAAACCCATGATTTCTGTAACTGACAAAAATTATTTTTACATTTTGCAGGCATAATCTAGGGAATGAGACATAAATAAGTATGCACCTGTCCTTCACAACGTTTAAATGGCTTTGATCAAAAGAGTGGGCTTCGAAGGAAACTCTTCATGCTCTTTTCTGTGGAATTATATTACCAAAAATTTTCCAAGTCCAGTTCTTCAGTGTTTGCTCTTAAACATAGTTTTCATCCAAGGTTTGCGTAGGAATAAAAGGGTTGATATTACATTCTTCTTAGTTTCGGGAATTTGGAGAACCCACGAAAAGTATTTTCCAGCTTGAACAGGATATATTTTTAAGCTGTTACATTAACTGCATTATTTAATGCCTGAAAAGTTTCTATTTTCTTTTCTAGGCTGTTTTCTCATCCGTATTTTACTTTGCTTCAGTTCCCCTCTACCAAGGCTTTCTCATCATTGGGTGAGAGCTCACTTTTTTATTAATAGTGTGGAAAACATATGTGTAATGATAGATTTGGGCTAATTAACATGCAAGGCATGCACATCTTTGCTCTGCATATTTCACAACACTGCTTCAGAAGGCAGGTGTGATCTCTGTCCCTCTGTGTTGAACAAAGCCACCGAGGCAGTGCAGTCACGTCTAGAATCCTTTCCAGAAGGAGAATGTCTCAAATTCAGAATGTCGGAAGGTTACAGCAGTGCATCTTCCAGAAAGAGCTCCGTCAGTCCTGGCAAATGTAGAAAGACAGTCATGGTGCTCTGGTGGCTGTGCAGCAATGAGAGCCAGTGCCCAGCTCCTGACAGTGTCATTTTAAGGGGACAACACAAAATCTTCAATGGGAGGAATCAGCTGAAACAGTAAACTGAGAGATAGCAGTAAAATATACTGGTATTGCACTTGCAATCCCATGACTCTATAAGCTATCCATTATGTGATTAAAAAACAAACAGCAAATTCATCCCCACCCCCTTCTGGTGCGAACAGGACTCAGCCCAAACTGTGGAGTGGAATTTAGGGTGGGGACAGGTCTGTCCTTGGCTCCATTAATAAACCTATAACACCAGTTGCAGTACTTGAAACAGTCATCTAGCTGTGAATGTTTTTAATCAAAAGCTATTCAGAAAGCAAATCCTGCAGGTTTTTCCTACATGCAAAGCTCTAGTGTGTTCCCTTTGGAAGTTTTTATAATACGGACATTATTTAGTACTTTGAGTTTACTGTACTGTATTTTCTTTGTGAAGATTAGCATTTTTGTTTGCTCATCTAGATCTTAGCTAATTTTTGGTCTTTAACCTTCTTCACAGGTACTCCACAATTTACACAATGTTTCCAGTGTTTTCCCTAGTCCTGGACAAGGATGTTAAATCTGAAGTTGCAATGTTGTACCCAGAACTCTACAAAGATCTTCTTAAGGTGTGGGAGACTCTTGTATGTTTTGGTTTCAGGCAAAATCTTTGTTTTGATTAGAAACTCTCTAAATGTTTTAAATCAAATGGATTTTCTGTAGATACAGAACTCATTGTTGGACATATCATATATATTCAAGCAAAATTATTTTAAAGGCAAATTTGAATTAACAGATATAACCAGATTTTTGTGCAGTTTGCTATTGAATGCTGCATAAAATACAACTTATTAAAAACGGCTGGGAAATAGTAGTTGTACTTTGCAGGAAATTCAAAGTATTCAATATTACTGATTTGTTCCAAAATAAAGGGAGAAGAGAAATTGTCAGGGAATTTGCACTCTCCTGAAGCCAGAAAAGGGGGTGGGGGTCATAGGGGTAAGGGATCTATTAATGTCATGAGGGAAGGAGGTTATCACATAATTTCTTGAATGGAAATTTGCCGTAAGGATCATCTAAGGGGATCGTCTAAAAGTTTGGTTGCTGTGCCTTTTGTTGTTGCCTGAGCATGAAAGACAGAGTTCCTTCTCCTTAGACAAAGGAAACTTTATTTGATACTTACCATAGAAATATCGGGAAGGTAAATCTTGTCTTTGGTTCCCTTTTTTTCTTTTCTGGAAAATTTTTTGAATAACTGGGTATGTGGATTGGGAACATCTTTCTTAATTGAAGGAAAGGATGGACTGAGTCTTCAACAGATCCTTTCCCTCAAGGATTTCTGTTAAACAGATACTCTCAGAAGCAAAGCCTGTTTTTCCAACAGTCTGAATAAGTCTCCATCTGGTTTCACTTGTATGTTGTCTCTGATGTCATAAACCACTAATTCTCCAACCATCCTTAGGCCTGGTCTAAACATAGGTTTTTTTGTACTGGTATAGCTGTGTTGGCTGAAGGAGCTTTTTTTTAAAACCTATCTGCCTTCAATATGATGTGATTTGTGTGTGTATAGAAATATAATATTAATATATACATATATTTGTGTATACACACATCTTATATTTCACAGTACAGTGACTAAACTCATGAGACATCATTGCATTGAATTAATTGTGTGTGCAGTAAGGAAGAGGTACCGTGCAAGCAGTGAGCTTCCACAGTCCCAGGCGTCCTCTGCACATCATGAAAAATGAGAATAAAGAGACAGTACCTCAGGGTTGGTTGGTTTGGTTTGGTTTCTTTCCAAATCACCTTCAAATTCCCTTTTATTAATTGGTGGGTTGACCTGTAAGTGAATGTTCATAAAAGAAAACCCTAACAGAGCTGTTTTTTTTTTTTTTATTCCCCCTTTTAGGGACGACCGTTGTCATATAAAACATTTTTGATATGGGTCTTAATAAGCATCTATCAAGGTAAGAAATCAGCTTCTGCTTATGCCTTTACACGTTTTGATGAGTACAGAATATCTAGTTATTTATACTGTGAGAAGCTAAGGAAGTGAATTTAGCAATGGATCCTTAGGTTATTGAATCAATATTTCTTTTTTTGTTTGTTTGTTTTTTGTCTCAGAAAATTTTGGTAGCCTTCCCAAAGCAAGAAGCAATTTAAAGCTAAATATTGGCAGCAACTGGTCAACAATGTCACAGTGGTGTGATGTCGAAGTTCAAAACATTTTGCCTTTTTCCATCAGGACAACTCTTTGTGATTTTGTGCAAGTTCCTTTTGGTGCTGTAATTGTTCCATCTGCATAGTAGAGCTGGAGACTCTTCCTTTGTTTTGAAAAAGGTTTCCAAATGTATGGGTTATGCTGGTTAGTCAGTATGCAAAACAGAATCTGTGGATTAGTGTATTTTATCTAAACCCTGTTTATTAGCAGTGGCAATAGCTCTGGTTACTTCATAGCCATGTGCAATTAAGGATTAGAGTAGAGCTCAAGGTCTTGATCATATCACATATACATGTACTCTACGTAGCCTGCTAAGAGAGTTGAGCAAATACCTTAATTACAATGCATCCATTTTACAAAAGTGGATGTGGGGATAGGGGTATATGACTCTACAAAGTCTTTTTATTTCATTTTGTCCTTTTTTTTTTTTAATTAAGTAACCTCAAACTCTAATACTTTAACGGTTAATCAGGGTATCATGGAAAAAGTGTACATAACGCTGAGCTATAAAGCTAAAAATGGTAACACGATCCTGTGACAAAATTTCTTGTTTTCCAAAACTCCTTTATCAACAACAGTCAGCATAAATGTGCCAAAATAAGCAGCTAGTTCTTACTGATTTAAATGATGTTACCATCCTCCGTAGGGAGTGAAGCCAAGAATACAAAAGCTCTCTTAGCATTATCTTCTGAAATCTAATACAGTAGAACCCTTTGACAGGGCTAACGGTCTTCTGTTGCTGTATAAATATGATGGCAAAGCCAAGGCATTTATAGAAAACTCACAAGTGGTGGAAAGCTACAGCCAGAGGGTGATGCATTGAGGGAAAGATTTATCCTTGAGCTGAGACCACTATCTCGTTACAATATTTGGTTAAAGTGACTTCACTTCTGATGTGCTAAATAACTAGAAAACATCAGGCCAAACAATTGGACTAGTTGCTAGCAGAGATGAGCCTAACCAAAAACTTGAGCAGCCCTAAATTTTGGAAAGTTCACAGCTGGATTTGAACTCTGTGGCTCGAGCTCTAGTCACTTGCAGGTTTTCCCTTCCGAAACTAGCCTAGTGTGATGGATGTTGGTGCAGATTACTCATGCTGCTAACATGAGTTATTTATGCAGGTGGCTGTGCAGGGTGTTTTGAGCATTCCCTGGCTTATAGCTAGAATAGAAGCACACAACAATACATCATTAACGGTGTGCTTTTATGTGCCCTTCTTTTAGGGGAAAGCGTCAAGGGGAGAGAACTTGGCCAAAGTAGTACAAAAGAGAAACTAACTTGTATCAACTGAACTTCACAACACCTTACTTCTATCTGGGCACTGAGGCAATGCAGTGGGATTTAGAAGTATTTGATATCTTTAAGCTTCTGAGGAGTGACCAGCTGCTTTTCTGGAAGGATAGAGTTTCATGATGCTAGAAGTCACCAGCTGCCAAAATAGTGTGTGTTAATTTCCTATTTCCATGTGTCTATGAATATGATAGATTATCATAAAAGTCTGGGTACCTCTGCAGTAACTTTTCCTTGTCTTATCAGTTGTCTCCTAAATAGTAACTAGGTCATTGTCATTACATTTAACAGGTTTCATGACTATGTTTCAGCCTTTCCAAGGCTTAGCAGTGGGTTTTAGAGCTTCAACTGGTGTTAAAAAAAAATAACCAAATTGGTCTACTCTTTTGCAGGTAGCATCATTATGTACGGAGCACTCCTCCTCTTTGAATCTGAATTTGTCCACATTGTCGCCATTTCCTTTACATCTTTGATTCTCACCGAGTTGCTGATGGTAGCATTGACAATCCAGACATGGCACTGGCTCATGATAGTGGCTGAGCTGCTTAGTCTCTCCTGCTACATAGCTTCCCTGGTCTTCTTACATGAGTTTATTGGTAAGGTTAAATGCCTTTTTTCACCAACCAGTTGCTTCATGACCTGGATAGTAACAAGACTGTAAGGACATGAACTCAAAGGCTGTTGAGGAAGTTAACATGATTATAATGACAGTGGTTCTGACCAGAGCAAACTCTTTGATTTTGAAGGATATTTTATGGTTCCTTCTCATAGCAAACACTAGAGGAGATAAAGGTAAGGTAGTCAGTAAGCTTTGTGCTGCTCAGTGAATCTCATCCTTGCTTTCAGAGCTCCACTGCATATCACCTGTCATGTGCAATAGTGGCCTCTTATTTCCATGTGGGAACTGAACTTGAAACTAAAAATGTTATCCTCTGCTGTTGGTTTGAAAGATGCCATCTTCTAACTGGATGAAGTTACCCAATTCTATCTGCTTCAATGGGGGCTCTTCTCTTGTGGTTTTTGTTGTTGTTTTGTTCATTTGCTTTTTTTTTTTTTTTTTTTTTAATTTACCTGGAAGACAGCTAATAATTTTAGTTTCCCTGGCTAAAGGGAAAAAGGTGAGGAATTCTAAATTTCCAGATTTACTCTAGTAGTTGTCTGTTTGCAAGTATCAGGTCCATACGTTTTGATCCAGGGTTTGTTCAGGAAGCCACAAGATGTCACTACTTCTTCCATAAACTCTTTGCATCCTCTGAAGACAATGAAGATAACTTCCCAGTGGGCTAGATCTCACGAATACGGGTATACCAGCCCTATTTTGAACAATACTTCAGCTATTTTTGTAATGCTTCTGAGATACCATGACTGAGTTAAGAGATGTATTTGCTGGACTACCAGCCACGTAGCAGAGGGCAAGTCCCAGAGTACAAGTAGTCCATTTAAAGGAAGCTCAGTATTGCCAGCAGATGGATATCCCAGTTCCAGATGAGGAATATCTGTGTGCTTGTCTGTGATGGGTTATGTGCCCTGCTGGAATCCTACAGGGAATGAATTATGCAGAAAGCTGAATCTTCTGTGAAAGAGAAAGGCAGAAAAGTGAGGAACCAGGGACTGCATGAGCTTTGAAATTCTGTGCATGTGGAGAAGGTGAGGCTGTTTAAGCTGCATTGTTAGATTGTATGGCTTCTCTGTACCTCTTTCCAGAATGTGCTTCCCTTCTTTCTTGACTCTGCTCTTCTCTTTTTACAGATGTTTACTTCATTGCAACTTTGTCATTCTTGTGGAAAGTCACCGTCATCACTCTGGTGAGCTGCCTTCCCCTCTACGTCCTGAAGTACCTGAGGCGAAGGTTTTCTCCCCCAAGCTATTCAAAGCTCACATCTTAGGGCTGCTTTTCTTGCACACCAGAGACGAATATTGCACATGGCTGAGAGACAAAAATCATGTAGTTGTTACTATAATGAATACGTCTGATATTTGCATAAGGATCATGTAGTAATCTCTATTACATGCTGCTTTATTGAAAAAGACTTCACAACTACTACAAACGGAAACCTAACAGTACAAGGGAAGGATTTTTTGAGGGTGGAGGCACTTGTTAGTTCATCCACTTTTTGTCACTTTTGTTCAACTTAACTGGGGTCAAATGCATGCAACTACAATGATGATTGATTCCTCATGTGTGGTTAAAAGTACCAAAAGCTGCTAACTGACCTTGGAGTATATGTTCGACAATTTTTAAGTTACATTTTAAAAATATCTGTGGTGTTCCTTGCATTGTGTAACGTAATTTTATTATTTATTTTTTTGATTCAAGTAGGTACATTCTTTTTACATCTTGGAAATCCCTTAACGTAGGTGATGCACTATACTGTTGACAGCTGATTCCTGATTTATGGCATGCTGTTCCCATAATGGGGCTCCAGCACGTCGAATCTACACACACTGGAGAATCTGAGCATGTCTGAGATTTTCCTTCAGTTGAAATGTGGTCACCCTGGTGATTTTGGTGGTATCCAGCCATCGATAAATAGAGAGAAATGTAATCTAAAATGAAGAAATTCAGTTTTGTTTAGTTCTTGTGCTTCCTGTTAAAAGGAGCTGGTGACATAATAACTTTACTCTGTATTTATTTGTATAGGACAAAATTATCTAAACTACAGCAAATCCTCTTTGGAAAAGAAATTTGCACTTGATCAGACTTGAAATGTGTTGACAACGTGAGAAGAGACTTGTAGTGTTCCGCAGACAATGTGGCAGACATGTCTTGAATCCTCGGAGACTGAAAGGAAAGGTCACAGAGCTGCTACTCCTCACAACTACACAAAATCTGTTTCCTGTTAGGGTGAAACAGTGAAGATGAGCTGCAAATAAGCTGAGGCACTCCTAGGTAGATGTCATTCTTGACGCCCTCCCTGCAAGGGGAGTTTTTGAGAACCTTGCACTTGCGTTGGTCTAAAACCAAAACTTGAATGGGAGGCAGGAGCAGGGTCTGTACAAAGGTATTAGGCTCATGTGCAGAGCAGTATACTTGTTTTTAATTTTCAAAAACTCAATTAGTTTTGTTTTCATAATAACATAACTTAATAACATAAGCATTGTTCCCCTTATAACACAGTGAGGAGGGCAACACGTGCACAGGCTGTTCAGGAGAGTGACAGGGTTGCAGGAACCATTCACCATTGAATCTGTGCGTCGAGCATGGCTGAGCTTTTATAGTGGCAGCCATCCTCATCTAATGGCTGTTTAGTCTGTGATAAATTAGTTGCTTGCTGTCTTGTTCCCACATCATAAAAACCACTGTCGTGGCGGGCACAGCCTGGCGCCGTCGCTGGTCAGCTGCACGGAGGGACAGGGAACGGCAGAGCCCAGAGCCTGAACTCCCGCTTGTCTCTTGAGGCAGCCCCTCCAGGTCCAGGCAACAGCACTGGTGTGAGGAGCAGAAGCTCCCTGGTTGCCACTGTGCCATGCTGAACCCCTTTAATGGACTGCCAACTTCTGTTGCCATTGCTACAAGATGCTGTCGCAAGCAGCACAGTGCTGCATGAAAAGCTCTGGTGTGAAAATCAGTGGAAAATCCGAGTGTTGTTTTAAAGGGAGAGCTGGAGTCTGCGTTGATCTATAGCAGCACATCTTGAATTTTTAGATCTAAGATTGCCATGACTTACATGGTTGATTTTTGGTAATTTCTCTGAGGAATGCTTTGGACAACCTGACCTGCCTTCCTTTTTCTCAGTTACTGAGAGGAAATAGGAAAGAGAGGAAGCAAGTTCCAAAAGCTATGTAGAGAAATCATAATGCATGTAGCTTCGGGTGAGAGGAAGGTGCAAGTCCATATGGCCTTGTCGTTAGTTCATGTGGGGGAAACCCTCGTAATTTAGGAAGTTATGTTTCAAAATCCTTCAGGAATAAGAACAGCCAACACCCTTTAATCTAAGACAAGGTTTTTTCTTTTGTGCCAGTCTTCTGATTAGGCACTTGTCTGAAATCCTAATACATGGCAACCACCTTTAGAAACAACCTGCTGACCAAGGAAATGTAGCTAATTCTTAGCAGTCACCTTTTAATAATTTGTAAATTTGCCTTTCATTCTCTTCTAAATTTTTTCCTAAAAAGAATAATAATATATATTCCTACTCCTTTGACATGCATTGGGTAGGGGCTTCAAAGTCCTATGCTTCTCATTGATTTGTCTCAAAGAAGAAAAGCAGTGCCTGAACAGCTCTGTATCGGAACAATTGGGCTAGCAGCCGTCTGTGAATTATTGCCAAAAGGTACTTCATGTTGTCTTTATTGTGACTTGCTACAGTTCCTGGATAGTGTCAGACATGCAGCTGTTCTGGAGTCCCCAGTCAGCATTTGATTTAAATAGATTTAAAGAAAAGAATCAATTTTTTTTTTTTTGTCAGCTTCTTGTGACTGAGAAGTCAAGTACCTCTTGTTCTTTGGAAAATACACCATGATACACATCTTTGTAAAATCCCTGTCCCTATCTAGCGTGTATTAGTAGTTCAATGTCCTGCAAAAATAACAGTGCCATGCTACTGTATGTAAATATTTGAGACGTATGTATGGTAGAATTCACTGTTTCCTGAAGTCAATACAGTTTACACTGAGTGGACCATATTTGCAAAATATTAGCCTACACCAAGAAAGGGAGTGAATTGTGATTTCAGTAATATTTATTGAATCATAACTTTAATAATGAATGCATATTTAGTGGCATTGAGACTAATCTGTAGCTGTGTCCTGGGGTGGGGATTATGTTCCTTTGCAGCTAGTTTTTTTGCACAAGGTTGTAAATCCAGGAAGTAATTTCTCTCTGCATTTTTTAAATCAATCAGAAAATTAAAACTGCCATCTAACAAACAGCTGGAGAGAGGAATGATTGTTGTATTTTTCAAGTTTAGCACTTTGTCTGAAATATATTTCTCTTAAGTTATTTAAAAATGTTTTTAAAAGCAAAGTTTAATACATATGTTCATACTTACTGTACATCTGAATAAATGTATTCTCTGCTGGAAATTTAAATTAATCTTTTTCATCTAGTATGCTCATCATTTGTGCTTATTGAGAGTGAAGCATTGTTTTCTTGTATGTAGTTATCTTGTTTGTAGATTTAGTGTTCTTTTTGTTCCTTTTTTGTTGTTGTTGTTCTGGTTTACGTACTGCAGCAGTTCGTATAACTTGTGAGCTTTGGGACTGCGCTACAAGTGATGCTGTAGGATAGCAGTGTGTGTCTTGGTGTGTTCTTGTTTCTTCTGGATGCTGTAGGGAAGCCTGTGCTCTGTGATGTGCTGCTTTGGTGGTTAGTTCCGTGCAGATTTTGTGATATGCACTGTTCTCTTCTTGCATCACTGCAGTAATTCCAGGTGCTTAACAACCTCTTTTTTTTTTTTTTCTTTTCTTTAACTCTTGGATATATTTCCTTTGTAGGGTTTGCCCCATTTCTCTTTGCAAACACTTGTTCAGCTCATACTGCAATTGAAATGCAACATCCTGTGTTCAGCAGCTCAAATCTGGGCAGGGTCTTATCAGAACTGGGCTGGGGAGTGATGAGTGACATCCCTGGTGTCCCCTCAGAGTTGAGAGCTACATGCTGAGAGCTACAGCTGTGGTCGGACCAAACTGAGCAGTATCAGAGGTGTTTTTCTGCAGTCTGCTGAACTATCACAAATACTGTGACAAACTCTCTTGCTCACTGCAACTCTTGATGGAAATTTTGCTGTGGATGGGCTGTTTGTCAGGGAGCCCTGGTGAGTTAGATGTGTGAATCCCTAAAGCTTGTGTTCTGGCTTTATCTTTTAAAGAGAGCTGCTGCATCTTCAGATAATAAATCCTTAGTTTGCACAAGCAGTGCTCTGAACCAGGTATGTGAACTATATTGCATGCAGCTCACCGTCACACATCCTTTGTGCACAGCTGGTCAGATGGGGATTGACTCATCTCCACAGCTGCATAGCTAGGGCCAGCTGAGTGCCCTCTAGAATCGTCAGTGTGAGCTGGGTGGGCTCTTTTCATTTTTATTTATTATTAGTTATTTCAAAGTTAATAAACTCTGATTTGCACGAAATCCTGGGTTCTACAGCTTTGCCAATATGGTCCATTACTACTGCCTACTATAACTTGTGTACTTATATGCCTTTGAGAACACTTTTAATTGTTAAAATTTGTTAAAAATTAATGTTAATTTAATTTAATTTTTAATTGGGGAAATGGATTCTGTTGTCAAAAGGATATTTACTGTGATGCTGATGTTTTGTACTTGTCATCTACTTAAACAACATGTAAATACTCTTGATTCAAGAGAAATATGAATGCCAATTATTTATTGTTCTGTGGAGTTATATGTTGCAGATGTGTAAGAACTTAAAGGGAATGTTGTAAAACAAGGTGGAAAAATAAATTTTATGCAACTTCTCTATTTCATCCATATATGCCAGCTGTGATGCACCTGAGTTAGTCCTGCCCTGATCAGTCCAAGATGTGTTCTGACAGAATTAAGTGTAGAGGTCAAGTTGCATTGTGGCCCTTTAATGTGGCTATATGGGAAATGCACGTGTGAGAAATGATCAGTGCTCCCTGCTGATCAGTGTGGACCTGCTTCGTTATATTTTGCTATAAGCAGTTTGCTAGCTGTCTTCACGGGAAGCTTGAAGTGTATCGGAGATGGCAACTTCTGCCGTCCTTCGCTTTATCGGTGGCTTCTTGAAAGACTGCAGTTTCATGCAGGATTGTGTTCTCCAAGCCATCTGAGCTTTGTATCGTACTGTAAAGGTATTCATCAGCCCTGGGGAGCAGCGTAGGAGCAGCTGCATGTGCCACCTGTGTTGCCACAAGGTGGAAATTTGGGTGCCACTGCGCTCCCAGCTAGCCCAGGCAGCCCCAGGTGCCTGCCTGTTTGAAAAGCCAGTTTCAGGAGACCCAGCTCGTTCAGGAAGATTCTGGTTGAGTTAGCCTTGGGGTTTTTTTAAGCCGGTGTAACCCCAGTGAGGGAGAAGATGGTTGGTACTGGTGATTCCCGCTGGTGTGAATTAGGAGGCACAGGCCTTTCATTCGAAACATGGATGTGCTGCTCTTGGAAAAGCAGTGACGCAACAGCAGTAGGAGCAGCTATTTTTGGCATGTTCTCATCACTCGAACATTTGATTAAGGAACTCTTTCTGCACACAGCAGTCACACAGATAGAGCTGGCTGCCGTGTTTGTGTCAGAAATGGAGGGAGAGGAAGGAATTTAATGCTGAATATTCTCTGCAGAGGAAACTGCAGTAACTTTAAGGACACAATGCAGTGTTTTTCTACTAAAATGTAATAGAGCTATAAACACCCTCAAATAAAAAGAAAGAAAAATAGAATTAGATAAAGTAAATCCATAACTTGGGAGATTATTTAACTCAAGCAGTGATTAAAAACTATTCCCTCAGACTCCTAAATATATATTAAAAAGCTTTTCTTTTAGGTTCTATAGGAGACAGATGCCAGCATATTAACCTCTCTCATGATCAACATTCTTTTGTGTAAAATAGTTAATGCAAATGTTAAATACGCTTTTTTTTTTTTTTTTGGTGATGTTTGCACACATCAAATGAATGCTGTGGACTCCAGAAATTACAGTAACAGACTTCACTCCCAAGTGTTACCAATTTCCCACTCTAAATGGGTTACATAAGCCCTAGTTAGTGGTTCTTTTAATTTATGGACGGTTTCTTTTTAATGGTGAAATGTGTAATTAAAAAAAGCTAGAAATAGTTTTTCTAAACTCACTCTGGAAAGGGAAGGAGAATTTCTGCAATTTTTTTTTTTCACCCAAACATTGCATAATAGTAGAAATGTCAAAGATTTCCATGGGTTTAATTTCATTCTTCATGTGGCTGTGGTCATACAAGAAGTTTGAACACTGCAGGGGTTGGCAGATTTTTGGAAGATCACGCATCCTGGGATAAGTTTTCAGCTTAAGCTTTACCAAAGAATGCCAGTGGCCTTATTTTTCAAATTGTGGTTGTATTATATACTAGTGTCTTTTTTCTTTAAAGGGAGGGGAGGAGGGAAAAAAAAAGGTGCTGGCTGGTAATTGGGTTTCATACTATGGCCCTGAGCCTTACGTGTGGCATGAAGACATACAGAACCTCACCTTAAGCCGTTCATAAAGAAGAAAATCCTGTTGATGTGCCCTCTGTCTTTTCCTTCCAATGGCTCCAGTTACTGACAGCTGTACTTCTGTATTCTGCTGCTTCTCCATTGCATTAGCATGGCGTTAAATATAATTGTCATGATAACCATTTACTAGAGGAAGGTAGCTGCTGCTGTTCCTGTTTCACAGATAGGAAATGGGGACAGAGAACCTAGGGTCTCTGGTCTGAACCTCAAACCCATGGCAAAGCGTGGTGTACGAAATTACTTTCCTGTTTGATTATTGGAGTTTCTCCCCACCTTAGAGTCAATCACACAGGAAAGATACTTGCTCCGTGGTGTATCCAAATGTTTGTTTTTAAATTAGGAATGTGATTGGAAGCTTAAAAAAAAAAAAAAAGGGCACACACAAAACTACTGCTATTATTTGGAGTTTTGATGAACCTCAATTTAACAATTTTGTTGGCTTGCTCTGTCTTGAAATTGGGACTGCGGATCAGGGCTAGTGTTGTGCAGCTCCATGGTAAAGTGGTGAGTTTGAGAATGCGAGCAGCAGTTAATCACAGAAATGGCTTTGCTGTAACTGCAAAAAGGTAGTGCAAGGAAGAAGTTTGCTGCACATGGCAGCAGCGATTAGCAGCACTAAGTCCTGGTCCAGCACTTACGTAAATTTGATAACAAAACTACCATCAGCCTAATGCCTGCTTGGCTGCTGTGGCTTCCTGGGGCCACAAGCAAGCATCTCCTTGCCCTAAAACTCTGGGTAGTATGGGGCTCTCTAGGCTGTGCAGTGAATCTCTTGAGTTTCTGCTTCTTGTAATTAAAGTTATAGGTGATCAGCAGCTTGCAGGATTTGGCCTTCAGTAGAATGTCCTTCCCTCTTCTGCTTTTTCTCCCTTTGTGGCCTAGGACCTAACTGTTATTGACTGAGCGGGTTACAAAAAAAGGCTTTAAAATCATAGCATTCCCACTTTAAAGTCTCCTTTTCTTGGCTTGCTGTAATTGTGCACGTAAGGAGGAATATTGTGTGCTGTTCAGATTCTCTCACAGAAAGAAGTAGTAACAAGAACAATCTGTGCGAAAGAATTTAGCGCATTAAAGATGGGGGTAATAGTCATTCTCATTTGTCCTTTTATGTGAAACAGATTTTATTTTAAATGTACACTGAGTAGTTTAACCATGTCCAGAGACTTGTTTACCAGGGTAAAAGTAGAATTGCCCACAATATAAATTAAGAGTATTGAATAGAGGTGGATTGATGGTGCTGCGTGATTCTGCCTAGTCAGCTCAGAAGCGCTCCTGGGGCACGCACCTTGGTGGGCACGTGGGACGGGGGCATCTCCCGTGCTCGTGATTTCATCAGACAGTATATTTAGTCATGTGTTGCGCATCTGCTCCAAAAAAGTTGTGTTGCAGCTCTGCTGTAGGCATTGTATTTCTCTGCCTTTAGACATGGATCTGTCTTGTGCCGGCTCTTACACTTTTAAGACATGTCACTTCTGATTTCTTTTGCACAGTGGCAGACTTCACCATTGTGTCACTTGTCAAAAAGTGATACAAATCACTATTGATCAGATTTCCTATTTAAAATGAGACTTGGTGTGACTATTATATGAAATGCCACAGAATGGTCTCGATGGAGCACGTTAACCCGTTCAACGGCCGTGAGAAGAAACGCCATCTGGTGCTGAGCCTATCGAAAAGGCCAAGGGACGCTGTCTGCAGAGGTGGAATTCCTCTGTACCATTTCTAAGTTCAATATGACTAAAGGCACCTTTATATGGATCGGCATTGCCTCTGTCAGACGGCATCTCTCTCCTCACACAGCGGTACCCAGCGCCTCACCACACACCCTGCAGCCGCTGCTGCACCTGAGGCGAGCGCCACAGAGCCTGTCACAAAGCGAGCTCCGCGTCTCAGCCCGCTCCCCTGGGCACCTCAGGGTGCTGATTTGCATCTGGGAGCTCGAGTGGGTTGCTCTGACTGTGTTTTATTCCCTTTGGTCTCGTTGCAAGAGTTGACAAGATCGGACCCTTGAGGAGAGGCCTGGGCTGCGGCGGGCAGTGAGGCAGCTCGTCGTCGTCCACCGTGGGCCGGCGGCGCTGCCAGCGGGCCTCCAGGCCCTTAGGAGGTAGGATCTTTCTTCGCCCTGGAGATGTTGCTGGAAATGTTTATTGCTCTCTCCAGCTGCACCTCTATTAGGCTCCATTCTGTTCTCCTTATGTTTGACAACCAGCACACCCTGAGCTGTAAAGTTTCGGAGGCCCAGTGAAGAGCAGCCAGTGTTTTAACCACTCTCTTGCCAAGGCTTCCTTGGCACGGGCCTGCAACGTGAGCGAGGAGAGTGCGTGCTGCTGGAGCTGCTCTTGTGATTAGCAAGCCCCAGGAAACATCAGCACCCACCCTGCCCAGCCAGGGTTCGGCTCCACGGCTGCCCTGGGCTGTGGTGTGGGCATCAGTGCTCACAGGGCTCCTGCCCGGGCACCGAGACATATTTACAAGTCACTCAGTCTGCACTCGGGATCCTTAATTTAATTTTTGAGAGTAACTGGAGCAGTCGCATCCTGTTGTTTATTAATGTAGCTTTAAATATTTAATAGGCCATCTTGGCTTCTTTCTAGCATGCAGCAATTACTTCAAGCCCAATGACAAACAGAAGAGTGATTTCAATGTTTGAAGGTGCATAAAATTAAACAAGGGCAAGCAATCATTCCCCCTGAAGTGTGAGCTGGAAACTAATAATCAATTCTTCACTTCATCTCTATTTGTCCATGTCCAAGGTAAGTAAAATCCCTGGAGAAGGAGAAAGAGAAGTTAAGTTTTAAATAGGTTCCATGCCATTATTTTCTGCTGAGAGCTACTCCAAAGAAGCATTTATCAATGACGCACAGAGTGGCATAGAAACTTGGGCCTTCTCCACCCTGATGGCTAGGCTGTAAAATGAAGAAGTTTCTAAAAGACAAAGGTTAGATGTTCTCAACCCTCATGTATTTTTCTTTCCCCAGATACACCCCTTTCCAGTCTTTAGCATCCTCCTTTTTGTTTATCTGAACGTATCGCTGCCTTTTAGCTGGATGCAGATAAATTAACCCTAGTGACAGTTTACATTTTAGGTTGAAACCAGTGCCAGAATTTCTCAGGCAAATGTCTGTGGGCTAAAGTTTGATTCAAAGCTTCCCAGTTTTGCTTCTACGCAGCCTCAGGCTCTTGCTGATCACATTTTTGACATCTGATCTTTCCTATATACAAGGAGAAATGATCCAGAAAACAAATTTGCAAAGTAAAATTGCTGTTTGCAACACT